TTTCACAAACTTATATAGTCCCTGACTATGTAGCATAAAATAACAGTACCCACTGACCTGCAACCCAATCCAGAGCACTGTTAAAGAACACACACCGGGTCCAGACAGAAGACGACCGGATGACAGGAAAACGTAGACAGTCTCTTATGGAACACAACGAACGACACTCGCGAAATAGTTTGTATTATCAGTGAACACACACGGTATCTTCGTGTAGGAGTCATTTTACAGAACTGTTCCATAACGCGTCTATGTATAAATAATTAGTTAATGTAGAAAAAGAGGAGCACAATGTATAATTCATATGACATTTTTATTGACAACAAAAGATGGCGGCCGATCATTTTCTTTTTATTTAAAAGAAAGTTCTCTTTAAAGTAGGTATCACTGGATTGAACTACATGCGCCTAAGATCCTCTCTACTGATCGCCACTATTACCCACGAATGGTCAGGGAAGCGATTGAAATTAAAAAACATCCCAATTTCAACAGAGAGGATGGCTTAAAATTATCATCTGCGTGGAGTCCAGTCATAAATAAATTCAAGCAAAGTTCAGTAGCATCAATAGTCAATAAGTGTACGGATACCGTGAGTGCTGTGTGTCGCGAACTTTCGTTAAACAATCTAGTGACGGTAGATGAAGAAAAAACTGCTGTCACCTATCTACATTGACATCGCTGTTACTCCAGTCAGCTCGTGACCACGGCTAGTGCAAACTAGTCGAAACGTCGAGAGAGGTAAATACCTTTATTTGCCATAAAATTATTCGTGTTAAGACCCGGTTAATAATTTAAATAATGTATATTAAACACGAAAGTTTAAAATTAATTAAAGTTCTCTTTATTGTCAATGTTAATATTAATATTACTGCCATCCTACTGCATCTACGCACCGTGCAACATTTGTGCATCTGTGGCGCTTTACTTTTGCGCGGGAAAACTGACAACAAAATGTAGTGTCCGCCCGAAAGTTCGGTTTCGGTTTCGGCCAAAAATTAAGTTTCGGCGGTAGTTTCGGTTTTGGCTAAAATTGGCTAAAACTTTGGCCAAAACTTTTACCGAAACCGAAATTGATTTCCGAAGTAGTCGTGCACGCTCGCCTAACTTCTTCTCGCGGCAACGTTATTGCGGATGCTGGCGGCTCTAGCAACAAAAACATTATCGCCCAACAGAAACATTCTTTAGAGGTTGTTTTTTATTTTCCATATTCGTCCATCTCCTTTTCAGTGATGGAACAGGCAAAGATCCTTAGACCGTTTTAGAGGTTATGTTTTGATGGAACTACATGTAAGTTTTTGTTTCGTTTCTGTATCGAGCTCAGATCAGTCGACTCTTGTTCAGACAACCATTCCAATTTTGACCTCTAAACCTAAATTTGTACTATTGTATGATGATCATGAAATTACAAAAAGGATTGATAAAACTATGATGGATCTCACAAATCGTGGACATGCTGCCTTATACTTAGGTGGAACGTTTGAAAAAAAAATGAAAATCGAAATATTGTCTTAAATGGCCTGAATTAAAAAAATGAACTACAATAAAAATAGTTATAAGTGTATGGTTATACAATATGTTACAATTTTTAGATAAATGTTAATATGACAAAAGCTATGAAACAAATTATACATTGGATTACTTACAAAGTTAGTATGTCTATTTTTGTACGTCTTAATTAATGCAGAATAATGGGTGAAATGCACCAAATTTCAGTATTTTAAGGAATTTTATACTTGATCACGTGAGTTTCGGTTTCGGCCGGAAAACAAGTTTCGGTCGGACTCTAACAAAATGGCTTCTTCTGCAGACATCCTTATAAACGGTTGTTCTGATTGCTAATTATTTTATGCTCTAGAAGAGCGTAACTTTATATGTCTGCAAATTACTTTTATAAAACAAAACTTGCATATAAATACCTTTAGCATAATTTATAATAGCGTTTGTTATACGCTAACAGTCGGCCAGTTATATAGTCCAGAACACCAGTTCGTATCTCTACCGGAATTCAGGCAAAAGGTAATGGATAGATTATAGCGGGGCAACACAATACAAAATTGTATTTTATGTTGGGCTAAAAAGGACTTGTATCCAGAGCCGTAAAATATTAAATAAAAAAAAATATACCTTTAGCATAATTTATAATAGCGTTTGTTATACGCTAACAGTCGGCCAGTTATATAGTCCAGAACACCAGTTCGTATCTCTACCGGAATTCAGGCAAAAGGTAATGGATAGATTATAGCGGGGCAACACAATACAAAATTGTATTTTATGTTGGGCTAAAAAGGACTTGTATCCAGAGCCGTAAAATATTAAATAAAAAAAAATATACCTTTAGCATAATTTATAATAGCGTTTGTTATACGCTAACAGTCGGCCAGTTATATATTCCAGAACACCAGTTCGTATCTCTACCGGAATTCAGGCAAAAGGTAATGGATAGATTATAGCGGGCAACACAATATAAAATTGTATTTTATGTTGGGCTAAAAAGGACTTGTATCCAGAGCCGTAAAATATTAAATAAAAAATATATATATATAATAAGCTTCTAAAACAGTGATTCCCAAAGTGGTCTGTATCGACCCACAGGGGTCTATGACAAACTGCAAGGGGTCCTCGACAGCGATCATCTTGTTTTTACACTAAACTTTATTACAGTTAGAAATTTACAAAAAATCAATAACAGGTAAGAATGGTAGGTCTACCCAAAATGGAAAAATATAGCAATGGGTCTACTAGTTTGGGAATTTCTGATGTAAAACATATAGGTACTATAACTACATCATTTAAGTACATACATTATGTATTTAAATATTAATAATAAACTTTATTATAATAAATATCTCATTACATATCTATATACCTACTTAAATTCGCGACTTCGTACATGTGGAATTTAACTTTATTTTTCTAAAATAAATATTTTTTTTCTAATATAAAAGTAGTCCAAGTTACTCCTTATTACATCAGCTACCTGCCAAAAAAAGACCCGTCAAAATCGGTCCAACCATTTCAGAGATTAGCCGGAACAAACAGGCCGACAGATAGACAAAAATTGTAAAAAGTGCTTTTTTGGTGTACCGTATTTATATTCATATGCATGTAGTAAAAGACAGTTATTTCAATATTACAAACAGACAATCCAAAGATAAATTACACGCGAAGTCGCGGGTGCAGCTTGTAGTAAATAAGATAGACAATATTCTAATGCTATAATAAATACCTTTATTATTATATCTGATGCGTATTAGTCAAGTAAACAATTAGATTTTTTTTTCGGACTACTCTAATGCTGTTGGCCGCAGCTGGCCTTTACAGCTTCACCGGACATTAGGGGCGAGTGCAGATGGCACCCCAAACCCGCGGAAGGACTTATGGAGCGGCTGAAGGCCAACTCCCGCCTGACGGATACGACTTTAGTCTGAGGGCACCACTAGGGGTTCGAACTCGGCTCAGGCCGTCGTAATTTAGATCCCCGTTTGAATTGGAAGGGGGGTCGATCGGAGGGGGCTATTAGTTTAGTTGAAAAGGTCTAACCAGAATTAAAACGCGAAATTTTAACTGTAACCGGAACACTTAAAAATACAAGTATAGGTAAGTCTGCACGAATAAACAGTGTTTTAATTTGAAGAATGTACTCGTACACTCACCGACAGTATAATTTCAACCACATGCATATAAATATAAGGTCTAAATTGTTTCGTTGGATATTCTATATAGGTGTATGTTTTATTTATTTCAACTATATTTTTGTACAATAAATGTTTAATGCTAATAGCATTCTCTAAGAACAGAGGACTCATCATCAGGACAAGGGTGACACGCCTCTTATCCTGTAATTTCACTTCCTAATCTGCACTACAACCGAAACAGCTTACAAAGCAAGCTGCTTGGCTGAAATAGGTGAGACTGAGGTACACACGCAGGCGAAATATTACAAAGTCCTCTGATTATAATAATAAATAACTTTTTATTTATTCTACGACGTTGGCACACAAGCATTTGGCCCATATAATAATTACTCCTAAAATAATCAACAATATTATGCTTAAGATTATCAAATAATATAAGACAATATTTAATAAATTACAATACCTATAAATAGAATTAAAGCTATCATATTACGATTGTGATAATCAAAATTAAACAATAATAATAATAACAAACAATAACACCAGTCAAATAAAAGAAAAGGCTTACAATTACACACTCATTCACACACACGCACACGTACGCACATACACACGCGTTTCCACATGCACACAGACGCGCGCGCGCACGCACGCGGGCACGCATGTACGCGCGTACACACGCACACACACGCGCGCGCACGCACTCACGCGGGCACACATGTACGCGCGGGCACACATGTACGCGCGCACACACGCCCGCGCTCAAACACGTGCGCACGCACACACAGACACTGCACTTACTTGGTTTCGGCCCGTAAGTGCTACGCCACAAAGCGTAAAAAACCAGCAAAAGCTGAGAAGTTTAGACAGTCGTATAAAGAATAATAATAATTTAAATTATTAACCGAGCTGAGCTGAGCATGAGCTGAGTCAGCTCGTGACCACGGCTAGTGCAACCTAGTCGAAACGTCGAGAAGATTTATTTGCCATAAAATTATTCGTGTTAAGACCCGGTTAATAATTTAAATAATGTATATTAAACACGAAAGTTTAAAAAAAATAATAATAATGGAAAGCACACACAATCTGTAGTACTAATAGATCTGCCATCCATTCCATGTGATTCCCTGGAAACCATCGTGATAAATTCATGGTGAATTTACCACGATGTGCTAACTGACCTGACCTCATGCTCATCTTATCATCCTCGATTGGTGCCCCGCCAGGGTAAAACATTAGCGCAGGCGGGTGCACCATTCCATTAGCATCCACAACAGCACACGCATAATAGCAATTTCTCCGCGAATATCGAAACGTATTCATTCAACGAGTCAAGGTAGCGAATTCCGAAAAAGGGCGAGCACAGGACGTACCGGACAATAGCTCAAGCCCGCAATAATAAAAACGCATTCATCAGCTACCTTCTCCACACAATCATCACATTTAGAACATCATCTCGTGTTGGATACACATCATCAAAGTGTTGGATATCTAAAGTTCAACGAGGGAACGACGCGAAACGATTTTTCAGATTCCCTTTTTTTACCCAACAAAGTCCTTCTAAAGCACCATTGACACATTTTATAAAAGGGATAGATATGTTTTCTTATCTATGATAATTCACATAGCGCCATCAAATATCATGCTAAGCAGACCTTGTGTGGGTACCACAAGCTCTGCTCTGCTCACAGGTCGTACCTAACGCTTCCAGTAGCGATGGTCAAGTTTTCACACTGAATATTTGTGGTCTCAAACATGCTAATAGTAACGGAGTAGATAAACAAAATAATCTAAATCTTTTAAGTTGACTTGACGTTTCCAACCTTTTCTTTTAGAACTTTATGTTTAAACAACTTATGGTGTACAAGATAGCGTTTCAGGACTCTCTTCTGGCAGATATCACATTGTATTGTTACTTTCCCAGTTTTCACTCTAACACGCTTCAGCGTCGGGTACAAATGGGTCAAATCTACAACATCTGTGTCCATATCGTTCACTTTGATCGCCGTCTTCTCACTCAGCTTCCTTATTACCAACGAATTCGCCCCGGTTTTGCGCACTTCGATGATATTGTTGGAATTCTGTACCTTCTCGAACCAGACTTGGTTGACTTTCTTCATGTTGCAGTACGGTGTTTTGGCTTTTAGGTTGAAATGCGTTTGTCGGATATGGTAACGTAGATCCCATACGGTTCGGTAGTGGAGATTGCAAACGTGACAGTAGGAGCCCTTGAGTTCTTTACTGAAAAGTACAATGCTAGTTACCCTGACTATACCTGCGTGTATTAATCACAATGTTGTTAGTTTTATCTAATTACTAGCTATATTAATTTTACTATTTCTTTATTAATATAGATAACATTTCTAAAATATAAGTGGCCCTAGTTAATCCTCATAACATTAGCTATATACAAGTGAAAGTTCCGTCAAAATTGATCCAGCAGTTTCAGATCTTTGCAAGATCAAAGAGACACACACACTACTTATGATATTAGCTATCTGCGATTGAAAGTCAAATCATGATCGCTTCAGCCTTTGCAGAAATTAGCAAAAACAAACAGAAAGACAAAATTGTTCTAATTAAGTTTTTGAAGTACCATACTCGTATAGACTTTCATATGCACTTAGTGAAATCTGTTAATATGAAATTATAAACAGACACTTCAGTTGTATTTATTTATATAGATACACTTTAGAGGGCATCCACATATTACATGATACCAATTTCAATATTTTTTATGTCCTCCTCTAAATCTTGAAACAGAAATAGAACAAGGCAGGTCACTTAGAAAGATACAGGGGTAGGAGTTAGAAATAGCCTTGCCAAACAAAATGGCCGCACCCAGTAAGGCAAAAAGGAGTTTATTTATCTAAGCTTTGCATTCCATAATTTAAAGTACTAGTAGTTAGTAATAGGTATAGACCAGAGCAGATCGATTAGACCCTGTTGGACAGCAAGCGGAAGAGAACAGAGTAGCTACATTGTACCTTGTACCTTAGTGGAGTTTCTTGCCAGTTCTACTGAGGTAGCTAGTGAAACTGGATGGTAGAGTTAGTGTTAATAGAAATAGAAATAATATTTATTCAAATAAACTCATTACAAGCACTTTAGAATAGTCATATTTGGATTCTACCACTCATTCGGAATGCAGATTCATCACAAGAATGAGCAAGAAACTTGTGTGTTGTTCTTTTGAATAGATGTTTTTATTTATAATAATTACAGTACAACAAGTAATGCGATAATCAACATAGAAATCGCTACGCACTCATTATTAGTGTAATCAGATAATATTGTTATGGATTTCAAGTTTTTCTATAAAAACATTATTGTAGTTAACGAATTCTTCAATTTTCACAATGTTAAGTTTTGTATAACAATAATTGTGTGTTAGGGGTACGAACCCCCTAGGTCCATTATTTTTTTTCGGACTACTAAGAAATAGAAATAATCTTTATTCAAATAAACTTAATATAAGCACTTTTGAATAGTCAAGTTTTTTGATTCTACCGCTCATTCGGAATGCAGATTCATCACAAGAAGAATGAGTAAGAAACTTGTGTGTTGCACTTTTAAATAAATATTGTTTTAATTATATTTACATTAACAAGGATTGAACATGCGACAATGAACATAGAAACCGCTACGCACTTAATCTCTGCACAATCAGATGACATTGTCAGCGCTATGGATTTTAGGTTAGATATTTTATACAAAAACATTATTATCATTTATAAATTCTTCAATTTTATAATAAACTTTTTTACAAAGAAAATATTTTATAAGACATTTTTTTTTGCCAAATAATGCTGTCCGCAGCTGGCCTTCACACTAGCACTAAGGATTCGACTAGATTTCACTAGCCGTGGTCACGAGCAAACTAACTGAGAGTGGCTTTTATTTAACATTATATTATTCATGTTAAAACTCGTTTAACGATATTAATCACTTTAGGACTCTAATGCTGTCGGCCGCAGCTGGCGTTTACAGCTTCACCGGACAATAGGGGCGACTTCAGATGGCACTCCTCGCGGAAGGACTTATGGAGCGGTTGAAGGCCAACTCCCTCTTGATGGACATGACTTTAGTCTGAGAGCACCGCTAGGGGTTTCGGCTCAGGACGTCGTAATTTCGATTCCCGTTTGAATTGGATGGGGGATCGATCGGAGGCCTAGTTGTTATCGCTATTTCCGGATATAGATGGCGTTGGAAGCAAGCACCGACGCGAAAGTAATATTTACTATTAAAATTACCCGCAGTTGTAATATTGTGAAACTAGATGGCGCTAGCAGCGTCCTCGTCCCCACTACTACTTTACCATACTTTAAAACGCCATATTAAAATGCAGATTCATTTTGGACTGATTCTGGAACCGTTGACGAGAAAGGTTTACTTCGGAAAAAGTTTACTTCGGAGTTTGTTGCATTATTTATATATATTGTTATTATAGAGACTGGCTCTCTAGACACCCTAATCCATTGACAGTATAGCTTTTGGCGTCTTCTCACACAGTCAAGAGACTGAAGACGAGAAGATACTATTTTTTTTTATTGGGTCATTTGGGCTATTGTCAGATGCATAGACCTGTAGCACTACGACCTACATAGATCTATTGTGCTCTATATAGGACTATATACTATAGAAAGGCAGAAGTGGTGCTGACCTCTTTGTCTACAAATCAAGTAATACTCGACACATTTGCTTAGTCTTGCGACTGATCGCTGACTAAAATAGAAATAAATAGGTTAATTGAATTTTGTCTTTTAAAAAACTCATCACAGATATCACAAAGTGATTTGTGTTATTGTTTTTTATTGTTACCATCATTATCATAGCGTTTTCTAAAAATATATTTACAGTACTTAAGATAGTCTGTGTGAGCAACAAAATGAGCATTGACATTAAAACATGATCTTTATTTTTAAAAATGTTTTTTTTTCTTTCCGAGTACAATCGTCATCAGTACCGTGGACTGTGGGAATATGTTCTGTGATGCTGTCATGTAGAGTGGCTTCCATTGGAAACTTTACTCATCTGCATCCCAGAGCTACTGCCGATCTTCTAGCTCCAGGATATGATGGAGTTTTAGTCGTCTCACATGCTGATCTGATTTAATCTATAATACATTTTTTATTGAGGGTTTGGGCCTGACCTAACATTTTAATCGAGTTCAAACAAATTAAATTAAACCATCACTCTGAGACTAGAATATCCTATATTCTTGTCCCTGACGGGTCTAGGTAACTAGCGGACTTAGAAAATAATTATATATTTATAAATAATTATATATTTTTTTTATATTCATAATTACATAATAACATGCAAGAGGCATGCGATTTTTTTTTTATTGTTGTTTGGACTATTGTCTAATTTTTGTAGCACCTGTAGCACTGCGACCTACATAGATCTATTGTGCTCGCCCTTTTTCAGAGTTTGCTACCTAGACCCGTCATGGACAAGAATTGAAGGATATTCTTAGGAGAGATGGTTTTTATCTCCTTGGGAAAGAGTGTAAACTTTCCAGAGGAGATATTTCGATAAAACCACATAGGATGTGTAGTGGCGTTTCCTCTTCAGTTTGACAGAATCTGAAGATTTTTTTCTTGCATAGGCCTAGTTTAGCCATATGGTTGTTTAATTTGCAGTGTCCCTTGAAGACCCTGGTCATCAGGCATATGTTGTTTTTACTCAATAGCAATAGTCTATTGGAGTATTTGTTCGAGTAGCCCGATATTACGGCTTTTGAATGTGTCAATCCTGGCATTTCTTGCCAGTGATTCAGTGCTTCTCGTTTGGTTATTAATTTGAGATGTCCCAGTTTTAGGCAACGAGGCACACCACAGGGTTCGGAGCCAAGAGGAATGCGGTAATCAAAATAGAAACTGCTACACACTCAGTCTTAGTGCAATCATATTATATTGGATTTTAATGTGGTTTTCAGCAACAGATATTCAAGAGACAAAAATTAAAGATAACTTAAAGACAACTCATATATATTAAGTCTGGAAAACAAACTCCTCATATATAAGAGCATCATAAAACCAGTGTGGACATTTGGAACTATGGGGATCAGCTTCACACTCTAACATAGAAATATTCAAGATTAAAAACCATGTCCTTGGTTATATATAAAACATTGAACTACATACACATCTAGAAATTCCAACTGTAAAAGAAGAGATACAGAAAGCCTTCACAGATTGTGAATTTAAAACAGTCCATCTAGATTAAAAAGAGCTTGCCTAACATCTAAAGAAAGTAAATGAGATGGCAAAATCTCAAAAAGCCAATAACTTCAAAAAATCTGTCATAATAAGAGAATGTTTAATATATATAATAAATACATTTAAGCTAAGTAATTCAAAGATTTGTAAGGCATTCATTGTGAATTTAAAACAGGTTGTAAGTTATAATTCAAAACTAATGTCATAATTAGAGATGAAACATATAGCAGTTTGGCCGGATACCGATACCGGATATTCAGTCAACCATGTGACCGAATAGCTGAATATCCTGTGGAACTTAGCTAACTAATTAATTCATTTTCTTTCTATAACAGTCATTTACTATTGAGTGATTAAAAATTTAAAACTAAAACTAATTTTATTCCTGAAGTAATACTAAGACTAACTAAATAAAGCAAATAATTACTTTAAATATTATTTGCTCAGAATTTTTTTTAATTCAACCAGATGCCTATCCGGCTGAATAGTATTAAGGCTGCCGGATGGGCCGGATACTGGATAACCATTTCATCTCTAGTCATAATTCAAAATGAATGTCCGGGTGATGAAGATGAAGAGAGAAATTAAGCATAAACCATTAGCGCAGACGGGTGCATCTTTCCATTATCATCTATAAAAAAAACAGTAAGGAAGGAGATTGTTAGTAATGAGGCTAGTGGGTTGTTGATAATAATGTACCATGTAAGGTCTAAATTTAGACTAAAGGTCTTGCACCTAATGGACTGCACTCTCATTGCTATCTGCCAGCCAATCCGTTTAGCAAACATACTGATTGATCATGCTCATCTTATCCTCCACTGGTGCCCGCGTAAAGCGTTAGCGCAGGCGGGTGCACCATTACATTATCAACCATAAGAAAAAGAACTCGCAGATATATTAGGACCAAAAAGTTTAAGGCCGATTCGACAATGTACAAACCTGCTATTACTAGGCACTATCTCGTCATATGTTGGTGATATTTCATCAGTTTTCCCACCAATTCGCTCATTATTGTTGCAACAACGTTTCAAGTGATCGATTAGTAATCGTTTACTTCCAAACTTGTCGCTCGTACCACAGTAATTGCAAAGAAAATATCTATTTAGGCTACTAGTTGCAGAGATGTTTGGATCAAATTTTGACCTAAAAACCGGTGAATTTTGAGCGTTTGTCATTTTTCTAATAGTACATGTTAAGTTACATGATTCCAAATTGCATTTATAATTATTTATCAGGAGACTACATTTTTTTTATGACCTATATTTATTACTTTTTTATGGAGATACAGATGGAGGTGAAATTCTAAAAGAAAAATGTAAACAAAAAAACATCATTGTCAAAGTGACATCTTATGGTTAAGATATGAACACATGGCTGTATGGGCGCAGTTCCTTTGCCTTTCCGATAAACGATAAACAGAACCAAAAAAATCATGTTTAGCCAATATTTTCTCTTCACACTTTCACATTGTCTAAAAAAACGAAAATACATAATAAAAAAAATACATTAATGAAAATTGTACACAAGTATGACACTACTTCTTAAGTTAGGTGAAGTCCACTTTAATTGTATTTCTGTTAGTTTTTGAAGTCCTAAGAACTATTATAGGCATGTATACCAACTTGAAACACAATCAATTCAATTCAGTTTGGAAGTGTAAACAAAAATTGATGTGATGATACACTACAAAGAAACCCATATTATAAAACTTCCGTGTTTTGTGTACTTGTTAAAGAACTTGTATCATGAACCGTAAAACATATATAATAAAAAAAAAATTTGGTTATTTTTATTCTGTGGGCTTGAGGATGATAGATTTTGACTTTTCATTCCAATTGTCATTATTAAAACGTCAAAACAATAAAAGTATATATAAAATTATTGAAAATTTGTTTAATTGTTATTTAATTAATTTATCTGTATAATAAATTAATGTTATATTAAAATTTACTTAAAATGCTTTTGTTGTGACCCATACTGTTATTATCCATTTTATTATCATTGTTACGTGAAATATGGGCAAAAATAAAATGATTGCAAAAAGCTGCCCAAAATGCGAAATGCAGGTGAGTAATAATCTTTTTCTTTTAATTTTCATGTCTTCCGCCATAGGTCATTTTGCCAACATCGTGGTAAGGGAGAAAAAATGTTTTGTTTTGCAAAATATTCACATATTATGTTTATATACATATTATTATTATTACAGGGTTATTATTATTTTTAATAATAATAACCCTGTAATAATAATAATACTTGTAATAATCTGTTATCAGCCACAGTATCCATCATTCATTAAAATATTCATCAAGGGAGTAAAACAATTTTTTTTATAAATATTTATATGTATGGATGGACATACGGCTTTCAACTTTGGGGAAGTGCGTCAAAGTCAAATATCAACATCATTCAAAGGGCCCAAAATATTATACTGAGAACAGTATCGGGTGTCCCTTGGTACATCACCAACAATGAAATTCACAAGGAACTTGGCATACTGACAGTAAAGGAGATCCTCAATTGTAAAGACAAATATAAAAAGCGACTATGTAACCACCCAAATCAACTGGCTGCTCAATTACTACAAATACTTTACCCCAAGCGACTAAAAAGAAGCGACATTGTGTAATGTTTGCAGTATGCTTAAGGAGTAGATTCTCCCGCTGGGGTGGACACTCCATTCTTAGATCCCACACCCAAAAAATCTGCTCATAGTTCTGGGATTGATTGCAGATAAGAAAAGAATAACAAAAAAAAAATTTTTTAAGCTTCATTCTGATTGTGTAATTATGTGTCAATTAATATAGGCTTTAAAATTGTATACTTCAGGTGGCAGTCGCATCAAAGACTTGTAAATGTGGGCACACATTCTTCGCAGCTCGACGCACAACAGAGAGTCTACCTGCCTCTGAGGATATTCGCAGAAGAACGGGCAGAGTAAGACGGTCCCAGCCACAATTCTATGATGCACAACATTATCAGAAACAAATAAAAAAACGAGTAAGTATTAATGTAGGAGAATTCACAGTCTTATCTAAGCTGAAACTAAGCAGAATTTGAATACCTTCTTATTGATCCCAATGACCCTATAACAGCAGTTAAACTCCATATGGGTCCACCAGTTCCGTCCCGACCACTCTTTCAAACACACATGACACGAGGGGGGCGAGGGGTCTTTACTTTGCTTATTTTCGATAACATGGGGGTGGGGGAGCCTAGATGATGATTACGTCATCATTAGTTAGTTTTTTACACAAATGGCAACACTCACATTGCCTTTGCTAAAAAAACCAATACATTAATTGAAAAATGTTTACGTAAGCATGAGGGGAAGGGGTAAGAGCTTTGTTTACTTTTGCTGACAAGGGGTAGGGGGGGGGGGGGGGTAAATTGTAATAAATCTGCTTACATAATACTTGTACGGCCACGATAAGTAGGTAACATATGCGGCTCATCCATCATACTCGTGAGTGCTGCTTGTAGGGACTGGTCTGCTCTAATCACGACAACTGATTTAATCTTATTGTGTATTCATATTTTACCCTAATAAATTAGTGCTAGTTGGTAGTTTGTATTCACACACTTTAACTTAAAAATGTAAAGTTAAAACAATTATTTAAAAGAGCAACAGGCAAGTTTCTTGCTCATTCTTCTTGTGATGAGACAGCTTTCCTAATGAACGGTATATTAAAAAAATGATAACTATGACTATTCCAAAGTGATTAAATTAAGTTTAATTGAATCACTTTTGAATAGTCATAATTCAAAAGTGATTAAATTTTTCTAAGTTTATTTGAATAAAAAAACGACGTATTGTATCGGTCTCTGAGCTTTAGTTAGCACACCGCTTTACGTCCGTGTGGTCGCGAGATTATTATAGTTCGAATTTCTCGCACGGCACAAACATTTGTATTCATGAGTATGATTGTTTGTACGGTGTTTTCTATGTATAATTTGTATGTATTTATAAAAAAAAATCTATATGTATTGTATCGGTTATCTAAAGCTTTAGTTAGCTTAACTTGGGTCTAGATGGCGCTGTGTGAATTGTCCTGAGATTATTATTATTATCAGTTATCTAGTACCCATAACACAAGCTTTAGCTAGCTTAATTTGGGTCTAGATGGCGCTGTGTGAATTGTCCTGAGATTATTATTTGAAGAAATGATTTTCTATTCTATTCTATATTTGTAGTCTCCAAAAAAACGTACCCTGGATGATGACTTCAAGGCGAAAACGAAAGGAGAGAGTGGTGAGTAATCACTATAGTATAAAACAAAGTCGCTGTCGCTGTCTGTCCGTCCCTATGTATGCTTAAATCTTTAAAACTACGCAACGGATTTTGAAGCGGTTTTTTTTTAATAGATGAAGTGATTCTAGAGGAAGGTTTATATATATAATACATGAACAATACCAATAGCTTGTGAATATATAAGAGACTCAATAAGATGAGGTGGCTAAGAAATATAAACACTTCTCCATTGTCATTCTAGAGGATTAAGATAATCGTATTATTAATAACACTTAAAACGCGAAATTTTGTAAGTATGGATGTTTGTTACTCTTTCACGCAAAAACTACTAAACGGATTTTGATGAAACTTTACAGTAATATAGCTATATTTTTTATTGAAATTTAACGCCGGTTAAACCGCAAGCACAGCTAGTGTGGATATATTTTTAACTAGCTGTACCCGCGACTTCGTCCACATAGAATTTAACTTTATTTTCTAAAATAAAAGTAGCCTAAGTTATTATTTATTATTATTAAAGCTTTATTGTCCATATATTACAATTATAACTAATATTTTAAGTTAGGATATAATTTATTTTCTTTTTATATATAAGGACCCAATGTGGGTAAAAATATAAACACCTCCTCCAACTTGTTCCATTTCCCTATTCACAGCCACGCTCATCCAGTTTTTGTTACTCTTTCCCCGGTTCTTAATATAGCTATATTTTTTATTGAAATTTAACGCCTAGGTTACTTTTTAACTATTAAATCAACTACCTGCTAAAAAAAAGTAGTTATTATTTATTATTAAAAGTCGGTCCATTTCATAGATTAGTTAAAACAAACAGATGGACAAACAGACAGACAAAATATGTAAAAAATATTATTTTAGTATATAGTGGTATATATACCGTATTTATGTTCATATGCATGTAGTAAATGACGGTTATTTCAATATTACAAACAGACACTCCAATTTTATTTATATGTATAGATAGATTATTATTTTTATCTCTCTTCTTATTATTATTTTCATTATGTGTGCTCTGAATAATAATAAAGAAATTAATATGATTTTACAGCCACCGCGCGAGCTCGTAGAAGGCGAGCACTGAGACGCGCGCAGCGGTCACCTCAAACGGGCGGAGATCGAACCCGCGACCCCACGCCGCAACTGCGACCGGCGCAGCTAGCCCGCTGTCAGCTTATACTGCAAGAAATTAACAGGAAAATGCAGGCCGTCACCTGGCAGCCGCCTACAGAAGGCTGAATGGTAGAGGCTGTTAGTAATGTAGATAATCCTATTGCTAGCAATGTACCATGTCAGATTTTTTTATGGATAATAATGTAATAGATAGATAGATAGATAGATAGATAGATAAAAATCGTTATTCGTATCTCGATAACACAAAAAAATAATAATTTACTATTCTTATGTGTTGTAGGAATGAAGATCATATCCTAAGGACGGTGTTACATATGAATGTGGATGGTTATAAGGGCAGAGGAAGACCGAAAAAGAGATGGATGGACTGTGTGAAAGATGATATGGTGAGAAAGGTAGATAAATAACGGAATGTACTGTCGAACAGAGATGAATGGAAGAGAAAAACATCATTATTCGTATCTCGATAACACAAAAAAAAAAAAGCAGATGATGATGATGTGTTATTTGAATTTTGTTTGTACTCAAACAAATAACATTTACTCAAGGAGCAACATGCAAGAGTATTTAGTAGCAAAATGCAGTTTCTAATAAGTTTAGATCGGATTTACCATAGCCTATGGACACCCTGAGACTACAAGGTGTGTCACATGTACATGTATTCCTTAAGAAACATTAACATGTTAACCGAGCAGGATGTATAAATAATAATAATAAACAATGGAAAGCACACACCATCCACATAGTACCCATAGTTTTGTCATCCACAGGAGTTATACCAAAAAGTCTGAACAAACACCTAGACACGTTGCATATCCCCTCCTCTACAATAGACCTATTACAAAAAGCCGTCATACTAAACACATGCCGAATAGTCAGAAAATTTCTATCTTCATCACATAACTCATCCATGCTTGGCTAAGGCCCGCGTGTTTGAATATATTACCCCCGTAAAAAGGGAGATATATATATATATATATATATATATAATAATAATATATATATATATATATATATATATATATATAATAATAATAATATCTCTGGATGGATCGTTGGATCATACACTTTTCAACCTCTTTCACATTGAAAAGTAACCTATCTCCTTTCTCAGGGTCTAAACTATCTATGTACCAAATTTCATTTCAATCGGTTCTGTATTTTGGCGTTATAGCAAGACAGACAGACAGACAGTTACTTTAGCATTTATAATATTAGTAAGGTTAATGGAATAGCCCGCCAACGTAATCGTTACATATGGGTGCAGCCGCCTGTGCTAGCGGTATACGCTGGCGGCACCAGTGGAGGATGATAGGATGAGCATGAGGTCAGGACAGTTAGCACATCGAGAGATATATTCCAGACACTTCTCACGATGGTTTCCAGTGGGAACAGCGTGGAGGTCCACCTGATGGTACATTGCTAGCAATGATGCTACTATTCTCATTATTAACACTCATGGAATCACCTTCCAGCAATGGTATTTCCGAACCGATACGATATTGAAACTATTAAGAAAAAAGTTGATGCTTTAAAAGGCCGATAACGCACTTGCAGTACCCCTGGCGTTGCTCATGGGCTGCAAACTAGTCCTTATTCCTTTTTAAAAGGCCAGCAACGCACTTGTAATTCGTCAGGTGTTGCGAGTGCTCATGGGCTGCAAGCTAATTTGTACTCTATGCCATAAAAAAACTGTATTATTATTTTTAGCACTACTCTAATGCTGTTGGCCGCAGCTGGCCTTTACAGCTTCACCGGACGTTAGGGGCGAGTGCAGATGGCACTCCAAACCCGCGGAAGGACTTATGGAGTGACTGAAGGCCAACTCCTGCCTGACGGATACGACTTTAGTCTGTTGGGAACCACTAGGGGTTCGAACCTCAGCTCAGGCCGTAATATCGATCCCCGTTTGAATCGATCGATCGGAGGGGAGCCTTTACAATTTTGTTAATAAATTTAAATAAAAAGTAGAAAACGAAAACATAGCGCGTTGCAGAATTTGCGCAGCGCCATTTAACGTAAAAAATGAGAAATATGACACTGAGTTTATTGTATGTTTTATTAGTGATTTTTTTATATATGATAATGAAATGGTGCACACGCCTGCGCTAACCGTATACGCTGGCGGGGCATCAGTGGAGGATGATAAGCATCGCAGATTACATATATATATTATATAAATATACAGTAAACAAAATTATTATATACATGTATGAATACCGAAGGATCTTAAATTATTGAATAGTTTGAAGAAGAAAAATATTTCATTCAGTGCAATGTAAAAAATACAATATAAACAACAAACGAAAAAAAAAAGAGCAAATAAAAGTTTGAGTTGCTTTACAAAAAAATTGAAGTCAATACTAATAGATGCCTGTACTCAGTTGACGATTTTTGATGTTTTTTTTTGTTAATAATAACATTCTGTAAAATGACAACACTTAAATTTATTAATTTTATCAACCATCATACCAACATTAAAATACAATGTACATTGTTCATGAATAAATAAATAATAGGCAATAAACATTTCTGCCACCATCCTAATAAAAACGACCCTTTCCAGACCTCTCGCAGATCAATCTGATATAGCACATAATTTTCCTGAATAATTCACGCAGCGAGTTGAAAGGGGATTGTTAGTGATGTGGATTGATAACCCCATTGCTAGCAATGTACCATGTCAGGTCGACCTCCACGCGGTTCCCCCTGGAAACCGTCGTGTTAAATTCCTGATGAAATTGCACTATGGGCTAACATGACCTCATGGTCATCTTATCATCCTCTACTGGCGCCCCGCCAGTGTAAACCGTTAGCGCAAGTTAGTACACCATTCCATTATCAACCCTCAAAAAAAAATTCACGCAGCGCCATCTATGATAATCCCAAGCTAAACTGAGCTTGTGTTATGGGTATTTGTATAATCTTATTATAATATGAATATTGTAATTATGTTATATAATATTTAAGTTCTGAATAAAATATTTTTAATTTACACTTTTTTTTTAATGTTCGCAGTACTAATATTAATAATCTCAAGACAATTCACACGGCGCCAACTAGACCCAAGTTAAGCTAGCTAAAGCTTATGTTATGAGTACTAGGTAACTGATACAAATACAATAATATATTTCTTTCGTAAATACATACATATTATACCTAGAAAACACCCAGACCGATACAAACAATTATACTCATGAATACAAATGTTTGTACCGTGTGAAGAATCGAACCCGCGACTATCGGAAGTAAAGCTGTGTGCTAAACCGCTAGACCACCAAGGCCGTCAGTATAATGTGTGTTCTGAATAAAATATGTTTAATTTACAAACGCGTTTTATTGTGAACTCGCAGTGCTGTTGTCGCAGAGCTTGAGATCTTTGAAATAAAACTTAATTTTTTTTTTTTTTTAATAAATATACCTAAGTACATTTATTTTTACACAATGAATTAATTATCCGTTGCGTAGTTTATAAGATCTAAGCGAACAAACAGCGGAAACGGCTTCATTTTATACTATGTAAAGATTATAGAATAGAAAATCATTTATTCAAATAAACTTACATTGAAGCACTTTTGAATAGTCATTACATTTTTGTTAATCTACCGCTCGTTCGGAAAGCTGTCTCATCACAAGAAGAACGAGCAAGAAACTTGCGTGTTGCTCTTTTAAATAATTTTATTATTACTTTTCATTTTTAAGTTTAAGTGTGTGAATACAAACCACCAATTAGCACTAATTCAATTAAATACTCAAATAGAAAAAATATTGAATATATAACCAACTGGTTAAACAATTAATAAGAGGAAATGAGTCATAGTGATATATGTAGATAAGTATAGGTCAATGCAACAGTTATTCAGTCGATCAAAATGTCACGCATAGTGCTATCGAGTTTAGCATTATGCAGCATTTCCTGTGCCGCTACATTTGGATGTAAAACGTAAGTGTCAAACGCTATCAACTTTTTTTTCTCTTCTTTTAGCTCCATTTTATCTACTTCAAAATGTTAGTAATATTCTATAACCATCCCAAATTATAGTTGTTAATTCTGAACAACATTTATTTAAAAGAGCAACAAGCAAGTTTCTTATTAATTCTTTTGTGATGAGTCTGCGTTCCGAATGAATATTAGAATAAAAAAATATGACCGTATAAAAAATGCTTGTAATACTTATGTTAGTAATATTCTATAACCATCCCAAATTATAGTTGTTAATTCTGAACAACATTTGTTTAAAAGAGCAACAAGCAAGTTTCTTGATGATTCTTTTTGTGATGAGTCTGCGTTCCGAATGAATATTAATACTTAAGTTTATTTCTATTTCTAATATTTTTTTTATACAGTACATTTTCTTTGATTTCCCGCCAACATAAGTAATTTGCGCGGGAACTTACAGGACACCACATGCTAGTGATCATCTGCTTTGTTCTTATCCCATTTATTTGTGGTCGTCGTAATATGTTGTTCTCTTCCATTCATCTCTGTTCGCAGTCATCTCGTTATTTACTCCCTTTCTTACTATACCATCTTGCACACATTTTTTATCCTACTAGTGAAGTAGTTATCCCATTGCTAGCAATGCACCATGTTGATCTCGACGGTGCCCCCTGGAAACCATCGTTATAAATCCCTGAGGGGGGAAGCAATGTACCATGTCAGGTCGACCTCCACGCCGTTCCCCCTGGAAACCTGGACCTGACCTCATGTTCATCTTATCATCCTCCACTGGTGCCCCGCCAGCGTAAACCGTTAGCGCAGACGGGTGCACCATTCCATTATCATCCATAAAAAAAAGACCCCTTGCATAGGCATTTTTTTAATAGATGATAATATCATTACATTATCATCTATAAAAAAAAATGTATGTGCATATAAACAACAATAAATTGGTGCATTAAATTGTCCTTAATCCTTGAACTATATATATATATATATATTGCATACAGCTCTGATAGGTTACAAATATAGGTAAACAAGTAGAGATAACAAAATTATTTAATAATAACTCTACCTTATCTGTGGCTATACTAAATACAAACATGATAAAGAAACGATATATACCTATAAATAGATAATAAACAAACATTAATGCTAGCATAGATAATTGATGGAGTAATCACTCCCCCCCCCCCCCCCGGGATCGATCCCCCGTCCGATTCAAACGGGGATCGAAATTACGACGGCCTGAGCTGAAGTTCGAGCCCCTAGCGGTGCCCTCAAACTAAAGTTGTATCAGTCAGGCGGGTTGGAGTGCTATCTGCACTCGCCCTCTATCGTCCGTCGAAGCTGTAAAGGCCAGCTGCGGCCAACAGCAACAGCAACTGAAAGCAGGAGCAGATGGCTCTCCAAACGAAAGGAAGGACTTATGGAGCGGCTGTAGGCCAAGTGGATACTACAATCGGATGCTATTTCCTATTAAATAAATCATCAAATTTTATTTCAAAGTTACTCTTTCTTTTATTTTTGGCAAATTTCTGTAAATCAACGTCGGTATAAAAACTCTAGATACTTTCGATTCGTTTAACTACTGATTGCAATAGAATTGCAATTTTTTCAAAATGAATATGCGTTCAAAAATCAAATTGTTAGTAATGGCATTTTTATTTTTCGTTTCATGTCGGATTTTTTATTTTTCGTTTGGAAGTGAACTTTGTTTTTCCATGTTCGTCCATCTCCTTTTCAGTGATGGAGCAGGCAAAGATCCTTAGACCGCACAGCCTAGTCTACGTTTAAACTTCTTCATATTCCGAACGATAATTCAAACGTCAGTTACACATGTTTTTGACTTTATGTTGACTGTTATGAGACTGTTATGTCATCAATTTGTCAATAAAAATATTATATTTACATATTTCGTAAATTAATTAAAATACGTGTAATGTCTAGATAAGAGTTATTACATACAATTATTACACTTCCCACTCAATACTGATAATAACAACATTAAAATCTAGTTTTTTATTAGTATTGAGGTTGCTTTTTATTGCGGTAAGTTTTAGAATTAATCTACTGTCCTGCCCGGGTTTGCGCCGGTGATCATAACTGAGATTATTGTTTATATTAACATTATAACACTCTAGAATAATGTACAATGGACTGCGTTCTGAAAAATTGTTCGACCTTTTACCATCGACAACGAATTCATCCCCACACGTTAGAACCTAAGTGGTCTCGGACAGTGCGGTTTCAGAGGAGGTTCCTAAATACCTTTAAACCAATGAAATACATAGCAATAGTTTTTATTCTAATAAACTTAATATAAGCACATTTGAATAGTCCTATTATGAAAGTACTTTAAAGTTCAGTGCAATGGTTCCGGAATTAACTTTCGATATAACAATTTCCGCTGTTTCTCTTCAAACTTTTCATTGACAATAGAAATAGAAATAATCTTTATTCTAATCATTATCATTACATAGTATGAAACAAATTCGCTGTCTGTCTGTACTATGTATGCTTAAATCTTTAAAACTACGCAATGGATTTTGAAGCTTTTTTTTTTATAGATTGTGTGATTTAAGAGGAAGGTTTATATGTGTAATACATGTATCTGCAATCAGCCTTTCCAGCTATAATCAGATTTTTTGATGTTATAAGCATAGGAGGTGCCTCATCTCAAATGAGGCACCTCCAGCCAGATGCCATCCCATTCACTAAATTTAAAGTTAACTGCAATTGTTCCAAAGTTTACTTTCAATATTTTTTTTTCCTCTATCTGCAATCAGCCCTTCCGGCCATAATCAGATTTTTTGATGTTATTGGCATTTTGCGATGAGGCATCTCCACTAAGTTGCCATCTCAGATTCTTTAGATGTTGGCAAGCCGAGCTCTTTTTAATCTAGATGGACAGTTATTTATATCCAGTAGTTTTGAAGCTAACTGGTTCTTATGGCCTGCTAATCTGTGTTTATATCTTCCACTGGCTTTCTGTATCTCTTCTTTTACAGTTGGAATTTCTAGATATGGGGTGTGTAGTTAATAAAATTCTTATTTAATAAATTTATAACACTTTTGAATAGCTATATTTTGTAAAAATTTAAAGTTAACTGCAATTGTTCCAGAGTTTACTTTCAATATAACAAAATCCCCTGTCTCTCTTCAAACTATTCATTGCTAATTCATTGTTGCAGTGCTCTTTTCAATAATTCATTAACAATTTATTATTACCAGTGCCAATATGGTATCATATGACACAATAGTCATTGGGCTTGGGTCAGCGGGCACCACTGCAGCTTCGACCCTCGCTCGAGCTGGTCGGAGAGTGCTAGCGCTGGAGGCACAGGATCGAGTGGGCGGGAGGGTCCACACTGTGCCGTTTGGTGATGGAATGGTGGAATTGGGTGCTGAATGGTAAGACTGAAATAAAACCTACTTATTTGTAAATTTACCTAATTAGTACAGATAAGGCTTTTTACTTTTATTTATTTATTTATTTATTGGCATACAAAATAGATTACAATCAATATAATAATATAATTAGGAGCGTGTAGTTCGGTACAAAACTGGATTGTAATCCAACACTATGTATGCCTAAAAGATAAATTATATAGACGCCTTCAATATACGCTAGATAGCTAGATAAGGTTATATAATAAAAAGTAAACTAAACAGAAAATAATATATAACTTCTCCAGGATCCATGGTACGGAGCAGAGTAGAGTATATAGCCTGGCCATCCAGAATAATGTCAAGATAATACCCCAGGAGCTGGACATGATGCAGTTCAGATCGGATGGTGCGCAGCCCAACAGTGATTTAATGAATGAACTCATTGTCTTTGCTTTGCAGGTAATTCTATAATAACTAGTATAAGATCCACTAATTATGATGACGACTTAAACTTTGATGCCGGCTCCCGGAAGAGAAACCCCAAGTAGCGCCCGTGACTTGTGACACGGGTGTAGGTTTAAAAGGCCCTTTTAGAATGCATTAACACTCACCTTCACTACTTGCAGCTTCCCCCCAGGCCCAACTAAGACCGGGATAAAGCCGTCTCTAATACAATTCACTATAGTATCCGAATTACAACTGGCACGTTCTGTGCTCGTCGACTGAATGCCGTGACTTATTCAATGAAAGAGAATTAATCATTTGTTTCTGTGGGTTGACAGTGTTACAATGTATCAGATAACGATATGTGCGTGTCATCAATGGGGCCCCATATTTTCATTTGCCCCAGGGCCCTTGGTTACCTAACTACGCCACTGGTTACATGATAACGTGGTATTACGTGATAACCTAGCGCTGTTCATGTAAATAAGATAAAAAAGAAAAGATATAACACAAACAATAATAATAATAATCTCAGGACAATTCACACAGTGCCATCTAGACCCAAGTTAAGCTAGCTAAATCTTGTGTTATGGGTACTAGATAACTGATAATAATAATAATCTCAGGACAATTCACACAGCGCCATCTAGACCTAAGTTAAACTAGCTAAAGCTTGTGTTATGGGTACTAGATAACTGATAATAATAATAATCTCAGGACAATTCACACAGCGCCATCTAGTCCCAAGTTAAGCTAGCTAAAGCTTGTGTTATGGGTACTAGATAACTGATAATAATAATAATCTCAGGACAATTCACACAGCGCCATCTAGTCCCAAGTTAAGCTAGCTAAAGCTTGTGTTATGGGTACTAGATAACTGATAATAATAATAATCTCAGGACAATTCACACAGCGCCATCTAGTCCCAAGTTAAGCTAGCTAAAGCTTGTGTTATGGGTACTAGATAACTGATAATAATCATAATCTCATGACAATTCACACAGCGCCATCTAGACCTAAGTTAAACTAGCTAAAGCTTGTGTTATGGGTACTAGATAACTGATAATAGTAATAATCTCAGGACAATTCACACAGCGCCATCTAGACCCAAGTTAAGCTAGCTAAAGCTTGTGTTATGGGTACTAGATAACTGATAATAATAATAATCTCAGGACAATTCACACAGCGCCATCTAGACCCAAGTTAAGCTAACTAAAGCTTGTGTTATGGGTACTAGACAACTGATAATAATCATAATCTCATGACAATTCACACAGCGCCATCTAGACCCAAGTTAAGTTAGCTAAAGCTTGTGTTATGGGTACTAGATAACTGACACAAATACATAGATACATTATTTTTCATAAATACATACATATTATACATAGAAAACGCCCAGACCGATACAAACAAACATACTCATGAATACAAATGTCCTTCTAAAGTAAACTAAAGAAGTAATGTAATCTAAACCACTATACTACCTAGGCTGTCGACTGATTTGAATAATGACTATTTATATTTCTAACTATATTTTGCTCGCGGGTTAGATATTTTTTCTAAAATAATAGTAGCCTAAGTTACTCCTTATTACATCAGCTACCTGCCAAAAAAAGTCCCGACAAAATCGGTCCAGCCATTTCAAAAAAATGTTCGGGGTCGTTCAAGTATTACGTAAGCAGATTTATTACAATTACTAACTATTGCCCGCGGCTTCGCTCGCGTTAATTTATCCCCTTAGGGGTGGAATTTATCAATATCCTCTCTTAGTGGATGCCTACGTCATAATATCTACCTGCATGCCATATTTCAGCCCGATCCGTCCAGTGGTTTGGGCTGTGCGTTGATAGATCACTATGTCAGTCACCTTGAGTTATATAAACTGACCGTACAGCGGCCTTGAAGCGCGCGCGCATTGTGTTGTGAATTAAAATAAATTAGAACTGTGTTAAACCTACTGTGAAAGTGTGTGAAAGCTAGCGAAGATATCTTCGAGACCCTGAAGCCCAAGAAATCCGCAGAACCATACAGGTACGTGACCGACGTTTCCACATATTTTTCCCTATATATATACAAATATTTTCCCTAACATTTTGGTAGCAGAGAGTAAATTTCCTAAAATTTCTAATATTGTTTTTTTCAGGTAGTGGATGAACCACCCTCGACAGCAGAACCCTTAGGGCAATATATAACTAGGAGGTGAGTTTATATGTATTTGGTATTATCTGTGTCCAAATTCAAATTCAAATTCAAAAATCATTTATTCATGTAGGACATTTTAGCCGCTTAGGAACGTCAAATTTTTACATTATAATTTTATTTTTTCCCTACCGTCCATGAAATATATTCTGTTGTATAATATATTCAGATGTATAAACTATATTATTGGAAAGTTTCATTAAAATCCATTAAGTATTTGACGACCTCGGTGGTCTAGCGGTCTGGCACATCGATGGTCGCGGGTTCGATTACTCGCACGGGATAAACATTTGTATTGATGAGTATGATTGTTTGTATCGGTCTGGGTGTTTTCTATGTATAATATGTATTATTTAAAAAAAAAATCTATGTATATATATCAGTTGTCTAGTACCCATAACACAAGCTTTAGCTAGCTTAACTGAGATGATTATTATTATTAGTTTTGTATTGTGATGTTTTATATATATATATATAATAATAATCTAATAATAATCTCAGGACAATTCACACAGCGCCATCTAGTCCCAAGTTAAGCTATCTAAAGCTTGTGTTATGGGTACTAGATAACTGATACAAGTACATAGATATTTTTTTTTTCGTAAATACATACATAGAAAACACCCAGACCGATACAAACAATCATACTCATGAATACAAATGTTTATGCCGTGCGAGGAATCGAACCCGCGACCATCGGACGTAAAGCGATGTGCTAGACCGCTAGACCACCGAGGTCATCAATATTATATATATATATATATGTTGAACTTTAGCGCGAGTGAATCTGCGGGCACAGCTGTAAAAATAAATAAATATTCCCCAGGGTACACGCGTATATAAAAGAGAATCATCCATCAGTACTCCAAGACCAGGACTTCATCGACGGGTTCCTGCACTTCATGGATCTATACATAGACAACTATGAAGCCACCAGCTCGTGGAACCAGGTCACCACAAGCAGTAACTACCACGAGTTGGACGGTCACCAGCACTTGAGTTGGCACCGCCTCGGCTATAGGACATTCTTCGAGCTTTTACTGGTAAATAACTGTTAAATAACATACTGTTTGTTCATAAGTAAACAACTTATGAACTAACACAATGTCATAGTGATATTATTCTACAGCCTGTGTTTATATTAGGAACTTGTTCCATTCAGTTCAGTATACACAGCATAATAATATCTTATACTAATTGTTGCAAACTATTTTTATACCTTTTTTATTGTTTGATTTTTTATAATATTATATTGTTTTTATATGACATAAGTCAATTTAATACAAAAAAAATATTCTATCAACTACAACGGTGCCGTTTTACTTTTTGCTCGTCATCTTGATCTCCATCCTTCACACTAATATTAACCATCATATAACAATAACAGAGGTAAATAAATAAATCTGGACAATCTGGTATTAAATATAAATAAACTAGCTACTTGCCCCGACTTCGCCCGGGTCTACATGTATTATACCTATAAACTTTCCTCTTGAATCACTCTGTAGCAGCACACAAGAGTAGTGGAACACAGCTACGCGCCAACTGCCGGCGCAATTTTTCGGAAAATGCTGTTGGCCGTAGCTTGAATCACCGGACGTTATGGGGCTGTAGATGGCACTCCAAACCCGCGGAAATATTTATGGAGTGGATGACTATACGACTACGACTTTAGTCTGAGGGCACCGCTAGGGGTTCGAACCTCGGCTCAGGCGGCGTAATTTCGATCCCCGTTTGAATTGGACGGGGGATCGATCGGAGGGGCGCCCGGGGGCGCCGGTGTGGAGCGCCCGGGCGCGCGCAGGCGCCCGGTTGAATGCGCGATATTGTGTGTTTGAGGTCGTCGTCTTCGCCGGCGAGGACGGTGTCGTGTGTGTGTGTAAAAGTGTGGCCGGGGTGGAACGGGTGGGCCCGTGGGGAGGTTGCCGGCGCAACGCGATCGCCGCGCTTATAAACCCGGTGCGAGCGGGAGCGCACTAGCATTGCCTTCTCACTTCATGAATGGAATCACCTGTTTGTATAGTATACTAATGACATGATTTTACGCAAAGTTGTAAAGCATTCCAAATAAATCAATCCACGGATACTACTAAATTATTGGTTTCTCTTCATCCCATACGAGCCACTACACCTCTGTCTATTAAAAAAAACGGCTTCAAAATCCGTTGCGTAGTTTTGAAGATTTAAGCATACATAGGGACAGATAGCGACAGCGACTTTGTTTTATACTATGTAATGATGATGATATGTAAAAACATATTATTATGAAATAAAAATAATCTTTAGTCAAATAAACTTAATATAAGCATTTTTGCATTTTTCAATAGGCACATTTTATTATTCTTGTGAGAGACACTTGTGTGTTGCTATTTATTATTTATAGAATAGAAATAGAAATAAATCTTGTTCTGAGTTAATACACATTAACAAGGATAAGGCATTTATTTATTCATTATATACTAGCTGTACCCGCGACTACATTCGCGTGTAGTACTTGACTAAATAAAGAAAAGATATTCAATTATATAAAGGTAATATTTTTACAAACTTTCATGATTATTCATATTTAATCAACAGCCTAAAAAATAAGTTGTAAGCTAAAGCAAAGTTTTAAAAATGACAATAGTTCCATACAAACTTTCATCTCAGCTTTAAACTCTTTTGTCGCATTAAAAAATAGTTATATATTAATCTTAATATCCTTTCTCAGGGTCTGGACTGTTTGTGTGCCAGTTTGTATATTTATATTTGACCCATAAAATTAGTGCTGGTTGGTAGTTTGTATTCACACGTTTCGACTTGTAAATGTAAACTTACAAGGATTATTTAAAAGAGCAACACACAAGTTTCTTGCTCCTTCTTCTTGTGATGAGACAGCTTTCCGAACGAGTGGTAGATAAAAACAAATTGTTATGACTATTCAAAAGTGCTTAAATTAAGTTTATTTGAATAAATGATTTTCTATTCTATTCTATTACAAACTTCATTTAGATCGGTTCAGTAGTTTTGGTGTGAAAGCGAGACAGACAGAGTTACTTTCACATTTTTTATTTTAATAAGTAATTATCGTATTTTCCAGAACAAATACAACAATGGACCAGGATTACCAACACTTGAAATAAAGTTGAGTACAGAGGTCACCAACATCACCTGGTCTCCAGATCCTGAAGCTAAAGTAACGGTGAGCTGCAAGGATGGTGCGGCATATACAGCTGACAGTGTAATAGTCACTTTATCACTTGGAGTGTTAAAAGAAAGGTAAATATTATTTATGAACTCAATTTTTAAGTTATGTAAAGGGTAAATAAGGTAATGGGCCATTTGATGGTAAGTGGTGACTGTCGCCTATATACAGATACATTAAGTAATTCTGTTTGTAACACAACTCACAACTGTGTGTGTAATTTTATTATATATATATACATATATATATGACAATGACAGTTATATTAAAAATAGACAATTAAAAAGTTATGTCATAAATAAATTCAAAATTGGACAGATTTTCCTATGGATGATAGTGAAATGGTGCACCCGCCTGCGTAAACCGTTTATGCTGGCGGGGCACCATTCCATTATCATCCACTAAACTGTCATCGTGTACTGTCATTGTTACACAACAATGAAATCAATGACAATTATATTAAAAGTAGACAATTAAAAAGTTATGTCATAGACAAATTCAAAATTGAACAGATTTTCCTATGGATGATAGTGAAATGGTGCACCCTAACAATCCCCTTTCCCCCGACGGTCATTAAGTTAAAAAACACCAGTGGAGGATCTTGTTATTAATAAATAGCCCCCAGTTAGTCTCGTGACAAATTCACCAAGAATGACGATGGTTTCCTTGGGACTGAGATGGCGCTGTGTGAATTGACATGGTTATTGTTATTTTATATCATCAGTCCCCATTACTAACAATCCCCTTTCCCCCCCGAAATCATTAAGTTAAAAAATACTAAAAAGATCTTGTTATTAATAAATAGCCCCCAGTTGTCTAGTACCCATAACACAAGCTCTGCTTAACTTGGGACTAGATGGCGCTGTGTGAATTGTCCAGGGTTATTGTTATTTTATATCAGTTGTCTAGTACCCATAACACAAGCTCTGCTTAGCTTGGGACTAGATGGCGCTGTGTGAATTGTCCAGGGTTATTGTTATTTTATATCAGTTGTCTAGTACCCATAACACAAGCTCTGCTTAACTTGGGACTAGATGGCGCTGTGTTAATTGTCCAGGGTTATTGTTATTTTATATCAGTTGTCTAGTACCCATAACACAAGCTTTTTTATACTACGATGGTGGCAAACAAGCATACGGCCCATCTGATGGTAAATGGTTACCGTAGCCTATGGACGCCTGAGACACCAGGGGTATCACGCGTTGCCGACCCTTAAGAAACCTTAATATACCCTTCTTGAAAAACCCCATGCTGTAGTCTCGTGAGAAAACCTCGGCAGGTAGTTCATTCCACAATGTAAGTGTACGCGGGAGGAAGCTCCTCTGAAACCGCACTGTCCGAGACCACTTAGGTTCCAGCGTGTGGGGATGAATTCCCTGTCTATGGTGAGCGGTGCGAAGCTATGCTTAGCATGGGAATAGATGGCGATGGTCAATTGTCCAGGGTTTTTATTATTAACAATGTTACAGACACACGTCTCTGTTTGCACCGCCGCTGCCCATAGACAAAGTGACATCCATAGACAAAATATCTATAGGGGTCATGGACAAAATAATTCTATCCTTCAATAAACAATGGTGGCCTATGGAGACGAGTTTCTATGCGTTCATCTGGAGAGGAGAAGAGAAGAAGAAAGTTAGTAAGGAGGATGTTTGGACCACGAAAATATTTGGGGCCAGCCGTCCCATGGGGACGGGGCACGCTTTGACTTTATGGACGAGTGGGGAAACTGGCATACTGGTGAGTTGTTCTTGAATTGGTGTTATCTATACATATAAATAAAATCGTAGTGTCTATTTGTAATATTGAAATAACCGTTTTTTACTACATGCATATAAATATAAATACGCTACATACACCAAAATATCATTTTTTACCATTTCTGTCTGTCTGTCTGTTTGTTTCGGTTAATCTCTAAAATGGCTGGACCGATTTTGACGGGACCTTTTTTGGCAGGTAGCTGATGTAGTAAGAAGTAACTTAGGCTACTTTTATTTTCCACGCGGACGAAGTCGCGGGAACAGCTAGTATAATATATATATAAAACAATAATAATAATAATAATGTACGCCGCAAAACGTAAAAACCAGCAAACGCTGTGAAGACAAAACAAAAAAATAATAATCTCAGCACAATTCGCACAGCGCCATCTAGTCCCAAGTCAAGCTAACTAAAGCTTGTGTTATGGGTACTAGACAACTGATACAAATACATAGATTTATATATTTTTTCGTAAATACATACACAACATACATAGAAAACAACCAGGCCGATACAAACAATCATACTCATGAATACAAATGTTTGTACCGTGTGAGGAATCGAACCCGCGACCATCGAAAGTAAGTGCGAAATCGGACTAGTTGTATATAGATATTAATTTCTAGGTGGAGTCACTGCCTGAAGATGTGGTGAAACGGAAATGCATGGAATTACTGCGGAGGTTCATGGGTCGGAGTGTTACTATACCAGAACCTACGGCCATGTTGAGGTAACACATCTGTACATAGTATAAATCAAAGTCACCACCGTTTGTCTGTGTAACGCAAAAAAATTGTTTGTGTACTCTTAGATGTATATATGTATGAGTATTTAATAGAATTAGTGCTAATTGGTGGTTTGTATTCACACACTTAAACTTAAAAATGTAAAGTAATAATAAAATTATTTAAAAGAGCAACACGCAAGTTTCTTGCTCGTTCTTCTTGTGATGAGACAGCTTTCCGAACGAGCGGTAGATTAAAAAATGTAATGACTATTCAAAAGTGCTTCAATGTAAGTTTATTTGAATAAATGATTTTCTATTCTATTCTATTCTATTCTATATATATTTGTATTGATTTTGTTATACTTAAATAAAGATGAATTAAAAAAAAAAATCATCGCCGCTTACATCTTTACACTACGCAACGGATTTCAGTGCAGTATTCAAATCAAATCAAAATATCTTCATTCATGTAGGTCTATTACAGACTCTTATGATATGTCAAATCTACCGTCAGTTCGGAATGATTTCGAGATGAGAAGACCTGACAAGAAACTCAGCTCGTATTCTTTTCAAATAAATGTTATATATGTTTATAATAATACAGATTCATTATAAATTCAAATTTGGGAGAATAGAGTGACCACCAGCATATGCTATTGCCATTTTGTCAAAGGCAAATGTGTGTCTTAGAACCCACACCTTATATGGAAATTACATTTATTACAAATAAATAATATATGTATTTTAAATATTTCTTTCTGTCTGTTTGTTCTGGATCGATTTTTACGAGACTTAAATTTTAGTGACAATCTTTATTCAAATAAACTCATTACAAGCACTTTTGAATAATCATATTTGTTTATTCTACCACTCATTTGGAACGCAGACTCATCACAAGAAGAACGAGCAAGAAACTCACTCCACTCCACATTAAAAATATATTCTATTTTTTTCAGATCAACCTGGCACTCAAACCCATACACCCGAGGTAGTTACACGTACGACAACCTATCTTCCCCCCATTACCCCACAGCGAGGGCGGACTTGGCCAGACCCCTGACTGACTCTTCAGGTAGACCAAGGGTACTCTTCGCTGGAGAGGCTACAGACCAGTTCCATTTCTCCACGGTTCATGGAGCCAGTGATTCGGGGTATAGGGAAGCTATGAGACTCTTACCAAGAAGTAAAGTCTAGCTATGATATTAAAAATGTGCCTTATGTGACCCTAAGTGGTCTATATCGACCCCCAGGGGTCTATGACAAACTGCAAGGGGTCTACGACAGCGATCATCTTGTTGTTTTTACACTAAACTTTACAACAATTAGAAATTTACAAAAAATCAATACCAGGTATCAATGGGGGGTCTACCCAAAACCGAAAAATATAGCAAGGGGTCTAAGACACAAAAAAAGTTCGGGAACCTCTGGTCTAGCGGTTGAGCACACCGCTTTACAGCCGATGGTCGCGGGTTCGTTCCTCGCACGATGCGAACATTTGTATTCATGAGTATGATTGCTTGTATCAGTCTGGGTGTTTTCTATGTACATTATCTATTTCAACTTATGGATTTTTTTTTCTAAATACATACATAATATAATAACTATAATCAGGAGCCTAACACGATTTACCAAATAGCATATTCTAATGACTATAACAAAAAAGGTATAGATAAACTTATTACTAGAAAATACAATAGTCAAAAAACAATTGTACGCAGTTCCAACTACAAATGAAACGTTTTTTATTTTATTTTTCGGACTACTCTAATGCTGTTGGCCGTAGCTGGCCTTTACAGCTTCACCGGACGTTAGGGGCGAGTGCAGATGGTACTCCAAACCCGCGGAAGGACTTATGGAGCGGCTGAAGGCCAACTCCTGCCTGACGGATACGACTTTAGTCTGAGGGCACCACTAGGGGTTCGAACCTCGGCTCAGGCCGTCGTAATTTCGATCCCCGTTTGAATTGGACGGGGGATCGATCGGAGGGGAAATGAAACGTGCTATACTGGGAGTTTAATATAATTAGGTAAAATTACAGATAAGTTTAGTTAACATATTTAAGAAAATTAATGCAGCTGTCAAAACGTCAAACTCATTAAGATGTCTTTGTAATTCAAAAGAAAAAATAGATAATAATAACAAGAAACCCGATGTCTCTATCATGCGGATATCCTTTTCAGCATAGCGAATTATTAGTTTTTAATTTTTCTTTTTTACTCTGTACTCTTTGTTATGCTGAATTAATGATTATTATTATTATTATATATATATATATATATATATTTATTATATCTCCCTTTTTACGGGGGTAATATATTCAAACACGCGGGCCTTAGCCAAGCATGGATGAGTTATGTGATGAAGATAGAAATTTTCTGACTATTCGGCATGTGTTTAGTATGACGGCTTTTTGTAATAGGTCTATTGTAGAGGAGGGGATATGCAACGTGTCTAGGTGTTTGTTCAGACTTTTTGGTATAACTCCTGTGAATGACAAAACTATGGGTACTATGTGGATGGTGTGTGCTTTCCAATGTTTTTTTAATTCTATTGATAGATCTGTGTACTTTGTTAGTTTTTCATTGACTGTGCTTTGTATATTGTGTGTGTTATTATTATTATTATTAAGTTGTGATTGTATATACATAGGTCAAACGGGTCGTAGTTTCGAAACGTGTTTAAATGAACATTGGACAAGTCACACAGCGCCATCTAGTCCCACGCTAAGCAGACCTTGTGTTTCAGGTACTAGACAATTGAATACTTAGATTTTTAGTTGTAAACACATACATACATAACTGGCTGTGCCCGCGTCGCACCCGCGTGTAGCCTATATCTTATTCTGATGTTACTGTAAAGTTTTACCAAAATCCGTTCAGTAATTTTTGCGTGAAAGAGTAACAAACATCCATCCATACTCACAAACTTACGCGTTTATAATATTAGTAAGATAAACATAGAAAACACAAAGACCGATACAAACAATCATACTCATGAATACAAATGTTTGTACCGAGCGTGGAATCGAACCAGCGCTATCAGAAGTATGGCGGTGCTGAATTAGAAGATTAGAACACCTAGGTTGTCATATATAATCCTATACAATTCACACAGCGCCATCTAGTCCCAAACAAACCAAAGCTTGTATTAGAAATCTTGGGAAGGGCACAAAGTTAAGTTTTTATCATATATACATATAAAGTTATCTTTATAGAGAACTAGTTACTCGCCCCGGCTTCGCACGGGTGTACATGTATAAAACAAAGTCGCTGTCGCTATCTGTCCGTCCCTATGTATGCTTAAATCTTTAAAACTACGCAACGGATTTTGAAACGGATAGAGTGATTCAAGAGTAAGGTTTATATATATATATATATATATATATAATACATGTACACCCGTGCGAAACCGGGGCTAGTAACTAGTTATATATATATAAACCTTCCTCTTGAATCACTCTATATTAAAAAAAAACTGCAAAATCTGTTGCGTAGTTTTAAAGATTTAAGCAAACATAGGGACAGACAGCGACAGCGACTTTGTTTTATACTATGTAATGATGTATAAGAATACATTTTAAATAAGTATGAATAAAACAATTGTATATTGTTATTATATATTATATACATATAAATGTATAAATTGTTATAAAATGTTTGTTTGTAAATGTTTGAAGTTTTATATTTTGTATGGACATTAATAAATTTATACACAAATATTGTAGTTTTAATAAGAAAAATATTACTCAATCTGTATATATAATACTAGCTGTACCCCGCGACTTCGTCCGCGTGGAATTTAACAAAAATGTTAATTAGATATTTTTTCTAAAATAAAAGTAGCCTAAGTTACTCCTTATTACATCAGCTACCTGCCAAAAAAAAGTTCCGACAAAATCGGTCCAGCCATTTCAAAAAAATGTTCGGGGCCGTTCAAGTGTTACGTAAGCAGATTTATTACAATGACTAGTTTTTGCACGCGACTTCGCTCGCGTTAATTTATCCCCTTAGGGGTGGAATTTATCAAAATACTTTCTTAGGGGATGCATACGTCATAGTAGCTTCATGCATGCAAAGTCTCAGCCCGATCGGTTTAAAATTGACCAAGTTTCATACAAACTTTCATCCCCTATTTTGTCCCTTTGGGGGTAGAATTAATCAAAATCCTTAATCAAATAACATCTACCTGCATGCCAAATTTCAGCCCGATCCGTCCAGTGGTTTGGGATGTGCGTTGATAGATCACTACAGTCACCTTTGAGTTATATATATTTAGATAATAACATCTACCTGCATGCCAAATTTCAGCCCGATCCGTCCAGTGGTTTGGGCTGTGCGTTGATAGATCACTATGTCAGTCACCTTTGAGTTATATATATTTAGATTTTGACACCATACAGATATGTAACTACATACCTTCAATATTTAATTAATTTAATACAATATAATAACTTTGTTCATTATTAAAATACCTACTTTTTAATTGTATCTATTGTTATCAAAATTAAATTATAAGTTCTTGACTTGACCCCCTCCTGGCGCTATGACCACGACTATGTGACCCCCTCCTGGCGCCAAAGCTGGATCCGTCCTTGGTTGAAATACTATAGCTGCAAACTTCAACGGACAACGCGAAATATCGTCTACTCTCTCCACGGTAACCCTGTTTTCTGATCGAAAAATCCTAAAAGATAAACCTCGTCTATGGAAGTTTCACTTTAAAAATTGCAATGCCATATGTACTTCTATATACAAGCTATTTAATACCACTAATTACAAATTTGATGACTTGCAATAAATTTTTTAATTGCTTGATAATCATATAAAGATTTCATTAATAAACCTCAAATCAAGAACAACAAAATGTTGCTTTTCAAAATCATCATTACCATATTTCTAATTGACTATTCTTCCAGCACAAGTATTTATATACCTATATTAAATGAAACCTCAATAGATTTACATATAATATATGTGAACGAAATGTGTTCTAGAAGAGAGGTTATATGTAAAAAGAATGGTACATATATTTGTGCAATGAAACTTATCAATAATATAACAACATATAAGGAATATCAAAATTCGTGTTATTTATTTATGAGTAATATTTGTGAACATATTGGAAACGGTAAGTAATATTAATTAATATTGAGGCACCACCCCAGGACCAGGCCCCTGGAGGCGCGCGCGAGTGCCCACGCGCCTCCACGAGAAGGTAGGGTGCAAGCCTATAGCACCCTAACCAGAGAGATGGGGCCTGTCCTGCAATATCTACAGGACAGGCCAAGCCGCCGAAGTCTGGGTTGAGTGCCAAGTGCGAACCCTGGACTTCGGCCCGCGGCACCTCGAGGTATACCGTGTGGTTTTTTAGCGGGTACGAGTCCCACACACCACCTCGCCATCCCTCCGGCGGGGTGACGGTCTTGTTGAAGAATTTTTCCACACGATAAAAAAAAAAAGTAATATTAAAGCATTATGCATAAAACAAATGCATAAACAAAAGAAAAAAAAAACTAGGTAAAACCACAGAAAACATAATATTACATAGTAAAACGGAGAAAATATATTAATAATAGACAACTAACATATTGACAACAGAAAAAGAATGAATTGAAGTATCAAAAAAAAAAGAATGTAATATAAAAGAACTATAAATTCAAATACAAATTTAGAATATAAAATACATATCTGATTAGCCAGTTACAACAAAATGTATGAAATTTATTTGTGTAATTTCAATGCACAAAAGTAATGTGTATATATGGCGGACTTAACACCTTGCGGCAGGGGGGCAGGCTTTTTTTTTGAGGGTTGATAATGGAATGGTGCACTCCCCTGCGCTAACGGTATACGCTGGCGGGGCACCAGTGGAGGATGATAAAATGAGCATGAGGTCAGGCCAGTTAGCCCATCGTGACAAATTCACCAGGAATTTAACACGATGGTTTCCAGGGGGAGCCGCGAGTAATGAGGACCAATGATCCCATTGATGACGACCTCCACGCGGTTCCCCCTGGAAAAAAATACCACGGTGACGAAATCGTTATGTACTTAAGGTAATTAATTTTTCAGTCTCACTATCCATTCTCTATTACCCACTATTACCCTCGCTCTCTTTCTCTCTCGCTCTCGCGCTTTCTCTCTCTCTCTCCCTCTCTCTCTAATTCTCACTCCCTACATATTTCATACATTATTTATTTTTCAGAATATTTCATCGTCACAAGCGGGACCTGTCAACAGTATTTGAAGTCACGTAGAAATGAAAAGAACGAAAAAATTAATAGTACTACAGGTTGTTTTTTTATATCTCAGGACAATTCACACAGCGCCATCTAGTCCCAAGTTAAGCTAGCTAAAGCTTGTGTTATGGGTACTAGATAACTGATAATAATAATAATCTCAGGACAATTCACACAGCGCCATCTAGTCCCAAGTTAAGCTAGCTAAAGCTTGTGTTATGGGTACTAGACAACTGATAATAATAGATATTTTTTTCTCGAACGGAACGAAAACAACGATTCAGGTATCGAACCCGTATCGGAAATAAGCTATCTAAAGCAAATTGAGTGTCTGTAATATTAAAATAACCGTTTTTTACTACATGCATATGAGTATAAATATATAGTACATATACCTACCAAAATAATATTTTTACATTTTTTGTCTGTCTATCTGTTTGTTCCGGATAATCTCTGAAATGGCTGGACCGATTTTGACGGGACTTTTATTGGCAGGTAGCTTATGTAATAAGGAGTAATATAGGCTACTTTAATTAAAAAAAAAATTGTTAAATTCCACGCGGAAGAAATCGCGAGAACAGCTAGTATTGATATAAAAAGGAATTGGTTGATTGTTTTTTGTAATTGTTTGTATTGAATTATGGAATTGATAGGCTGTTGATTAAATATTCTTATTATAATATAAAAGAAATTTAATTCCAGCAAATAGTACATATGGCGCAACAGAAAGCTTTCTCAGATTGGGAAAATCAACAACAAAATTTACAACAAAACCAACATCAATTTACGATATCGACACTGCATATGACGAGCTGTTGATTAAATATTCATATTATAATATAAAAGAAATTTAATTCCAGCAAATAGTACATATGGCGCAACAGAAAGCTTTCTCAGATTGGGAAAATCAACAACAAAATTTACAACAAAACCAACATCAATTTACGAAATCGACACTGCATATGACGAGCTGTTGATTAAATATTCATATTATAATATAAAAGAAATTTAATTCCAGCAAATAGTACATATGGCGCAACAGAAAGCTTTCTCAGATTGGGAAAATCAACAACAAAATTTACAACAAAACCAACATCAATTTACGATATCGACACTGCATACGACAACCACATCTGCCCGCTGTCCTGTCCGGACACGTACTCGCCAGTTTGTCTGAGCGTCAACCGAGGATTTGGGAAATACTTCAAATTCTTCACATTCATAAATCATTGCTACGGAGATGTTTATTACTGCAAGAACTGGGAAGGTAACACTATCCGTTGATACTAATCCGTCATGCTCGTGAACGGTGCTTGTAGTGTTCACTTATTTGTGATTTGTGTGATTGCGATGTTTACTACTGCAAGAACTGGGAAGGTGACACTATCCGTTGATTCTCATCCGTCATACTCGTGAACGGTGTTTCTAGTGTTCACTTATTTGTGATTTGTGTGATTGCGATGTTTACTATTAAGAACTAAGGTTTTCCGTTGATTCTCATCCGTCATACTCGTGAACGGTGTTTCTAGTGTTCATAGATTTGTGTGATTGCGATGTTTACTACTGAAAGAATTGGGAAGGTAACACTATCCGTTGATACTAATCCGTCATGCTCGTGAACGGGTGCTGCTTGTGGGGACTGGTCTGTTTAGACTATCGCAATAGGATATACTGGTCACTATTCTCACAAATGTCACAGATTCTCATCCGTCATACTCGTGAACGGTGCTTGTAGTGCTCACTTATTTGTGATTTGTGTAATTGCGATGTTTACTACTGCAAGAACTGGGAAGGTAACACTATCCGTTGATACTAATCCGTCATGCTCGTGAACGGGTGCTGCTTGTGGGGACTGGTCTGTTTAGACTATTGCAATAGGATATACTGGTCACTATTCTCACAAATCTCACAGATTCTAATCCGTCATACTCGTGAACGGTGTTTCTAGTGCTCACTTATTTGTGATTTGTGTGATTGCGATGTTTACTACTGCAAGAATTGGGAAGGTAACACTATCCGTTGATACTAATCCGTCATACTCGTGAACGCGTGCTGCTTGTGGGGACTGGTCTGTTTAGACTATCGCAATAGGATATACTGGTCACTATTCTCACAAATCTCACAGATTCTCATCCGTCATACCCGTGAACGGGTGCTGCTTGTGGGGACTGGTCTGTTTAGACTATCGCAATAGGATATACTGGTCACTATTCTCACAAATCTCACAGATTCTCATCCGTCATACTCGTGAACGGTGCTTGTAGTGCTCACTTATTTGTGATTTGTGTACTTGCGATGTTTACTACTGCAAGAACTGGGAAGGTAACACTATCCGTTGATACTAATCCGTCATGCTCGTGAACGGGTGCTGCTTGTGGGGACTGGTCTGTTTAGACTATCGCAATAGGATATACTGGTCACTATTCTCACAAATGTCACAGATTCTCATCCGTCATACCCGTGAACGGGTGCTGCTTGTGGGGACTGGTCTGTTTAGACTATTGCAATAGGATATACTGGTCACTATTCTCAAAATCTAACAGATTCTCATCCGTCATACCAACATCTCAATTTGTGATTTGTGTGATTGCGATGTTTACTACTGCAAGAATTGGGAAGGTAACACTATCCGTTGATACTAATCCGTCATACTCGTGAACGCGTGCTGCTTGTGGGGACTGGTCTGTTTAGACTATTGCAATAGGATATACTGGTCACTCTATTCTCACAAATCTCACAGATTCTCATCCGTCATACTCGTGAACGAGTGCTGCTTGTGGGGACTGGTCTGTTCGGGTTACGAACACTGATTAGACTATTGCAATAGGATATACTGGTCACTATTCTCACAAATCTCACAGATTCTCATCCGTCATACTCGTGAACGGTGCTTGTAGTGTTCACTTATTTGTGATTTGTGTGATTGCGATGTTTACTACTGCAAGAATTGGGAAGGTAACACTATCCGTTGATACTAATCCGTCATACTCGTGAACGGGTGCTGCTTGTGGTCTGTTCAGGTTACGAACACTGATTAGACTATTTGCTTTTGCAATAGCATATGCTGGTGGTCACTCTATTCTCCCAAATTTTATATTAAAATAAATCTGTTTTATTGTAAACATGTACAACATTTATTTGACAATCATACTCATGAATACAAATGTTTGTGCCGTGCGAGGAATCGAACCCGCGACCATCGGAAGTAAGGCGGCTAGACCGCTAGACAACCGAGGCCGTCAAATGCTATCTATACATATAAAAAAAATTGGAGTGTCTGTTTGTAATATTGAAATAACCGTTTTTTACTACATGCATATGAATATAAATACGGTACATACACCAAAATAACATTTTTTACAGTTTTTGTCTGTCTGTTTGTTCCGATTAATCTCTGAAATGGATGGACCGATTTTGATGGGACCTTTTTTGGCAGGTGATGTAATAAGGAGTAACTAAGTCTACTTTCTTTTAGAAAAATAAAGTTAAATTCCACGCGGACGAAGTCGCGTGTACAGCTATTGTTATATATATATATATATCAAATATTATGTTTCAGATTTCTCCCCACCACCCGATGAAGAATTCGAGATGGTGAATAGTTCTCCACTTGGATGGTCATATTGTGGCGCTTCTCGGTAAGAATTACTAAGTATTTTTAGATGAAGACCATCAAAAACCTTATCATATTATCATATCATACTCGTGAACGAGTGCTGCTTGTAGGGACTGGTCTGCTCTTATCACTACGACTGATTTAATCTTATTGTATTTTTATATTTGAGCCTAAATAAATTAGTGCTGGTTGGTAGTTTGTATTCACACGTTTCGACTTGTAAAATGTGAACTTACAAGGATTATTTAAAAGAGCAACACACAAGTTTCTTGCTTATTCTTCTTGTGATGAGACAGCTTTCCGAATAAGCGGTAGATTTAAAAAAATGTTGACTATTCAAAAGTGCTTAAATTAAGTTTATTTGAATAAATGATTTTCTATTCTATTCTATTCTAACTATAGTAACTAGTAATTATAATATCAGGGGCGGATTATGAATTTGTGGGGCCCTAGGCTAAATCTACTTAGGTACCTGCCTAATTATATTACTCAACTAAAAAAATACACCGACCAAAAAATTATTTACAAGCGACCAGAAATCTCTCCAAAGACAATGTTCCTTTCGATAGACGCGCATCGAATATACATATATACATATTCTTATTAACATATTGACTTCAGCTGCGATTTGATACAGCAGAACTTTTCATAGGGCTAGTTATGTTTCACTATGTTTATTATCTTATATATAAAATTCTCGTGTCACAGTTTTCGTTCCCATACTCCTCCGAAACGGCTTGACCGATTCTCATGAAATTTTGTGAGCGTATTGAGTAGGTTTGAGAATCGGCCAACATCTATTTTTCATCCCCCTAAATGTTAGGGGTAGTCCACCCCTAAATTTTTTTTTATTTTTTAGACAAAATTTTTAGTTTCTATTTTTTTATGATACAACATACAAAAATACATACAATCCTAAATTTTCACCCTTCTATCATCAACCCCTATTTTTTTATAGCGTTATTAATTTATATGGCAAAACAACGTTTGCCGGGACAGCTAGTCTTATATATAAAACTCTCGTGTCACAATGTTAGTTACCATACTCTTCCGAAACGGTTTGACTGATTTTTATGAAATTTTATATTCATATTAAGTTGGTCTGAGAATCGACTACTATTTTTCATATCCCTAAGTGATAATCCCTTATTTTTATTTTTTGGACAATATTTATTATTTTTATAATGTGGAATTAATACATATAAAAATCCAAAATTTGTACCTTTCTAGCATAAACACCATTTTTTAATAGTGATTTTAATTTATATGGCAAAACAACGTTTGCCGGGACAGCTAGTATATTATATATACAAAATATACCATACACACATAAATACATGACATATAATCTCGCAGGTACCTACAGTTCGCCAGATTCTCCGAGGTGGCGTCTTCCATGGGCCACTACGGGTGGCTGGCCGGAGACCAGCGGTATTCCCACATCATGGCACCTGGCGAGAGAAGTCCAGGGTACGGGTAGATTACATCCGCGTCTATAGTCATCACTAGAGACTGGATTATATGCATTTGCATTTCGCATATGCATTTGCATATTTTAGCCATTCTCAGAGGTAATAGCATATTTTACCTAAGATCTAGTTATGATGCATATTATCGGTACATTTACAATATTTGTTACTCACCCTGCGTTCCGAAATGCGACCAAGTTTAATATAATAAACAGCAATATTAATAAAACCCCTTGGTTTTGTAAGTCTACATATTTTAACAGTAGTAAGTTTTATTCTATTATAATATGTAGAAATAAAATTTATTCAAATAAACTCATTACAAGCACTTTTGAATAGTCATATTTTGATTCTACCACTCATTCGGAATGCAGATTCATCACAAGAAGAATGAGCAAGAAACTTGTGTGTTGCTAAGAGTGATAAGGCCGCCTTTTGGTTGTAATATTTTTGTTTTTTGTAATTATTTGTCTTTTATCTATACATATAAATAAAATTGTAGTGTGTGTTTGTAATATTGAAATAACCATTTTTTACTACATGCATATGAATATAAATGAAAATAATTAACATTTTTTACAATTTTTATTTATCTGTCTGTTTGTTCCGGCTAATGTCTGAAATGGTTGGACCGATTTTGACGGGATTTTTTTGGCAGGTAGCTGATAGAATAAGGAGTAACTTAGTCTACTTTTATTTTAGAAAAATATTTTATTTAGAAAATTAAATTCCACGCGTACGAAGTCGCGGGAACAGCTAGTAATTCATAAAATTAAACAATTGAATTGTTCACTTAAGAAAATTCAATAATAACAAATGAAATAGATCAAATAAAAAGGTTCTAGGAAGAAATCACTAGGAAATTGTTAATTAATAGTCGAGTAAAATTTTAAATTCAACATGACGTGACCAGTTTCGACGCAATATATAAAAATAAGTCCACTAATACATGAATAATAACATTCAGAAGGAAATTTTGATTTAAGTCAAAGGTACAGGGATGAAAAATTAAAAAAAAAATGGTAGAAAAACGCCTTTTTTCGAAATAACTCGATAATAGTAAAAAATACGAAAAAATCATTTAAATAAAAGTTGTAGAGAAAAAAAATCTGCACAAAACAGGTCCTCTTAATTTTTTCATTATCTGCTGTTGTTGAGCCACAAAAATTAAAAATATATGTATATATATCTATATAAACATCTCTTTGGGCACTTTGTTGATCACGCCACAACCCCAAAACTTGGTGATTCCACCTTTTGCACTGAATAACTTGAATCCTGTCGCGCACTTTCAGCAAGCAATATATATATATATATTATATATATATATAATGATATTTTCAGGGTTTCTTTATAAAATAAACTAAAATTTGTTTCTCTGTAAACAAAGAAATGTTTTATTTAATTTTAAAACGCTACAATTATTTAACACTGAAATAATGAATCACACATAACTCACCTGTAAAAAAAGAAACGACATTTAAATTTTATTACAATTATTATTCAGCTATTACTGTCTTTTTATAATATATTTGATATATATAACCTTATTCACGCACACTTGTTTTTGCACGATCCATTTTTATGTTATTTCTATTGACCCTTTGACACTCCTTGCAATCAACAGCGCGGAACGCGGCAAAATTTGAATTGTTGAAATATTTAATTATATTATTATAATGTTAGGAATATGCTCTAAATTTATTAATTATTATATTAATTTTAACAAAATCAGTAAAAGAACTTTTCAAGCAAACATGGTATGATACGGAGATTCGTTCGAGAGCACGTCTGTCGACCAAAAGAGGCCGCACACCGGGTTTCGCAGCCTTTTATAGACGCGCCGCACGACGGTGGCGCCACCACAGGAAGTTACATCTAACAAACTTATATATATATAAACTTACAAGAACTTTTTCTCGTCAGGTCATAATTTCCAATTGCTTCAAAATACTGACATCTATAACCGTCTCATCGACCATCTGCTCGGGATGATGTATCAGATGCAGCAGTATTCTGGCCTTACTGTTACCTCCCCACCTGCAGATACTGCATACAAACGTGTACTCCCGACTCTCCTCGACTTTTACGTTATGTTCCGTATACAGATGTTGTTTGAGACGATGTTTCGTGCACAATTGGATATTGCATTCTTTGCATCTTTTTCTTAAACGTTTGTGAGCTTGTAATGCCCTCATGTTGGGATATCTGTAACATAATAATGTTTATATAGTATTATCTATTCGCCCCGGCTTCGCTCGGGTGTACATGTATTATACATATAAACTTTCCTCTTGAATCACTCTATCTATTACAAAAAACCGCTTCAAAATCCATTGCGTACTTTTAAAGATACATAGAGACGGACAGACAGCGACAGCGACTTTGTTTTATACTATGTAATTAAAAAACAATTATTTTTAATTCAATGCGAGCGAAGCCGCTGGTAAAAGCTAGTTATCCATCAATATTAGCATAGATAAAGAGAAGTAAATTACCTGGCATCGCATTGACTGCATATGAAAATCTTATTGCTTTTATGCAAGTTGGTATGATCCTGCAGGTCCTCATCATCCTTCGCCACGTACCGGCAGTCGGGGCACTTGTTCCCGTGGTTCATCTTCTCTCTATGACACATCAGGGATCTATAGTGCCGCCCTATGAAGGGGCACTGGGGGCACTTGAGGGGGTTGTCGGGCCGGTGGCGGAGCTCATGCTTCTTGGTGTTCTTCTTGGAGGCGCTGCGGTAGGGACAGTATGCGCATTTGAAGGGTTTGATACCTGAAAACAGTGATAGTGTCATCAGAGATACGAGCGGATCAAATTTTTACTGTGGTCAATAATAATAACAATTAAATTTAGAAAAAACACTGTACTACCCTTCAAAAGGCCGCCATTTTGAATACCTATTGCCTGAAAACAGTGAGAGTGTCATCAGAGATACGAGCGGATCAAATTTTTACTGTGGTCAATAATAATAATAACAATTAAATTTAGAAAAAACACTGTACCACCCTTCAAAAGGCCGCCATTTTGAATACCTATTGCCTGAAAACAGTGAGAGTGTCATCAGAGATACGAGCGGATCAAATTTTTACTGTGGTCAATAATAATAATAACAATTAAATTTAGAAAAAACACTGTACCACCCTTCAAAAGGCCGCCATTTTGAATACCTATTGCCTGAAAACAGTGAGAGTGTCATCAGAGATACGAGCGGATCAAATTTTTACTGTGGTCAATAATAATAATAACAATTAAATTTAGAAAAAACACTGTACCACCCTTCAAAAGGCCGCCATTTTGAATACCTATTGCCTGAAAACAGTGAGAGTGTCATCAGAGATACGAGCGGATAAAATTTTTACTGTGGTCAATAATAATAACAATTAAATTTAGAAAAAACACTGTACTACCCTTCAAAAGGCCGCCATTTTGAATACCTATTGCCTGAAAACAGAGAGTGTCATCAGAGATACGAGCGGATCAAATTTTTACTGTGGTCAATAATAATAATAATTAAATTTAGAAAAAACACTGTACCACCCTTCAAAAGGCCGCCATTTTGAATACCTATTGCCTGAAAACAGTGAGAGTGTCATCAGAGATACGAGCGGATAAAATTTTTACTGTGGTCAATAATAATAATAATTAAATTTAGAAAAAACACTGTACCACCCTTCAAAAGGCCGCCATTTTGAATACCTATTGCCTGAAAACAGTGAGAGTGTCATCAGAGATACGAGCGGATCAAATTTTTACTGTGGTCAATAATAATAATAATTAAATTTAGAAAAAAACACTGTACCACCCTTCAAAAGGCCGCCATTTTGAATACCTATTGCCTGAAAACAGTGAGAGTGTCATCAGAGATACGAGCGGATAAAATTTTTACTGTGGTCAATAATAATAACAATTAAATTTAGAAAAAACACTGTACCACCCTTCAAAAGGCCGCCATTTTGAATACCTATTGCCTGAAAACAGTGAGAGTGTCATCAGAGATACGAGCGGATCAAATTTTTACTGTGGTCAATAATAATAATAACAATTAAATTTAGAAAAAACACTGTACCACCCTTCAAAAGGCCGCCATATTGAATACCTATTGCCTGAAAACAGTGAGAGTGTCATCAGAGATACGAGCGGATCAAATTTTTACTGTGGTCAATAATAATAATAACAATTAAATTTAGAAAAAACACTGTACCACCCTTCAAAAGGCCGCCATTTTGAATACCTATTGCCTGAAAACAGTGAGAGTGTCATCAGAGATACGAGCGGATCAAATTTTTACTGTGGTCAATAATAATAATAACAATTAAATTTAGAAAAAACACTGTACCACCCTTCAAAAGGCCGCCATATTGAATACCTATTGCCTGAAAACAGTGAGAGTGTCATCAGAGATACGAGCGGATCAAATTTTTACTGTGGTCAATAATAATAATAACAATTAAATTTAGAAAAAACACTGTACCACCCTTCAAAAGGCCGCCATTTTGAATACCTATTGCCTGAAAACAGTGAGAGTGTCATCAGAGATACGAGCGGATCAAATTTTTACTGTGGTCAATAATAATAATAACAATTAAATTTAGAAAAAACACTGTACCACCCCAAAGGCCGCCATTTTGAATACCAATAGAACAGTACGAAATTTCATGGAAATAGATGTTGAAGACGACAGAAGTGTATACTATAGGATCCTGGTTCTGGATAGGATCCTGGATCCTGTTTCGTGCAAAATCAAGATCCCTGGTCGTACGGTCGGACGGCGAAGTAAAAATGCTCGGTTGTTTGCACTTAGTATAAAGAATTAATACATCGGAGGAAGTATGAAAGTGGCACCGATGTCAGAGAGGTTAAAGAGTAATCGTCTATCGTGGTATGGGCATGTAATGCGTAGGAATGAAGATCATATCCTAAGGACGGTGTTACATATGAATGTGGATGGTTATAAGGGCAGAGGAAGACCGAAAAAGAGATGGATGGACTGTGTGAAAGATGATATGGTAAGAAAGGGAGTAAATAACGGAATGACTGCGAACAGAGATGAATGGAAGAGAAAAACATATTACGCCGACCCCAAATAAATGGGATAAGGAAGAAGCAGATGATGATGTTTGCACTTAGTAGGAAGGCACCTACCACCTGTCGCTGTCTCGCCAGTGAATGCGGACCGCTGCCGTTTTTCGGACTACTCTAATGCTGTAGGCCGTTGGCCTTTACAGCTTCACCGGACGTTAGGGGCGAGTGCAGATGGCACTCCAAACCAAAGGAAGATCTTATGGAGCGGCTGAAGGCCAACTCCTGCCTGACGGATACGACTTTAGTCTAAGGGCACCACTAAGGCGGCGTTTTAAACCGCTAAACCACTGGGGCCGATAAACATTTCATCGAGTTATGTAACCTGAATTGGACAGCAGATCTGAAGTGAAAAGTAGACGTGTAAATCCCAAGGGATATACACACAATAAAGAAAAAGAAAGAAAATTGTTTATATGGCACACAGAAAATAATTTTTAAATTTTAATTTACATTTTATCGGTTTATATTAATTATATATGTCGTGACGGGGTGCCACGACGCTGATCCGGCTCTTCCAGGGAAATATCTAATAATATAATAGAAATATCAGACGATTCGGCTATATGTAAGTAGTGCTTTGTCTATATCTTTATACAAAGACTGGCGTGTGTGATCGTCCATAAGTTGGATCTCCCAAAGTGTCATCGGTTCTACCGAATTGATACATAGCTTATACATCATATTACTTAGATACTTAGGATAGATGAATTTATAGATGATAGCAATATATAGCAAGTATAAGTTTATTTGCGGACAACGTTATAATTTATTTTTCATACTGCTTTCTTGATATATGATAGCGTAGCGGCTTTTGTATTGATTGCCGCATGCATCCTCATGTAAAGTGCGAATACTGTAACTACCATATAGTAATTTTTGTAGCTGTGACGTGGTCGAGTGGAATGAGTAGTCATGCTCACTAAAATGTCCAGACATGTGGCGGCGTGGTGGGCCGGGTCATTGGGCTCCCTAAAATATGGTCGAGCGCAGTGATGGCTGGCTCATCCGTCATAGTCGTGAACGAGTGCTGCTTGTAGGGACTGGTCTGCTCTTATCACTACGACTGATTTAATCTTATTGTGTTTTTATATTTGAACCTAAATAAATTAGTTCTGGTTGGTAGTTTGTATTCACACGTTTCGACTTGTAAAATGTGAACTTACAAGGATTGTTTAAAAGAGCAACACACAAGTTTCTTGCTTATTCTTCTTGTGATGAGACAGCTTTTCGAATAAGCGGTAGATTTAAAAAAATGTTGACTATTTAAAAGTGCTTAAATTAAGTTTATTTGAATAAATGATTTTCTATTCTATTCTATTCTACTTTACAAACCAAAGATGGAATCAAACCACTGATTGCAAACAATCAAAAGTGGCAATTCCAAAAAAAACCATCGACTAACTAAACGCCTACTGAATCTAGATAACATCTAAGATCTAGAATCTAGATAGCATAATCTTACACACAATGATAGGGACAATAACGGGCCATTGTTCCTTAAACAAACACCTGTACACAATAGATGCTACAGACAGTCCTCTTTGTCGGGGCTGGTTTGAAGCTGAAGAAACGGCGGCTCACGGAATCCTGGAGTGCTACAGTGGCCACACAACGAAAACAAATCCTCGGAACGGTGAGGTCGCTCCGTGAGGCCTGTGAAGATACCAGACTTCTGTGCTTTTGTGAGGAGCTTGGCTGACTACTGTAGTAGTCTGGCTCTACTCGCACAACGGCCCAAATGAGGGGCTAATGGCGGAGACTGGAGTCCAATTTACATTTACATTTTTATACATCAGAACAACATATAGGCTATAAATTTCTATCTATTTCTATTTGATGGATCATCATTATCATTATCATCATCGCAGCCCGGAAGACGTCCACTGCTGAACATAAGTGCATCATCATAATCCATGCAAATACCCACCTTGATGTATCCGGACGTGTTCCTCGAACACTGCCTTGTTGTACGTCGAGTAGTCGCACATATAACATTGGAACGGGTTCTCTCCTCGGTGTACCTTCCTGACGTGACGCAGCATTCTCTCTTCTGTCGTGGCCGTATATCTATAATTACAATATAAGAGGAAAATATGAGTATAGTTTTAACTGATAACTCCTAGAAGTATGGTAATAGGGGTTGTATGTGTTAGGGTTCACATCAATATTGTAGTAAAAATCAGATATTTTAAAATAATATTAAAAGAAAGTAGTTTGTGTTTAATACTAATGAAGTACCCAATGTAAAGATTATTATAAATATTGTAAATAGCGCCATCTAGTATTTATAGACCGATCTACTACACTGACTTCGGTCTATAAATACGGAGGTTGGTAGTTGAATCCTCTTTCGTTGGGTGAACCGCGGCATTCTGTCGACGAGCGCAGAGCGTGCCGGTTGTGTTTTGGATACTAAAGTGGATTGTATTAGAAATGGGTTTATCCCGGTCTTAGTTGGGCCTGGGGGGAAGCTGCAAGTAGTGAAGGTGAGTGTTAACGCATTCTAAAAGGGCCTTTTAAACCTACACCCGTGTCACAAGTCACGGGCGCTACTTGGAATTTTTCTTCCGGTAGCAGCTTCAAGTATGGACTAAATGACGTAGTGGAGTAACTTGAAACAAAGATGATAGAATAAATAACATGTTTCACTGTCTCCTGTAATCTTACATAAATATTGTAAATTATGTTGATTACAGGAATTTATGCTTATGAATAAGTTACTAACCTGATACATTCTGGACACTTGATCCGGCCAGACGTATGCTGGGTTGGGGTTTCTGTGACTTCCTGTCTTAACAGTGAAAAAATTTCTATTAAAATACATTATAAGTAAAAAAAAGGAGTGTATTGTTGGTTTGAACTTGACAGCCTCAGTGGCTTAGTGGATTAGCATACTGCTTTACTTCCGATGGTAGCGGGTTCGAACCTTGCATGGTACATTTTTATATATGAGTATGATTGTTTGTATCCGTCTGGGTGTTTTCTATGTATATAATGTATGTATTTACAAGAAAATGTATATGTAAGTGGTTCTATTAGTTATCTAGTACCCATAACAGGCGTCTGCTGTGACCCATACAATCTGGATGCTATGATGATCATTACATAGTATAAAACAAAGTCACTATTGCCGTCTGTCCGTCCCTATGTATGCTTAAATCTTTAAAACTACACAACGGATTTTGAAACGTTTTTATTAACAGATTAAGTGATTCAAGAGTAAGGTTTATATGTATAATACATATACACCCGTGCGAAGCCGGGGTGGGTAGCTGGTGATGTATAAATGATAAGTCCAGGTTGCTTTCCAACTTGATTTATTGAGTACACAATGATAGAGTGTGGACTGATGCTTGCTTGTGAATATTTGGGTGGGTTTTTTGATGATAATGGAATGGTGGACCCGCCTGCGCTAACGGTTTACACTGGCAGGACACAAGTGGAGGATGATCATGAGGTCAGGTCAGTTAGCCCATCGTGTCACGGACAAGAATTGAAGGATATTCTTAGGAGCGATGGTTTTTATCTCCTTATATAGTAGAGTGTAAACTTTCCAAAGGAGATATTTCGTTTATGCATGAGTGGGCTACAACCACATAGGATGTGTAGCGGCGTTTCCTCTTCAGTTTGGTAGAATCTGCAGATTCTTGTCGTGCATAGGCCTAGTTTATATGTATGCTACTGTGCTTGTATGTATTGAGGCTTCATGGAATGATTATATTTAAGTACCCTACATATTTAATTTTGATAAAAAGTTATATTGAGGGTAACATTTATTGTTACCCTCAATATAACTTTTACACTGACGCCGCGGACGAACTAGCGAGAGTAGGATCCGGTATGATGGTTGCAGGCCCCCTCCCGCTTATGCCAATACCATTCTCGCAAATTCGCACCTGGATTCGCCAGAGATCCACCGAAATACAAAACCAAAGATGGAACCTAACCACTGATTGCAAACAATCTAAAGTGGCAATTCCAAAAACGAACCATCGGTTAACAACACGTCTACTTAATCTAGATAGACATAACCTCAAAATAATGATAGGGACAATAACGGGCCATTGTTCCTTAAACAAACACTTATACAAAATTGATGCTACAGACAGCCCCCTTTGTCGGGGCTGCTTTGAAGCTGAAGAAACGGCAGCTCACGTAATCCTGGAGTGCACGGCAGTGGCCCAACAACGAAAACAAATCCTCGGAACGGTGAGGTCGCTCCGTGAAGCCTGCGAAGACACCAGGAGTCTTCTGCGCTTTTGGGAGGAGCTTGGCTGGCTACTTTAGTAGACTGGCTCTGCACGCACAACGGCCCGAATGAGAGGCTAATTGCGGAGAATGGAGTCCAACATACAATTACAATTACATATAACTTTTACACACAATTATTGTTATACAACAAGATCAGACTAAATTTCATAACATATAGACTATATATCACATAGATGAAACCGCAGGCACAGCTAGTACTTAAATATTTTTAAAGATCAACTCACTGTTCCTCTTCAAACTTATCATTAATATCTGTAAATGCTGTTTGTGTATCTTCAAGAAGTGGTATGGTCTCTGTTGCTGATGTAAGTGTGGTGTCAGGCTGCTGGGCTTCGTTAGTTGCATAGTCGGAGTCCTGGACATCAACGAATAGCGGAAGATCCGAGGATTGGGTTGTGCTGTCTGTTAGAGGGGAAGCGTTATGTTTTAAAACACATTTATGCAGAGATCCTGTTTTAATGTAAGGTGACCAATTATTTTTTGCCCAAAAAGAGTACAGTTTGCAAGTATTCCATAGGTGAAAAAAAAGATAAAATGATATAACCCTCATTTTCTTATAAAAACATATTTTTCTTTGGAGTTATTATTAGATAACTTTTTCTAAATGAGGATGTTCATCTAATAATGTAGTCACATTGGAACAATTTTAATTTTGCATATAAAATTTTACTTTGAATGATTTTACAGAAAGTTGCTACTTCTCACTGCATCCCTAGTGATAACACCCTTTCAACAGCAGCAATAGTGCCTGGACTCATCATCATCATCAGCCCACTGCAGTCCACTGCTGGACATAGGCCTCTCCCAAGGCACACCACTGGGCATGATCTTCAGCCCTTCTCTTCCAGTTTTTACCTGCAATCCTACATATGTCATTGTTCCACCTAGCTGCGGGGTGTCTTACACTATGTTTGCCAATTCAGTGGCCACTCTAGAACACACCTACTTCAGCGAGCATCAGTTCTGCAATAGGTATGACCAGCCCACTACTACCACAACTTGCAAATAGGAAGAGCTATGTCAGTGACCTTACTTCTCTGGCGAATTACTTCGTTTCGGATTTGATCCCTCAAAGAAACTCCAAGCACAGTCTTTTCCATAGCTCGTTGAGCGATTTTGAGTTGGTGGACCAGTCGTATCGTCGTACCTTGGTCTTAAGGCTTTGTGGTAGCGACGACGAGAAGACTTGACGAAGTTTCCCAAAAGCCGCCCAGCCTAGCTGTATTCAACCCATCCCTATCAAAGTTGTTTTTACCTGAACTACATAAGGAAATTTCTATTGAAACTTTTAAATTTTCAAGTGGGATATGTTCTCTAATATGCAGAAAGCCTCAAATTACTGTCAAAATAAGTTTAAATAAATAAATAATAAAATTGAAATAAAATAATCTAAAAAAATGTTTTAGATGTTGATTATAAAATTATACAAATGAATACTTTCAGAGTACAGGATTTGAAATGAGTACGGTATAATAATAAATAGAGTACAAAACTAAGCAAATAGTTGGTCACCTTATCTAATGTGAATGTTCATATTGTTGCTTATACGGACTATATCTACGAATTACCTTCTATTATACTTAATTCCATTGCAACACCCTACAATTAATTGTAACTTCTTAAATACATATGAATAATAAATTAAATAAATTTATTTACTGTTGACAAAGTTTGTTTAATCAGTTCTCATTTTTTTTTATTCTAATTTGACAGTTAGTGCACAGAGTGCCAGTAATTGACAGAGATTAGTCCCACAGATTAACATTTTGAATTGTTTAATTGATTAACACTTCTGTTTAGTCTATAATTGGAACATCCCTAAAATAAAAGCAATGTAAAAAATAAACCTAGTGCTTTAGGAAAAATTAATTGGCCATGTTTTTTTAGGATAATGTCCTTCTCCCCCATTGTAACGATGGAGTTTTACGATAGTATACTATAAACTATATTGTGGGGTACGTTATACTTTGATAGAGTAACAAGAAGGATAGGATGAAGAAAAGTAACATACGACACCGAAGGTCAATATGATTATAACACGTATTTTATTATATTAATTTCAATTAAATATACTTAATAAAATTTATATTCTTAGCATTTTCTTTTTCAAGTTTAGCTACTTCGTCATGATACTCATCATAATCTGGCGAAGTTTCAAAGGTGAATAATTTGCTTCCCTCTTTTCGAATAAGACGTGACTGAACTGGTTTATTCCTTGTTTTACTTTCCAAGTTAGTCTTAAGTTGTTTAGCCCTGTTTTTAGCAAATACTTCATTGTCGTCAGTTTCTATACTATTTGTTTTTACAGAAATTTCGTTTATATTATCGTAGTGTGTCATCATACGGCTTTTATTTCTTTTTGTACTATTTCCATCATTGTTTTTGACAACATTACTTTCCACGTTGAGTTCTAAATTTGCATTGCTGCTATTTTCATTGCTTATTTCTGCATCTTCTTCTTTACTAGTTTCTTCAGAATGCAATTCAGAATCATTTGAATTTTTCACAGTAGCATTAATTTCTGCATTTGGCTTTTGTTCCACAGATTTCGAGGTATCTTCAATATTTTTTTTGCTATTTATATTATTTGTATTTCCTAATAGGAAATTAAAATCCTCCGTGGATGTATCATTTTCTTCTGCTACACTAGTAACAGGTATTTCTTTACTTCCATTCGATACTATTTCATCAACTGAGTCATGTATAGATTTGTCTAATATTTGTTCTCCATCTAAAGGGTTTTCTACCCTCACGTTTATGTACTTTTTAGTAGATTTTGTAACATCAGTACGAGACACTTGACTTTCATTTGATCTAGTCTGCATAATAAAATGTTTGTATCTTAAACTTAATTCTTTCAACGGCATTAATTGAGCTGTTTTCATAACGAGTTCTTTATTTATCTTCTTTTTATGATTGCTTATATTGCTTGCTTTAGGTTTTATTTTCAACTTAGTATTATTTTCATTAATTTCCGGTTTTACATTTATTCTATATATGGGCGATCGATTATCTCGACTGGTGTAATTGTCATTTCGAGCTAATTGTACGCTATTTTGAAAGTTGTAAACTTTCTTTGCCGCTTTATCTGCAATCTTTTCAGCTAATTCATCAAACTTATCAGATGATAATAGTTTTTTAATAAATTCTTCCATATCATAATTTCTGATTGAAGATTGAGTTGCGGATATATCTTGTATATTGTAAACTATTATAATAAAATCTAAAAAAGAAAGTGTTAAATTAAACAAAATCATGACCATTGCAATGTAGTGATTTATTATCACGGTTTAAACTCGGAAGGTAATAGGTTCAAATAAAGTACTACTTGGTTTCAATTGATATCTCTGATTCTCCATTGAAAATCAAAAGTTATGTTAAACTAGATATAACTAAAAGAGAAGTTTGCAAAATACAAATATTCATACTTACACAAAGGCGATACATAAATAATTTTATTTTTAATGACAGCCATATCACTTTAAAATATTAGGATACCAATTATTTTTTATTGCATACAGAACAATAAAATTTCAGTAGGTAAATATTTCCTTGATTTTATATGTAATAAAATATAATTTTATGGACAATTGACTATAAACAACAAAAATGTATTAGTTTTTTTTTATTTATTAGGTCACCAACAAGGTTTACACCAACTATTGAGCTGTTTTTATAACGAGTTCTTTATATATATATAATTATGATATTGAATTGTTAGGTTCGTATTTTCAATAAAAGAGGAAAGTAAAATATTATATCACAATTATATTTCTCGATGAAGTCTAAATTTACAGTCTTTATTTTCTATAGTTCTAACGATGACAAGGAATGTACAATTTTCAAATTTATATTTTCTTTATACAAACTAAAGAGTTATTAACATCCTCCACACCAGAAGATAATTAATTTATCAAATATGTATCAAACTGTAGAACTACAATAGTTTTTCATAAAATTCACAATAATTATAAGTACTAGTATATGTGAATGAGTATACGTATATATCTAATGTGTGTATTGTAAATTTAAAATATTTGAACAATAATAAAAAAAAGTGTTAATTAAACATTTACATACCTACTTGGAATGTATGTGTCGATCCGTAACGAGTAGTCTGCCCAACCTGTGTGGAAATGGGAACAACATTATTGATATCTCGATTCTATATTAAATACCATTCTCCGACCTTGGACGAGAGATTTAACTAAAGGATCAAAATAACTTTCATAATTGATATAGTTTTTGGAAAGGTCGTATTTTCAATTTTATTTTTAATGACAGCCATTCTACAAAATATTACCTGTGAAAATATTTGTTATTGCACCACACCTAATGGCCATTTAATTCAGTAGGTTTTTCCTTGATCATGTACGATAATATAATTTATATTTTCATAAACAGTCATTTGTTTTCTTTTATTTATTAGGTCACCAAAAGTTATTAACACCAACACTGTTACATTATATATATTACATTACAATCTATTTATTATACTAAGCGCAACCTTAATTATAGGCAACTACGACACTCATGTGACAAACAGTTACAGTTTTCTATAAAATTGTGTAAAAGAAAAGAAATCAGTCAACATTATTCTATTTTGTTTAACAAAGTTATTCAATTTGATGTATTTGTTGAAAATCGCTGTTGTGCGGTCTTTCAATTATATATTGACGGCGAGATAAATTAATAAAATAATACTGCAGATTCAGTTTTCAACATATATTTTTATTGTAACATTTTTTGTTATATATATTTATTTTTCTATACAAAATAAATGTAGGCTGCCAGTAACTGTCAATCTGCAACAGTATTCTCTCGCACTAGCCTTCGGTTAAATGAACTTAAATTAGGCTTCCTATTAGGCTTATTGTTTTAAATTTAAACGTCTAGTTGCTTCTATGTGTGCTGTACCCTGTTTTACCTCGCCACCCCCTCATGCCCATTTGAAATGTCATGCCCCTCATGCCCCTCCGCTAATGGTCAAAGCTTAAGCCGATGCCAACGATACTATAGATAGCAACAAAACTACATAACGCTGACCCAACTATTAATTTGTGTACACTAATATTATAAAGAAAAAGAATTCATTTATTGCATGATTGTCATTTTTTCACTAGAAAGCTATTATTATCAGTAGGTAACAAAAATCTATATACACGGACGGTTACACGAAGTTAGTTTAAAATTATTTTATGATTACAATCTACAATCGCATCACTAAAACTGGAACACTATGATGACAGTCATTATAAATACACATACTTTGGCTGTATGAGTTTAGTATCGTTGCCTTTCCTAAAGCTGTAGACATACTAAAAAAAATATCTGTTTAAAACTTATGAAAAGTTTCGGATAATATATATTCTATTTATTATCAGATTCTGTCGCGAAATAAATAAGTAAACATTTCAAATGGCCGTTCCAGTACTACGCCAGCCAAAGGTGCAACAGCACGAGAAATCTAAACCCTTTAATGACACGGCAGATGTAATAATTACATTAAAAGACCAAAAGAAGCTGGTAGTCTCTTCGGATGCCTATCACGGCATATTGATGTCAAGTGATATGTACAAATGTGTGTTTTGTGATAGTGATATGCACAGAGACGCAGCGTATAAAGAGCAACATAAAAATACAGATAAGCACAAAGAAAATTTACGCAACTACCCTCATGTTGATGGTTACGATGAGAATTTAGTGCGAAAAGTAATCACAGAATTTTTTTAGGCATGATAATGTAATGGTGCACCCTCCTGCGCTAACGGTTTACGCTGGTGGGGCACCAGTGGAGGATGATAAGATGAGCATGAGGTCAGGTCGGTTAGCCCATCGTGACAAATTAATCAGGAATTTACCACGATGGTTTCCAGAGGGGTTCCCTCGCAAGGAGGTCAACCTGACATGGTACATTGCTAGCAGTGGGGTCAACAGCCCTCATTACTAACAATCCCGTTCCCCACGAATTATGTAGAAGTTTCTGGAAAAATCTCTTATTCAAATTAAAAAATCATTTATTCATTTAGGACATTTTAGCCGCTTATGAATGTCAAGTTTTTACATTATACTTTTTTTCCCTACCATCCAGTTCGGTATATAGATCCAATTGAGAAGAACTGGCAAGAAACTCAATTGAATTACTTTTTTTTAAAAGCCAGTCTATTTACAATGTATGGGTATTAGGTATTTGGTATTTTAGACATAAGCTCTGTCCTGTACATTACTCTTACTTTATTACTGTTTTTTTCCTATGTGTGTGTACAATAAAGAATAAAGTAATAATAAAATGATTTAAAAGAGCAACACGCAAGTTTCTTGCTTGTTCTTCTTATGATGAGACAGCTTTCCAAATGAGCGGTCAACTATTCCAAAGTGCTTTTATGTAAGTTTGTTTGAATAAATGATTTCTATTCTGTTCTACTCTAAAAGACTTCCTTATTTTCAGCTAAACAAAGACACATGGTATTGTACAATATGCCGAGTAACAGTCTCCACTTCTTGTTTGTCACGTCACATCAACAGCTATGGTCATAGGGAGGAGTTGAAGACAGCTATCAGGAAAGCCACTGCATATAAGTAGTGTGTTAAACATACATTTAAAATTATTAACAGAACTAGCTGTTCTAAAATAAAAGATTTTTTCAAATACTTTCTTGGCAGGTAGCTGATGTAATGAGTAATTTAGACTAATTTCTAAATTACTCCTTATTACATCAGCTACCTGCCAAAAAAGTCCCATCAAAATCGGTCTAGCCATTTCAGAGATTCGCTGGAACAGATCAACAGACAGACAAAAATTGTAAAAATGTTATTTTGGTGTATGTACCGTATTTATATTCATATGCATGTAGTAAAAAACGATTATTTCAATATTACAAACAGACACTCCAATTTTATTTATATGTATAGATGTGAATGTTTAAAAAAGATTTAATTAAAAAAAAAAGATTTAATTAAATGAAATTAAAAAAAAATTAATTTAAAGATTTAAAAAAATAAAAGAAAACAATTATAAACATTTGCAATACCTATTATTGCAAATGTTTATAATTGTTATAAACATGTATTATATTAAAAAGGGAAAAGGAATCTGTTTTTATCTAATCTATATGATACTTTGTTACAAACATAAGAAATAATCGACGACCTCGGTGGTCTAGTGGCACATCGCCTTACTTCCGATGGTCGCGGGTTTGATTCCTTGCACGGCACAAACATTTGTATTCATGAGTATGATTGTTTTGTATCGATCTGGGTATTTTTTATATATAATAAGTAGTAGTAGTAGTTTTTATATAATAATATGTATGTATTTAAAAAAAAATCTATCTATGTTTTTGTAAGTTATCTAGTACCCATAACACAAGCTTTAGCTAGCTTACCTTGGGTCTAAATGGCGCTGTGTAAATTGTTCTGAGATAAAAAAAAAAACTATTGAACTACCTGCTGAGATTTTCTCGAGAGACTACAGCATGGGGTTTTTCAAGAAGGGTATATTAAGGTTTCTTAAGGGTCGGCAACGCGCACTTGACACCCCTGGTGTTTCAGGCATTCATAGGCTACGGTAACTGTTTACCATTAGATGGGCCTTATGCTTGTTTGCCACCTATGTGGTATAAAAAAAAGAAAGGGATGTTACACACATTTTCTATGTGAATGTAAGATAAATTAATACAATTTCCACTTATTTAGATGATAGTAAATGTATTTATAATATTTTAAATACTTTTTTTATTAACTCTCCCAATTTAAATGCAAAGGAATTTATCTTATACATCTGCTTGCAAAAAAAAACAAATTACTCATATATGTAAATTAATTAATAATTTTGGTTAAGGGGTATGAATATGTGAATATTTAAAATTCAATTGGATAAAGTGTTTAAGTTATAAAAATAAATCTTTAAAATAATAGTGGTGTTTTAGTCTTTACAAATTAATTTTACAATAATTAAGATATATCACCCATCGAGCATAATACTACCACTGTAGTCTGTCTATATTTCCATTTATTGAGTCTATGATTTAATCTTATTGTATACTAGCTGTTCCCACGATTTCATCCGCATGGAATTTAACTTTATTTTTCTAAAATACAAGTAGCTTAAGTTACTCCTTACTACAGCCTGCCCGCCTACCTGCCAATAAAAGCTCCCTCAAAATCGGTCCAGCCAATTAATTAATTATCCGGAACAAAGTCTTTTGTAAAAATGTTCTTTTGGTGTATGTACCATATTTCTATTCATATGCATGTAAATGTAAAAAATAGTTATTTCAATATTACAAACACACTCTTTATATGTATGTATAGGTGTATAGATAAAAATATGTTTGTCTTATTCTATATTTCCATTATACTGAAAATGTATGTAATTATAACGTAAATAAACACATGTTAAGACTGTTCAAGTATTACATAAGCTACTCAAAATTTTCTTTATAGAATATTTTTGTGAATGGAATTTTCATTTAACGGTTGTAAATAAAAAAAAAATATAATATATGCTATTTAATTCATCGCCTACGCTTTTTGGACTTCCTTTTTACATTTTTCTTAGCGGCCTTGTTGATTTTTGCTATTTTCCTCTTGTGCAACCATACCGGATACTGTCCATTTTGATCTTTTAACGTTTTCGTACTGAATATTCTTTTCTTTCCGTCTTCGGCGTCGACCTCCACGTTCTCGTCATCCGAACTCATTTCTACATCTTCAGGCTCTTCCGCCACAACTTTCTTGGTTGGTTTCTTCTTTTTAATTTCGCCAGCGTCCAGATATATCACCTGATCAGATTCCATAACCTCACTTTCTGTAATTTTTTCCTCTTCTTTTACGCCGAGCATTTTCTTCAATCTGGCCAGTTCTTTTACTGCATACCTTTCTCGCTTTACAGCTCGACACTTTCGCTTCCATCTGCTCCGTAAAGACTTGGCCATTGTTATTTACAAAACAAAAATATTGTGGAATACTGTGTAACAACAAGTAACACGTTTGAAAAGAAGGAAATGTCAAAAAACTTCAAATCAAAAACATTTGCTTGTCATTTGATTTGTCAATGTCAATTGTCAGTTCTAATGAATATACTACTCTGTGTAGGGCATAACCAGACTAACAAAATAAAATAAGACCAAAACTTAATTACAATTAATTTATTAAAGGATAATAAAAAGTAACTGCGTTTTCAATTTGTAAATAAAATTGTGTATTCGAGTTTCGTATGTGACATATTTGGTATGCTAATTAAAATGTTCTTGCCGCTGCATCTGAAATGAAAAAAAAGTTGTTTATTTTTTTTTTGACAGAATGATGATTTGACAGATATTCCTCCCTAGCGGATCTTATTTATTTCTGAATGTTTTTAACTTGTAAATGCTTACACTTACTGGTGTCGTTCTTTATAAATTCCTAAATGAAATCTCACGGAATACTTTTTGGAACGTTTCCAACAAGTATTTGTTTATATCAACCGGCGTATTAAACCTTTACCGTGGTTTCTTTGTCTGAAATTTATTTTTGGTGTTTGATACTCACGCGGTGTTTTTGTTAAGAATTATTGTGTTTTAATAATTTGTTTTGAAAATGGACTCATCGCCTGTTGAGTCTGATACCAAAACAGAGCTGAACGACAGTGGTTACGTCCATGATGGTAAGTACAAAATATTCAAGTTATTTTCTTAATGCTTAGCTATTTGTTTAAATTTTTATTTCGTAGCTTAAAGAGGGTACTTTGTTCCTCTGCGTATTTTACTAAAGTACACTTTGTAGAAACTTGTCTGCCTGTGTACCTCAGTTTCACCCATTTCAGCCACCAAGCAGCTTGCTTTTTGCCGTTTTGTTTGAAGGATGAGCTGTGGCTGTTATACTGCAGGATTTTCAGGCATAGCATCTTGTTCGTGATTAGTGAAATTTTTTAAAAATATTTTATATAATAACCCAGGACAGTTCCCACACCGCCATCTAGTCCTAAGCTAAGTGCAGCTTGTGTTATGGGTACTAAAAAATTGATACATTTTTTTTCAAGCTTTCACTTGAACAAATTTATTCTGTATGATATTTCTAGTCTGTATGATGTCAGTCATTTCAGACATTAGCCAAAACAAACAGACAGACAGACACAAAAATTTCAAAAAATTTTAGTGTATGTACCATATTTATATTCATATGTATGTAGTAAAAAAAGGGTTATTTCAATATTACAAAAAGACACTCCAATTTTATATGTATAGAATTTATATGAAAACCTATGTAGTGTAATTATGTCAATAATTGTTTGGTCAATATAGGCACAGTCGATAAACAGATTCTACTGTATAATGATAAGTGTGATACAGATAGAGTTGCCCAGGTCATCTAGTGTATAATAATAATAATAATAATAATTGTATTATACTTTCTTCTACATGTACTGTACCCAAAACACTTCAAAATAGTCTGCAAACATTAAATATTCACTCTTCCAAATATATATATATATCTCCTACAAACAGCTACAATATTAAATAGAATAGAAAAGAGTAGAAAATCTTTTATTCAAATAAACTTACATTGAATTACTTTTGAATAGTCATTACATTTTTTTAATCTACCACTCATTTGGAAAGCTGTCTCATCACAAGAAGAATGAGCAAGAAACTTGCATGTTGCTCTTTTTAATGATTTTATTATTACTTTACATTTTTAAGTTTAAGTGTGTGAATACAAACCACCAATTAGCACTAATTCAATTAAATACTCAAATAGAAAAAATATTGAATATATAACCAACTGGTTAAACAATTAATAAGAGGAAATAAGTCATAGTGATTATACCTGTCGCATAACTTGAAAATTCTTGACCTCCTCAACAATATCATCACACAGCACAACCTTTCCCACACTTGGCTAAGGACTGTGTATGTGAATATTACCTTCTTTAAATTTTTAAAGGAAGAGAAAAAATAATAATAGTAATAGCAATTCATATAAGAGTTATTCATCGTAACAATAGGATACCTGCATTAGAGAGAGATGGACAAAAGTAAAACATTTGGTTATTTGAGCCTCTATCGGCTTTTGAATAAACTCATGATTTGTCCCAAACAGTAAGACTGTATCATCAGCGTAACATATCATTCCTAGATGATGAAACGAATAGCAGTTTGCCCGGATACTGGATGTTCGGTCAAACATGTGACCGAATAGCCGGATATCCGGCTGAACTTAGCTAACTAATAAATTAATTTTCTTTCTATAACAGTCAATTACTATCGAGTGATTAAAAATTTAATACCAAAACTAATTTTATTCTTTATGTAATACTAAGACTAACTAAATAAAGCTAAACTAAATAATAAATTCTAGTACTTATCGGGTATTCGGCCGGATAGTATTAAGGCCGCCGGATAGGCCGGATACCAGATATTTACCGGATATCCGTTTCATCTCTAATCATTTCAGTATTTTCCAACTTAATATTATGTATATTGTTTAGGTATACTTAATATATTAGGTTGTTCGGAAAGTAATTTCTTTTTTTCCTAACTTAGGATTACCAACCAAAAACTACTGCTTGGATTAATTGTAATTTTTCACACACAAGCCTTGTTATATGAGCTCTCAAAGCATATAAAAATTATACGGCTTAAGTGTGAAGTTGAGTGCAAAAAATACAATTAAATCCTAAGTTAGGAAAAAACGAAATTACTTTCCGAACAACATAATAAATAGTGTGGGGCCGAGAATACTACCTTCTACTACTACTCCAAAATTTGTTTTATACGTAAATGTTGCTATTTGATGACAGATGCTACTCCACACAAGCCGCCGGAGGTCCAGACCAGTCTCCTGGACCTGTCTGACGATGTACTGCTTTATATACTGTATTACTGCTCCCCGATGGATCTCAAAGCTTTAGGATAGTAAGTAAATTTTAAAATCTACAGATTTCTCCAAACTGAAGAGGAAACGACCCTACACACCTATGTGGTTGTAGCCCACTCATGCATAGAAATAATCTTTATTCAAACTTAATTTAGAAGAGACTCTGATATTGTTTGACCTTGCACAATTACTCTTAGTGACAAGCTCAACCCTAAACCACTTTCTAATTTTGGTCATATAAGCACTGCATTTTACGTTGTTCAGTTAGTCTGTAAGCATCCGCTGCATTGTAAACACATGTACTAAAAGTAAATATATCATCGATTAAATAGAAAAATCACATTACAAAATTAGAAGCTTCTTTTATATAAGTCAATTAAATTAACCACGCCATCTTAATCAATATGTAAATACTTTTAAAATGATATATAATACTTTTGTGTAAATTTAAAACTTTAAAGGGAAAAATTGTTTAAATAAATTTAAAAACTTTAAAAGACAAAAATTTACATTTTGAATACTGCCATTTTTCTATTTAACTGACGATATGTTACATGTGTACTTATGTAGCTTTTCTAATACCGACCCCATCACCATCCCCTCCGATCGATCCCCCGTCCAATTCAAACGGGGATCGAAATTACGACGGCCTGAGCCGAGGTTCGAACCTCTAATTGTGCCCTCAGACTAAAGTCTGTATCCGTCAGGAGGAGTTGGCCTTCAGCCGCTCCATAAGTCCTTCCGCGGGTTTGGAGTGCCATCTGCACTCACCCCCTAACGTCCGGTAAAGCTGTAAAGGCCAGCTACGCCCAACAGCATTAGCGTGGTCCGAAAAAAAAACCCATCACCGTTATCATCAATCACCATAAAACGAATTACTGACTTCAGTTAAACATTTAGGTAAAGCTAGTAATTCTAAGATAGAGAAGAATAAGATAGAAGACGAAAGAACTTAAAATGTCTATTTAATTCCTACAGTTCGTGCAGTCGTCTGGGGCAGTTGGTTCGCGACCGTACACTATGGATCCGGGTGGACGCTCGCAGGGAGCCCTATGGGCACGAGAGGCTGCAATGGCTGCTCAATTACACCATCAACCAGTCCACCACGGAACTGCTCCTTGCAGGATTTGCAAGGGAAACCGACGAGTAAGTTAATCTTTATTTTTTTCTTGGTTAGTTTGGGCTATTGTCAGGTGCTTCGAACTGTAGCATTGTGACTAGATCTATTGTGCTCGCCCTTTTTCAGAGTTCGCTACCTAGTACTACTACTAGTACCCGTCAGGGACAAGAATTGAAGGATATTCTTAGGAGCGATGGTTTTTATCTCCTCGGGAAAGAGTGTAAACTTTCCAAAGGAGATATTTCGTTTATGCATGAGTGGACTACAGCCACATAGGATGTGTAGTGGCGTTTCCTCTTCAGTTTTGCCATATGTTTGTTTAATTTGCAGTGTCCTGTGAGGGCCCTAGTCATCTGTATAAGAAGTTATTATAATACTATTAGAATTATATAGAATCGCGACAATTTTTTTATTGCTGTATCTTATCTTGGTAATCCTTAAATATAAATGAATAAACAACTAGGTCTACCCGTTTGAAATGGTTACCTTGACTAAAACTATCCCAAAGCCAAATAATAAACGTTTCATCGTTCGAGCTTCAAAAATGACGAATTTCCATACAAGTCAATCAAGAGCCAAAAACAAAGTTCTAGTTTTAAAAATAACGATGCTTCTGTCCTTTCACCTTACAACCCTTTTTTCGCATTCTAAAGCCTATGTCCTTTCTCAGTGTCTAGTCTATCAGTAAACGAATTAACGTCAGTTTTTGAAACTAATACGATGTAACTTTTTGGGTTAGGTTATTGAATATCTTTAATTTATTTGGTCCACGCGGATGAAGTTACAGGTACAGTTTGTCTACATATATATCTATAATTGACAGAAAACATTAATATAAATTAATAAAGAATTAATAATAAAAGAGATACTTATATAGTCTTGTTTAAAATGGTTTTGACCTACCGCAAGGGAAACCCCAAGTGACTAAAACTATCCCCCCCCAGGCCCAACTAAACAACCGGCACGCTCTGCGCTCGTCGACTGAATGCCAAATAAAAATCGTTTCATCGTTAGTAGGTTGGTCTATAAATACTAGATGGCGCTATTTACAAAAATAATCCTTACATAAAGAAATATATTTTTAAAATATCGCCTACACATAAATCAATCGAACGTTAATTAATCGGCCAATCGCTGGTAACCTACCAATGAGCAAGAGGCGGGGACTCGCGGATGGATGGGTGACCGTCGAGTCATTCCAATTCGACAATCAGATTCGACGTCACGTAGCATATTATTTCACGATTTAAAATATCAATGTTATACCTCTATTAGCACAGTACATATTTTTTTATAATCTTTAACCTAAAATTCCTGTGGAACACCTGACTGGAGCAAACATCACAAACAAGGCAATTGACAGAAGATGTGTTTGCGCCTTTCCCTCTGTATATTTTAGTTTCTTGTTGGTAATTACGAATACAATCCTTTGATAATAATACGTATTTAGTTTTAATAGTTATTTATCTTTACATAGTAGCATAACACGTAAAAGTTTATAATGACAAGACAAAATTCGAAGAGTTGACTGAAGTTGTGGCCAGTCATGTCGAGGGAGGCAATCCGTGTTCCACTTCACATTGATGACGCCTTTCATTCCTTATGAGTCTGATAGATGGCGTTAACAGATGTCCTAAATGAATAACTGTTTTGACTAATAAAATCTATGAAACAGACAATACATAGCATTATCTATTCTTTCAGAACTCAAGGAACTGACGTCACACTTGGGTGGCAAGAATGGCAGAACGCCAGGTGTTCGCAGATTGATTATCAAGCAATAAGTATGGCCTTTATCTCTTTTATTTCACTGATTTATTATAACACAGGGGACAAACGTGCATGCGGCTCACCTGATGGTAAATGATTACGGCCGCCCTGCACCTGCTATACCAAAGGAATTGCAACTACGTTGTCGGCCTTTTAAAAAGGAATAAGCCCTTTTCTTGAAGGTTTCAATATCGTATCGGTTCGGAAATACCATTGCTGGAAGGTGATTCCACAATGTGGTTGTGCGTGGCAAAGTTTCTAAAAACTGTGGAGGACCGCCATTCATCCAGATGATCAGGATGGTGTTTTAGTTTCTGAAAGGTGGTACAAGAGGTGATTTTCTATTTGTTTTTTGTTCGCAGCTTGGCCCCGGCGTTTTTACCAGCCTCATGGATCAGGGTACCGTATTTCTATCTTACTTTAAATTAACTTTCTAACATATAAAATTCTTTATAATATTTATAATAAAACTCCTCCGAAATGGACGTCCGATTGACGACCTCAGTGGTCTAGCGGTCTAACACACCGCTTTACGTACGATGGTCGCGGGTTCAATTCCTCGCACGGCACAAAAATTTGTATTCATGAGTATGATTGTTTGTATCAGTCTGGGTGTTTTCTATGTTATTCTAATTAAGAAAAAATGTTATTATTATTTTACATGTTCGCATATTGAATTTGACTGTATATATGTGAATAAAAAATTAATAAAGAATAAGAAAAATGTATTATTATTATTTTATAAGTACGCCTACTAAATTAATTAATAATATTTTGTATTATATATTAATCTTTTATTCACAAATATGGACTGTATAGTTGTGAATAAAAGATTAATAAATAATAAAAAATATTATTAATTAATTTAGTAGCCGAATATACAGTCAATAATTGTGAATAAAAGAATATATAAAAATATATAATAAAAATTAATATTATTATTTTACAAGTTTGCCTATTAAATTGGACTGTTATTTGTGAATAAATAATTAATAAAGAATAAAAAATTAATATTACTATTATTTTACAAGTTCGCCTATTAAATTGGACTGTTATTTGTGAATAAATATTTAATAAAGAATAAAAAATTAATATTAAAAGAAGGTAGTTTCATTATTACTCGGTATCGTTAAACTAGTTGCATATAACCCCCACTCATATCTTCTCTGTATAAAAGGGAGGGTTTTTGTAGGCCGCGGCATTCGGTCCTTGAGCACAGGATGTGCTGGTTGTATTTTAATTGCTAAAGTGAATTGTGTTAGAGACATAGTTAAATTAATGTTATATAGTCGTTATTTTATTATAATACATACTTTTACTAGTACATAGAGTTCGTATATCTAACACTATTAAATTGGACTGTTATTTGTGAATAAATAATTAATAAAGAATAAAAAATGAATATTACTATTATTTTACAAGTTCGCCTATTAAATTCATTTCATCATCACTGCACATTTGTGAATAAAAGATTAGTAATTAATAAAAAAACTTTTTTTAAGGTCGCCGAAGTGGACAAAGGACGAATCGATACAGTGCAACTCGCCACTGGACATGGACGAGTCCAACCAAGGCGACAAGCCGCTTTACACGATCAACTCTATGGAAATGGAACGTTTGAAGCGTATCTCCAACTTGACGTCGCTGGCTCTCGAATACTGCAACATCGATTGTAACATGGTGAGCGTATTGAGTGTTGAATGGAGTTGTATTGCAAACAAACCGTTTCTGTCTTATTACAAAAAGACAAACCTGTTTTTTTTATACTACTATGGTTGCAAACATACGGCCCATCTGATGGTAAATGGTTACCGTAGCCTATGAACGCCTGAAGCACCAGGGGTGCCACGTGCGCGTTGCCGATCCTTAAGAAACCTTATTATACCCTTCTTGAAAAACCCCATGCTGTAGTCTCGTGAGAAAACCTCGGCAGAAGTTCATTCCACAATGTAAGTGTACGCGGGAGGAAGTTCCTCTGAAACCGCACTGTCTGAGACCATTTAGATTCCAGCGTGTGGGAATGAATTCCCTGTCGATGGCGAGCGGTGCGATGGTGAAAGGTGGCCGTAGGCATCATGTCGAACAATTCCTCAGAACACAGTCTTTGTATAATCGGTAGAACACACACAGCGAAGCGAAGTCTCGCCTCAAACTAAGTGGTTTAGCACCAGTAATAAACCATTGACCAAAGTATTCCTTATTACAAAACGAAGTTATTTCTAAACTGTGATTCGTCTATGGACTAAAGTTAGACTAACAGTGGTCTAAATGCAAAAAGTAGGGGGGAAAAGGGGATGGTTAGTAATGTGGACTGATGATCTTATTGCTAGCAATGTACCATGTCAGGTTGACTTCCACGCGGTTCCCCCTGGAAACCATCGTGATAAATTCATGGCGAATTTACCACGATGGACTAACTGACCTGATCTCATGCTCACCTTATTATCCTCCACTGGTGCCCCGCCAGCGCAAACCGTTAGCGCAGGCGGGTGCACCATTACATTATCATAATTAATAAAAAAATGCAAAAAGTAAAAAAAATTGTATGTCGTTTTTTTTAAATATCTTAACTAAATTAAAAATATATTAACTAAAAATATTTAAAGCTAATTTTACGATATATTATATTATATTATATACGAATAAGATTATCTTATATATAAAATTGTCGTGTCACAGTTTTCGTTCCCATAATCCTCGGAAACGGCTTGACCGATTCTCATGAAATTTTGTGAGCGTATTGAGGTCTGAGAATCGGCGAACATCTATTTTTCATCCTCCTAAATGTAAGGGGTAGTCCACCCCAAATTTTTTTTTATTTTAAGGCAAAACAACGTTTGCCGGGACAGCTAGTAAAAATATATAAATTTGTAAAATATATAAATTGTTACATATAAGGCACATGAACTTACGTCTGCTAAACTATGTTGTGACAACTCATGCTGAGATTTGAACCTGAGATCCCATATCTTGCACTTGTGAGGTCCAGCTGCCTGCAATACATACAAATCATCATCATCATCTGCTTCTTCCTTATCCCATTTATTTGTGGTCGTCGTAATATGTTTTTCTCTTCCATTCATCCCTGTTCGCAGTCATCTCGTTATTTACTTCCTTTCTTACCATATCATCTTTCACACAGTCCATCCATCTCTTTTTCGGCCTTCCTCTGCCCTTATAACCATCCACTTTCATATGTAACACCTTTCTTAAAATATTATCCTCATTCCTACGCATTACATATCCATACCATGATAGATGATTACTCTTCAACCCTCCGATCGATCCCCCGTCCAATTCAAGCGGGGATCGATATTACAACGGCCTGAGCCGAGGTTCGAACCCCTAGTGGTGCCCTCAGACTAAAGTCGTATCCGTCAGGCTGGAGTTGTCCTTCAGCCGCTCCATAAGTCCTTACTTTGGTTTGGAGTGCCATCTGCACTCGCCCCCTATCGTCCGGTGAAGCTGTAAAGGCCAGCTGCCGCCGTATTAGAGTAGTCCGAAAAGAAAACTCTTCAACCTCTCTGACACCGGCGCCACATACATCATTCATTCATCATCATTACCTTGCCTTTATCCCATTATTTGTTGCAGTATGTCATTCTCTTCTACTGCTCTCTATAGCCGTCATATCTGAGCATACTCGTTTTATGGTAATTGCGTAAGGTTTTACAACAAACTCCCACAGTCTGTACTCAATTAGGCAGAAAAGAAATTCAAATGTGTCATAAAATATTTTCTTTGTAAAAAAACTTATTATAAAATTGAAGAATTTATAAATGATAATAATGTTTTTGTAGGAAATATCTTTTTTTTTTTTTTTTTTTTTTTTTTTTTTTTTTTTTCTCTCTATCTGCGATCAGCCAGGAAATATCTAACTTAAAATTCATAGCGCTGACAATGTTATCTGATTGAACAGAGATTAAGTGCGGTTAGCGTTAGTTAGAGGTTTCTATGTTGATTATCGCGTGCGTAATCCTTGTTGTTAATTAAATATAACTAAATAAAAGTATTAAATTAATATTTAATTTAAAAGGGCAACACACAAGTTTCTTGCTTATTCTTCTTGTGATGAATCTGCATTCCGAATAAGCGGTAGAATAAAAAAACTTGACTATTCAAAAGTGCTCATTAAGTTTATTTGAATAAAGATTATTTCTATTTCTATTTCTACTCTCCTTTTCCATCTATCTACGTTTATATTATACACTTTCTTTAAATACGTCATCAGCATCATCACAATCAGAAATATATAATCATCATATCCTCAGAATAAATAAATAAATGGCACGCAAAAATATGATGGCTGGCTCATACGTCATACTCGTGAACGTGTGCTGCTTGTACGGTGGTCTGCTGTAATCACTACGACTGTTTTAATCCTATTGAATACTTAATATCCGAAGCTAATAACGTAGTTCTAGTTGGTGGTTTGTATTCACACGTTTCGAATTGGAAATGTAAAGTCAGAATGATTATTTAAAAGAGCGACACGCAAGTTTCTTGCTCGTTCTTCTTGTGATGAGACAGCTTTTCGAATGAGCGGTAGGTTAAGAAATAATATAAGCAATCTAAGTTTGTGTTATGGGCACTATACAACTGATACAAATACATAAATACATTTTTTGTAAACATACATAATGAATGAATGAATGAATGAAATGAATGAAAAACATTTATTGTTCCTCTCACAGAAAGAATAATTACATAAATTAATATGTACATCAAATATAAAAATAAAAACAAAATAATTATAATATAGAGGTAATATAAGATATACATAGAAAACACCCAGACCGATACAAACAACCATACTCATGAATGTTTATGCCGTGCCAGGAATCGAACCCGTGAATCGAATCGTGAATTGTCCTGAGATATTATTTAATTAAATATACATATATATTGTTGCAGATATCTTTGAGTAACTTCCCACCGAATCTCAAGAAGCTGTCTATTAGAGGGACCAAGTGTTTTAACCAGCGAGTGGACAAGACCTTCCTCTTCAGGATATCTGACTTTCTACCAAAATTGGAGGTACGTTGATCTCTAACTTGAAAGAAAGAAAGTAGTAAAGAAAATAATCTTTATTCAGTGCTATTCACTAACTTCACATAATTTTAATTCGTAATGAACATATGACATTTTTATAAATATCTAAATAATTTTTAATAATAAGAATGATAAATGTATAATATAAAATCTCAAGGGTCTAACTGTGTCCCATAGATATTCGCATGGGACACAGTTACATACATCTCAGGCAACATCGTATCATTTACCCGCAACAAATATTTAACTTTTATTTATTTATTTATAAACTCTTTATTGCACCAATAGAATTAATACATAATAATATACATACATATATAAATATATAAATACACAGAAATACAAGTACAATTTTTTTTTTATTAAATTTTATAAAACGTGACAAATTCACGATGGTTTCCAGGGGGAACCGCGTGGAGGTCAACCTGACATGGTACATTGCTAAGAGAATACACAAGTTTCTCGCTCATTCTTCTTGTGATGAATCTGCATTCCACATGAGTGGTAGAATCAAAATTTGACTATTCAAAAGTGCTTATAATGAGTTTATTTGAATAAAGAATATTTCTATTTCTATTTAATCATCAGCTCGTAAGTCGACACATAAATTTTTCATATGTTTACATCTAAAACGCAAGGGATCCAAACTGAGTCGAAATTAACAAAAAAACTGCGTTTTTAGTCTGTTTCTGTTAATAAACAGATTCAGGGTCATTGGGCTCCCTAAAATATGGTCGAGCGCAGTGATGGCTGGCTCATCTGTCATACTTGTAGACGAGTGCTGCTTGTAGGGACTGGTCTGCTCTTATCACTACGACTGATTTAATCTTATTGTATATTTATATTTGACCCAAATAAATTAGTGCTGGTTGATAGTTTGTATTCACACGTTTCGACTTGTAAATGTAAACTTACAAGGATTATTTAAAATAGCAACACGCAAGTTTCTTGCTCGTTCTTCTTGTGGTGAGATAGCTTTCCGAACAAATAGTAGATAAAAAAAAATTGTTGTGACTATTCAAAAGTGCTTATTTAAATTAAATTTATTTGAATAAATGATTTTCTATTCTATTCTATTGCGCCAAAACTACTCACATTATGGTTTAATTTAAAACAAAACATTTATTTGTAATGTGAATTTCAATTTTTCATTATGTTCTCAAGTGCTTATTTAAATTAAGTTTATTTGAATAAATGATTTTATATTCTATTCTATTCACTAGCAATTATAATATTATTCCAGTATCTGGATGTATCAGAGTGCCAGTGGATGGAGCCTGTGTCGCTTATGACCCTCAGCAAGATGGCCCACCTGGAGAGCCTGCTCATGTGCGACTGCCAGCGACTCAGCGAGTTCGTTGCGTACGCCTCTCTCTCGATGCGGTACGGGTTCAGGAATTTGAAGGTATGTACAGTGCAGGGATGTTATGGATATGAAATGTCGGATACAGATAGGTTTCGGATATAGGAATGGTTATTAAACCGGATGCGGAAATGAAATTATTTCGGATCATCCGTTTCGGATAATTTCGGTTACGGATATTAAGTTTTTAAGGAATTTCAAAAGTAAATTGCAAATCTATACATATATAATTGGAGTGTTTGTAATATTGAAATATCCGTTTTTTACTACAGGCATATGAGTATAAATATGGTACATATATCAAAATAATATTTTTTATAGTTTTGTCTGTCTGTTTGTTCCGGATAATCTCTGAAATGGCTGGACCGATTTTGACGGGACTTTTTTTGGAGGTAGCTGATGTAATAAGGCTGGACCGATTTTGACGTGACGGGGAACAGCTATAATACAGCTAATATATAGTATATTGTTAAAACTATAGTATGTTTTCAAATAAATGTTAGGACTCGTTTTAATGAGACGATGTTTGTGTATACAGTCGCTGGACGTGCGCTGGTCGCCGGTCGGAAACTCGGAAGTGACGGCGCTGGGCTGGCTGCCATCACTACAGCGGCTGAGACTGGCCGCCCCACGACACAAGCCGGACAAGGCGGGGCCCACGGGGCCCGCGGGGCCCGCCCTGCACGCCTGGGAGCGACACGTAAGTGATGGGGGCGGGGCCCACGGGGCCCTGCACGCCTGGCAGCGACACGTGAGTGACGGGGGCGGGGCCCACGGGGCCCTGCACGCCTGGCAGCAACACGTGAGTGACTCGTAGGACGGCGGCCGAGCCCACGGGGCCCTGCACGCCTGGGAGCGACACGTGAGTGACGGAGGCGGGGCCCACGGGGCCTGCACGCCTGGGAGCGACACGTGAGTGACGGGGGCGGGGCCCACGGGGCCCTGCACGCCTGGGAGCGACACGTGAGTGACGGGGGCGGGGCCCACGGGGCCCTGCACGCCTGGGAGCGACACGTGAGTGACGGGGGCGGGGCCCACGGGGCCCTGCACGCCTGGGAGCGACACGTGAGTGACGGGGGCGGGGCCCACGGGGCCCTGCACGCCTGGGAGCGACACGTGAGTGACGGGGGCGGGGCCCACGGGGCCCTGCACGCCTGGGAGCGACACGTGGGGGAGTAGAAGGGTTTAGACAAATATGGTAATTTTTTCGCAAAAAATCTGGGTAAAAACTAAAATTACATTTACGTTTATTTATGTATGTATGTATATTTGTAAGTATTTTTAAATACCTATGTTAGGTAAAATTATAGGTTAGTCCTTTCCCACCACTGCCTATCAACCGCTTTCTGTTCTTACCTAATGGTTAGCTGGTAGAGCCATATAGCATTAAGCTCGCCAAATTGTACAATTTTATAAGTACAATATAGAATAAGTAAATAAAAAATAAAATATAGCCGAATCCTACATAATAATGATCATCTCGGTTATACAATCGCCAGTAGCATAGTATGTATAAATAATTAACATTATTCTTATGTGATATATATAGTAGAGCCTGAAATTTAAAGTTCAACACTTTGTTTCAGGTGCCTGAATATTTCAAGGGTGCTCGGAAAATAATAAAATCGGAAATTACTCCTGAAGAGGACCAATATAACGCAGAAAAAGAAAAATATAGGTGAGTCTTTGGTTTCAAGTGTTATAAATAAGTTGTTTATTATATGGTCTTGTTATTCGTGAAGAATAAATAATAAAAAGTGATGATTTATTTGCAAAATTGTTCAAAATATAGTAATAATAATATCTCAGAACAATTCACACAGCGCCATCTAGTGCCGAGCTAAGCAGAGCTTGTGTTATGGGTACTAGATAACTGATATAAATACATGGATACATTTTTTTTGTAAATAAATACATATTATACATAGAAAACACCCGGACCGATACAAACAATCATACTCATGAATACAAATGTTTGTACCGTGCGAGGAATTTAACTTAAGACCATCGGGTAGTAAAACGCTGTGCTAAACCACTAGACAACCGAGGCTGTCAATATAATGTATTAATTAGAAATAGAAATAGAAATAGACGTCAATTCGTCAACCTGAAATTTTACTTTATTTTTCTAAAATAAATGTAGCCTAAGTTACTCCTTATTATGTCAGCTACCTGCCAATAAAAGTCCCGTCAATATCAGTCCAGCCATTTCAGAGATTAGCCGGAACAAACAGACACACAGGAAAAAATTGAAAAAAATCTTTTTTTGATGTATGTATCGTATTTATATTCATATGCATGTAGTAAAAAACGGTTATTACAATATTACAAACAGACACTCCAATTTCATTTATATGTATATACAGCAAGAGTAACTTGAAGCAGTCATGCTCGCTATAAAGTTCAAACGCCACAAGCGTCGTGGTGGGCGAGTCGATGTGCTCCCTCTAATATGGTTGAGTGCAATGATGGCTGGCTCATACGTCATACTCGTGAACGGGTGCTGCTTGTGAGGATTGGTCTGTTCGGGTTACTGACACTAAACTATTTTCTTTTGCAATAGCATATGCTGGTGGTCACTCTATTCTCCCAAATTTGAATTTAAAAATGAATCTGTATTATTGTAAACATATACAAGATTTATTTGAAAGGTGAGTTTCTTGTCAGTTCTTCTCATCTCGAAATCATTCCAAACTGACGGTAGATGGCGCAAGAGTCTGTAATAGACCTACATGAATAAAAACATTTTGAATTGTATGCAGTGTAAATGTGTGTATGAATGAATGAATATCATCCAATTTATATTTCAGAATCGAGAACTGTCAGGATAAAGAACAACAGACAGACGAAGAGCGAGAGCGTCCGAAACGTAAGAAAGGGAAAGGAAATGCATCAGAAGATCAACCTGAATCGTCGAAGCGTCCAAAACGCAATCTGAGCGCTGGCCCGTCGACCAAATATGGAAACTCATCTGATTCTGACTCAGATGATAATGATAACACGCCCAGTCGCATTATCTACAAGACGTTGATGGGGAACCCTAGAAATTTCCGCATAGGCACCATTATGAACATGGGGAAACCTCCTAGTTTACGTGCATCCACTTCGAACTCATCCAATGCAGCTGGCAACTCCAACCAACCAAGGATGGAAAGTTACGTCCGTTTCCGGCAGAACGAAGTACCTGTTATAATCAATTGTCCGGCAGTTGATAATGAGAATGCAAATGGAAGTAACGAAAATTCAGCAAATAATGATAATGTGAATTTAAGTAATGGAAATGCTGGAGCTAGCAGCAGTAACGATAGCAATAGTAATGAAAATAGTAACAACGCAAACAGTAAGAATGGAAGTAGTAGCAGTAATGCAAATTGTAGCAATAATGAAGCTAGAAATCACGACAGATGTGGCCCAACTTTTAGAGTCGAGGAATTCAATTTGCACGATCCGATGCATCGTCTACCTAGAGCTCACGTTGTCTATGTCAATATCAGAGAGCAACGCCATAACCTGTGTCGCTGGTCAATACCAAACGAAGCCGGAAATGCACACGAGCCAAGACACTGCGAATTCGTCTCCGGATTTCCACCAATGCGGCAAGCAGACCCATCGACACTGGTAACCGATATTGCTCTACAGCATTTTGGAAGAGCCGAAGGTGAAGACCTCAATTACTTCCGGATAGGACCACCAGGAGAAATGGCTGTGGGTAGACCCAACGTTTCCAATCTTATAGAGCTGACGGTGAATGGGTACAGGAATGTAACTAATAGGAGTCTGGTGCATCTAGCGACGGCTGCGCCGTTTTTGAGGAGGATAGACTTCACGGGTACTACGGTGAACCAGAGGGGTATTGATGATTTTAAAAGTCTACGTCCAGATGTCGAAGTGGTGTTCAATGAAGAAGTTGAAGAGAAGAAAAATTCCGAGTAATTACTAGTCTTTAATAATATTGTGGTTTGAAAATGTACTGTAGTAGCTAATAATTGCTAAAAAGGTTAGTATTTGTAACAATATGCTTATTTATTTATTTATTTCAGGCTACTAGGCCCATATTATAAATACCTTATAGACTAACATACATATGAAATAATATAAAATTAAGAAATTGTGTGATCACGGTACTGATGGCGGCAATCTGCCACGGTAGCGCCGGTACACCACACCTTCGGCCAGTAGTCCTCCTTCATGAACGTGGGCAGCATGTTGGGGACTTGGCCCGAGTCCCCAACATGCTTATTGCAAACGCCTTGAAACTCGCGTTTTGATTCGACTCCAGCTGCGTCACCCTCAATATCAGATTACTCTTGATACGGATATAATCGACAATGTTCTGCTCTTTATTTTTTTATAACACAGGGGACAAACGAGCATGCGGCTCACCTGATGGTAAGTGATTACCGCCGCTCATGAGCAACACCAGGGGAATTGCAAGTACGTTGTCGGCCTTTTAAAAAGGAATAAGCTCTTTTCTTGAAGGTTTCAATATCTTTATGTAAGGAGCAAAACAAACGGATGCTGCGCGCACGCACGCAATAAAAGTCGGCTACGCGCATGTGTCCGGTGTTTCAGGGGTTCATAGACTAGTCATCAGACGGGCCGTATGCCTATGTTTACCACCGTTATAATAATAATCTCAGGACAATTCACACAGTGCCCTCTAGCCCCTCTAGATTGGTACTAGATAACTGATACAAATATATAGTTTTTTCTCACCGATACAAATAATTATATTCATGAATACAAAAGTTTGTGCCGTGCGAGGGATCGAACCCGCGACTAAGGGAAGTAATGTGCTAAATCGCTAGACCACCGAGGTCGTCAAATTTTTATAGTATACTAGTTAGTATATTATGCGACTTAGTGTGAGTGGAATATAACTTTATTTTTCAAAAATAAAAGTAGCCTAAATTACTCCTTATTACATCAGCTATCTGCCAAAAAAAGTCCCGTCAAAATCGGCCATTTCAGAGATTACCCGGAACAAACAGACAGACAGACAAAATTAAAAAAAAAATGTTATTTAATTATGTATTTATATTCCTATGCATGTAGTAAAAAACGGTTATTACAATATTACAAACAGATAAATTTTATTTACATACAGATAAAATTTGTTCGAACATTAACTATAATCTATAAGTTTCTCTTGATTTTTGAAGATCGCTGTGCAATTATAAAATATTGCAGTACATTTTCAAACATTACGTGTGTAGACAGTTGTCTCTTATTATTATATCAACGTTAGAAGTAAATAAAATGATTATATATACCCAATGACGTCATAGAATGACGTCACATCTATGTAGTAGCACTTTTAATAATAAACTGTATTTACCCTAAACCGCTAAACCGTGACATATGTTTAGCCAATTTAGTCCTTATTTAAAACGAAATAAGATCGAAATGCATTTGAAAAAATACAGCTGGCGCGCGCGTACCGTCTTCACTTTCGGTCGCTGCGACAGACGACATTAAAAAAATAAGAGTATTGGAAAATCTACTCTATTTCCAAATGCTTAAAGTATATTATTAAATGTGCGATATATTAGCTTGAATTTTTTCTTTTGCAGTGCAATTAGATTTCAAACTGAGTTTATAAGTATAGATAATTTAATATAGGAAAATTAATTTCATCTGAGAGCGACGTGACCAGTGGTTTACTGCCATTATTTAACAGCCAAAAGGTCAAATTTGGGCGACACCAAAACCACTCTGTGTCAATTTATATATCTTACTAGCTCTCCGGTGATGTAAACATCGTTAACAAATAATTATTGTGAGATACGACGTTACGGTAGGTATTTGGATTAAATACCCAATAACTTGCAGCCAAAAGGTCGTGAGTTCAAATTTGGGCAACTAATGAACACAAAAAAACTTTGTGGCAACAAACAAACTTGTCGACACCAAAAATCTTTGTGTCAATTTGTATTTCTAACTAGTTCTTGTGTGATGGAAACATCGTTAACAAACAATTGTTGTGAGATACCACGTTAGGGTATTTGGATTAAATACCCATCGAAATGTGAGCATGTCTATTCAATTGGACAATATCTCTGACTGCCCCACCTGGAGTAAATGTCGTGATGTTAAATAATAATAATAATAATAAAAATTAATTTATATGATGATCAAACATCGGACTGGAAAGATCTCAGAATTATACTTGCTATTATATTCGTAGTTTTAATCACAAGATGGCGGACAGAGGACGCCATCTTGTGACTTAAGGTTAGAAGATGGCGTCCTCTGTCCGCCATCTTGTAATCTTAAGTAAATGAAGTAGCTATTATTGTAATCACTATTAATATCAATTTAAATGTTAAGCATCCATATATTAATTAGCAATAAAATGTAATAAATGAAATTTTTATAGTTTTATTTATTTACTTTATTAGGTACCCTTTATAATATAAATTAATTTTATTTTGATGTAATTGTAGCGCGGTGTATCCCCATCACTATTGCTTTATATATGTTATGATGAGGTGCCGCTACATAATATATTATTTATTGTAGTACGTAGGTAGTGAGTATACCGGTAAAATGATTGCACTATTTATTGTACATTAGCTTTTGCCCGTGACTTCGCTCGCGTAAATTTATCAAAATCCTTTCTTAGGGGATGCCTACGTCATAGTAGCTTTATGCATGCAAAGTCTCAGCCCGATCGTCTTAAAATTGACAAAGTTTCATACAAACTTTCATCCCCTATTTAATCCCCTTGGGGGTAGAATTAATCAAAATCCTTTCTTAGCGGATGCCTACGTCATAACATCTACTTGCATGCCAAATTTCAGCCCGATCCGTCGTGGTTTGGGCTGTGTGTTGATAGATCACTACGTCAGTCATCTTTGAGTTTATATATTAGATTATTAAGTTTATTGGTAGTGTGCTACATGACTTATTAATAACGCGTCCTGTCGACGCGGAGTCGGGACGTAGACTGATTTTACACTTAACTTAAATCTATGTTAGTGGAGACGTAAACTAATGAAAGGGTCTCAAGTGTCGACAGAAATATTACAAGTGTAGGCACATCATAAACAGTGTGAGGAGCCATCCGCAAGTTTATTTATTACCTTTTTTATAGACTTAGAACAGATTGGCAGTTTATTCTAAAACCTTACTTACGCAAATCTTTAAATTTCTCGGCATGTTTTATACTACAACACGCATGTATTATACATATAAACCTTTTGAATCACTCTATCTATTGCTGAAAACTGCATTAAAATAATAAATAAATAATTAACACCGCTATCTAGTCCCACGGTAAGCAAAACTTGTGTTATAGGTACTAGACAACTGATATAAATACTTAGATATTTTTTTCTATAAATACATACTTAACATACATAGAATACGCAGACTGATACAAACAATCATACTCATGAATACAAATGTTTGTGCCGTGCGAGGAATCGAACCCGCGAGCATCGGAAGCGGTGTGCTCAACCGCTAGACAACCGAGGCTACCGCAAAATCCGTTGCGTAATTTAAAAGATGTAAGCGAACAAACATTGCCTCTGACTTTATTTTATAGTATGTATAGATTATAAAAACTGCGCTCTCTCGTTTATATCAAAAAATATATGCACATAAAGTTATTTCCTTCGTTAAATTTATCGGTTACCCAATTAACTAGTATTTCATAGTCACAATTAGACTATTTAGTTATATTTTGAAATAGTAACAATGTGGTTACGTTGTAGCTTGGTTCTGTTGTTTAATATATTGTTTGTAGAATGCGGTTATCCACCAGTAAGTTTAATATATTATTTAATATTAATATTAACAGCTTATTATAAGTCTACGTTCCGAATGAGTAAAAGATGAGCGTAAAAAGATTATATTCAAAGTGGGATTATATAGTAAGTATAGATCATTTAATATAGGAAATTGATTTGATCTGAGAGCGCATGCCGCTGTGGTTTAAAAAAGGTCGTGAGTTCAAATTTGGGCTCAAGCTCAGAGAGACAAGCTCTCCGGTGATGTAAACATCGTTAACAAATAATTGTTGTGAGATACGACGTTACAGTAGGTATTTGGTGTTATAAGTCTACATCTTTAATGAGTTCTATACTAAAACAAAATATGACTATTCATATAAACCTTGTAGAATTTTTTTCTATTTGAGTAAAATTTAAATATGAATTAGTGCTAATTGTGTTTGTATTCAATCATATAAATACTTAGATATTTTTTCTATAAATACATAATAAAATACATAGAATACGCAGACTGATACAAACAATTTCTCGAATACAAATGTTTGTGATGAGACAGCTTTCCGAATGAGCGGTAGATTAAAAAAAGGTAATGACTATTTAAAAGATGTTCAACAAACATGTAAGACTTTATTTTATATAATAGATTATAAAAATTTCTCTCGTTTATATCAAAAAATATATGCACATAAAGTTATTTCTATTTAAATTTATCGGTTATAATAACTATATATTCATTCACAATTAGACTATTTAGTTATATTTTGAAATAGTAACAATGTGGTTACGTTGTCTATTCACTGTTGTTTAATATATTGTTACAGAATGCGGTTATCCGCCAGTAAGTTTAATATATTATTTAATATTAATATTAACAGCTTATTATAAGTCTACGTTCCGAATGAGTAAAAGATGAGCGTAAAAGAGATTATATTCAAATAAAATTATATAGTTTAGATCATTTAATATAGGAAATTGATTTGATCTGAGAGCGCATGCCGCTTGTTTAAAAAAGGTCGTGAGTTCAAATTTGTATTGGCTCAGAGAGACAAGCTCTCCGGTGATGTAAACATCGTTAACAAATAATTGTTGTGAGATACGACGTTACAGTAGGTATTTGGTGTTATAAGTCTACATCCCGAATGAGTGGTAGAGTAAAACAAAATATGACTATTCAAAAGTTCTTGTAGTAATTTTTTTTCTATTTGAGTATTTAATTGAATTAGTGCTAATTGGTGGTTTGTATTCAAACACTTAAACTTAAAAATGTAAAGTAATAATAAAATTATTTAAAAGAGCCATTCACACAGCGCCATCTAGACCCAAGTTAAGCTAGCTAAAGCTTGTGTTATGGGTACTAGATAACTAATAATAATAATGTATTGGTATCCCGTTGATTGTTATGATGAATTTTGTATTGGCGTGTTTGTTTTTTTGTGATTTTTTAGATCGGAGATGAAGTGATGGCGGGTAGTGTATTACTGCCCTCTACAAGGCGAGGACGGTACCTCGCCAACATCGTTAGGAGGCAGGCTGTGGTAAGTTAATGATATTGATGACCTCGGTGATCTAGCGGTTTTTTAAGAGTTCTTAGAAGCACCTAGAGAAAAAAAATCTCAGGACAATTCACACAGCGCCATCTAGACCCAAGTTCATCATCATCATCATCATCGCAGCCCGGAAGACGTCCACTGCTGGACCCAAGTTAAGCTAGCTAAAACTTGTGTTATGGGCACTAGAGAACTGATAGAAATGTATAGATTTTTTTGTTATTTTATTCGATTATTTCTATTTATTGTTATGTTTTCTATACACATATGGCTAGCTGTTACCCACGACTGCATTCACGAAGAATTTGTTTTTAAATAATAATATTTCTAAAATAAAACTAGCCTAAATTATTCCTTATAAAATTAGCTATCTACGAGTGAATCCCGTCAAAATCAGTCCAGCCGTTACAGAGATTAATGCAAGAACAAACAGACATACAAGAGAATTATTTGTTGTAAAATAAAAACGGCCAGTAATTTATTATTGCAGGATGGTACGGGAATAAAATTCAACAAAGATGCAGACCGGGTATGTCATAACTTGTGAAGTGTACACGTTCTTACATTGTAAAAATGCATAGACTCCGTTCTGGACATTATCCATCTGCAAAGTTTGCATACCTGATGAAAAAAAGCAATTCACAAAATTGTGAAGTATGTGGTAGAATAGAGGATGTTCAAAATCTACCCTGTACCATTGTAAGCACAGATTATTATATTAGAGTCCGTTAGTTTGTGTTCCCGCGGTTTCTGTTCCCCTCCCTTACCTACAGTACTGAACTGACCGTACAGCGGCCTTGACGCGCATTGTGTTGTGAATTAAAATAAATTAGAACTGTGTTAAACCTACTGTGAAACTGGAAAGCTAGCGAAGATACCTTCGAGACCCTGAAGCCCAAGAAATCCGCAGAACCATACAGGTACGTGACAGACGCTTCCCTATATATATACATAGTACTTTCCCTAACATTTTGGTAGCAGAGAGTAAATTCCCTAACAGATGATGTATATCATTTGCTGATGGAGTGTGTCAGGAACGAGAGTCTACGATATGGAATAACGTCAGACCATGAAATAAATATATTAGATGTTGGTGCCATACAAACTGTTTTAGCCGATCTTTCTGGCGGTGCGGCTAAGGCAATTTCTTCACTGGTGAGGTAATGGAGTGATTGGTTTTAGGGTACAATGGGACTGACATGTACTTAGATGTTACAAAAGACCCTAAATTTCAAAAGAAATAAAAAAAAATGTTATAACTGTCTCTTTTTTAGTGAAATTGAACACAATTAATCATTTATTATTAAAAACATTTAATGTTAAATATCTCTCAAGGAAACTACATAGTATAAGAAAAATAAAACAGAATAAATGTGTACATATCTCTACAGGCCAATACTATAAAACGAAAATTTCTATATTCATTTATTATAAATATTATATTCTACAGGAATTTTTAAGGTTTCTGTTATAATATGTAGCTTCACCTGTAATACCCGGTTTCACTTGTAATATCTAGTTTCACCTGTAATACCTAGTTTCATCTGTAATACCTAGTTTCATCTGTAATACCTAGTTTCATCTGTAATATCTAGTTTCATCTGTAATATCTAGTTTCATCTGTAATATCTAGTTTCATCTGTAATACCTAGTTTCATCTGTAATATCTAGTTTCGTCTGTAATATCTGGTGTCATCTGTAGTACCTAGTTTCATCTGTAATATCTATACTACACCTATATAAATAGCTTTGTCTCTACAATGCTCCCGTTTGTTCACGACATTGTTCAGATAAACGCTGAAGCTAAGAAGAAAGTAGATGTCCTATCAGAAGAGTTGCTGCCCTATATCATAGCAGAACAGGAGAGGAGAACTACACTTTATAAGAGGATCATGACGGCCATTCAGAACGGCGAGAAAGGAGTCACTATTGCCGAGATCAGGAACAAACCTCCACTAATTATAAGAAAAGGTGAAATTTGAAATCATCATTTGGTTTTAAAATATGGTCGAGCGCAGTGATGGCTGGCTTATCCGTCATACTCGTTAACGAGTGCTGCTTGTGTCCCTACAAGCACAGCCTGGTCTGCTCTTATCACTACGACTGATTTAATATTATTCTGTATTTTATGTAATTGTATTTTACCCAAATAAATTAGTGCTGGTTGGTAGTTTGTATTCGCACGTTTCGACTTTTAAATGTGAACTTACAAGGATTATTTGAAAGAGTAACACACAAGTTTCTAAGGGAGTCAGCAGGGAAACCAGTGTTGTACTAAACTGGTCTATATTAGCACTAAATCAGATGAGATTTAAAATGTAACCCAAGTCATGATCATGTAGTAAATACATATATTGCCTTGTTAAGATTTATAAACGACTAGCTTTAGTCCGCGGCTTCGCTCGCGTTAATTTATCCCCTTAGGGGTGGAATTTCTCAAAATCCTTTCTTAGGGGATGCCTACGTTATAGTAGCTTTATGCATGCAAAATCTCATCCCGATCGGTTTAAAATTGACAAAGTTTCATACAAACTTTCATCCCCTATTTTATCCCCTTGGATAGAATTAATCAAAATCCTTTCTTAGCGGATGCCTACGTTATAACATCTACCTGCATGTCAAATTTCAGCCCGATCCGTCTAGTGGTTTGGGCTGTGCGTTGATAGATCACTATGTCAGTCACCATTGAGTTATATATATTTAGATGTTCTACTAGAACCATCATCAAATTAGTCAATATGTCAACGATTTCATTAGGCTCTGCCACACCGCCTTATTTCCGATGGTCGCGAGATCGCTTCCTCTCACGTTACAAACATTCTTGTATTGTTAATTATGATTATCTTGGGGTTTTTTATGTGTATTATCTTATATATAAAATTCTCGTGTCACAGTTTTCGTTCCCATACTACTCCGAAAGTGCGTGACCGATTCTCATGAAATTTTGTGAGCGTATTGAGTAGGTCTGAGAACGGTAGGTCGGCTATTTTTCATCCCCCTAAATGTTAGGGGTAGTCCACCGCTAAATTTTTTATTTTTATTTTAAGGCAAAACAACGTTTGCCGGAACAGCTAGTATATCTATGTATATTATTTACAAAATAAATGTAAGTATTTTTATCAGTGGTCTAGAAACTATAACTCGAGTAAGTGTGTTATTATCCGTACACTTATACATGTTAAAGTTCACATCAGTATTGTAGAAAAATCCGATATTTTAAAATGATATTAAAAGAAGATAGTTTGTGTTTAGTACTAATGAAGTACGCAATGTAAAGATTATTACAAAAATTATAAATAACGCCATCTAGTATTTATAGACCGAACTAAGGTATTTGTCATAAGATATTTATCCCCGCTTCTCTCCTTACTACACTGACTTCGGTCTATAAATACGGAGGTCGGTAGTTGAATAATCCTCTTTCGTTGGGTGAGCCACGGCATTCAGTCGACGAGCGCAGAGCGTGCCGGTTGTGTTTTGGATACTAAAGTGAATTATATTAGAAATGGGTTTATCCCAGTCTTAGTTGGGCCTGGGGGAGAAGCTGCAAGTAGTGAAGGTGAGTGTTAATGCATTCTAAAAGGGCCTTAAACCTACACCCGTGTCACAAGTCACGGGCGCTACTTGGGGTTTCCCTTGCGGTAGCCGGCTTCAAAGCCTAAGTCGTCATCATAATTAGTGCTTCTTACATACATACATATCTATATTTTCTATGTATATAGATAATACCTATACCAATACAAACAATCGTATTCATAAATACATATATATATCGAATTTTTGTACCGTGCGAGGAATCGAATCCACGACCGTCAAAAGTGAAGTGGTGTGCTAAACTACTAAACCACAGAGGCCAAATTATATTATAATTATATGTATATATATTAGGATTAATGTTCCGGTGTCCGTCCAATCGGGCGCCTAAGGAGCCGGATGGATCTGGTGTCCTAATGTGCGAGAAGGACGTCGAACCTGCACCCGTTATGTATGACTCCTGCCTCAGCGCAGAGGACAGGGAACTTTATGTCGCTGAGAATAAATACTTCTTTTGCAATCGTGAGTATTTTTTTATATCACATTTTGCATGGAGACAGGGGCGAGTCAGGGACATAGTTTCAACCTTATAGTTTTTGATTCATCCGATAAAAAAAATGGCACTCGGGGACTGCCGCAGTAAAGCTATTGCATAGCATTTTTTATCAACCTATGCAATTACAATTATTTATTTATTTTATTTATACAGTTTTTATTTTCTTTGATATAAATTCAAGTTACACTTTTTGAGCGTGGTGACCGATAAGAAAACAATTTATTATACAGTAATCAAATAATATTTCTCACAAACGGCTGCTTACGTATTCGTCCAATTTCGGAGCGGCTCGTCTCGATCCGTTCCGTGCGAGCTTCGTACAGTGTGCTAGTCGCACGCACACGAACACGGTGCCGAAGTCTGCCGAAGTCTGCCGAAGTCTGCCGAAGTCTGCCGAACTGAAACGACGTTAGACGATGCACGGCCTCCAACGCCGCACCACTGTGCCGGTCAGAATGGAGGGAGTTAGGTTTTTTGTTACAGAATTTTTTGATTCGGTCGCTGCGCTCAAAGCCCGCTATAAAAGCTATGCTACATATGTATTTTTATTTATATCGTGTATTTTTTTTTGAGGTTTGATAATGGAATGGTGCACCCGCCTGCGCTAACGGTTTACGCTGGCGGGGCACCAGTGGAGGATGATAAGATGAGCATGAAGTCAGGTCAGTTAGCACATCGTGCAAATTCACCAGGAGTTTAACACTATGGTTTCCAGGGGGAACCGCGTGGAGGTCGACCTACATGGTACATTGCTAGCAATGGGGTTATCAATCCACATTACTAACAATTCCCTTCCCCCCTACTAAACACGGGTATTTTTAGGTCACAAAGTGGAAGGTCCTGACCTGCCTCGAAATGGCAGTACTGTGATTGGCTGTGCGCCCGTAGAGAGGACATCGTTGAACTATACAACCAGCAAATGTACTCTGGAAGACACTGATGATGTAGTGGTACACTACAGATACTACCCTGATAGAGTGAGTATTCATACGTTTGTTTTTTTTTTTCATCATCATCATCATCTCGCTCCCTCGATTGTCGGTTTTTCGTGCGCGAGTCAAAGGACTGTAATTATTTATATACAAAAAAAACGTCTATTCAAAAGAGCAACACACAAGTTTCTTTCTCATTCTTCTTGTGATGAATCTGCATTACGAATGAGTGGTAGAATCAAAAATATGACTATTCAAAAGTGCTTGTAATGAGTTTATTTGAATGTAGATTATTTCTGTGGCAAAACGACATTTTATTAATATGCAACAATTTATAAGTACTTAAAATCAATCTGAATATTATACAAATCTTATTAAAACTGAAATGATTTCTCGTTTATATTATAATATTATTATTTTTTTAATTTATTACTGGTATTTACATAACCTAATTGTACAACTAAGAACCTAAAATTAAAAAGCTTAAAAAAATATATAATATGTTCTATAACTGGCCGCTGATAAACCGAACATTCTTTTAAATAAAAAAGAAGAAAAAAAGTGAATGAACACCCGCAGTCTTTTGTTGTTAATAAAAATGTCATATGAATTAGACATTGTGCTCCTCTTTTTCTACATTAACTAATTATTTATACATAGACGCGTTATGGAACAGTTCTGTAAAATGACTCCTACACGAAGATACCGTGTGCGTTCACTGATAATACAGACTATTTCGCGAGTGTCGTTCGTTGTGTTCCATAAGAGGCTGTCTCCATTTTCCTGTCATCCGGTCGTCTTCTGTCTGGACCCGGTGTGTGTGTTCTTTAACAGTGCTCTGGATTGGGTTGCAGGTCAGTGGGTACCGTTATTTTATGGGTATTTGTTGCTACGTAGTCAGGGACTATATAAGTTTGTGGAAGGACGCCCTGTATGACCTCTCCGATCGATCCCCCGTCCAATTTAAACGGGGATCGAAATTACGACGGCCTGAGCCGAAGTTCGAACCCCTAACAGTGTCCCAAAGTAAACTCGTATCCGTCAGACGGGAGTTGTCCTTCAGCCGCTCCATAAGTCCTTCCTTTGGTATGACATGACATATAATCGCTCATATGTCATTTATATAACGTAGATGATTATTATTATTATTATCACGACAAGATTATTGTCAATCTGTTGTCTTCTTATAAATTTAAACATATAAACGTTTGCTCTGAAGTATTTATTTTATAAATACATAAATATATCCTAGTCTGTACCAGTGTATAAGTGTGGACAAGAACGTAAGAACATATTATTGATATTTTTGAAGAATAAAACGACATATAATACTTAAAAGAAATATTGAATTTGATACTTTTTTGTTGTTGTTTCTAATTAGTTGACCATCAATGTATATACATACAAATATCTTTTTTTTCTATTAGACATACAAATACGTGACTGAGCTGGACCCGGACCGGGAGGTTTGCGAGCACTGGAAACCGTGTCAGATCGGTTACATTTACAGTCTACCGTCACCAGACCAGGCTGTGGTGGCCAACGAATTGTGGCGTGAGTATTTAAACATTTGTTTATAATAAACACAATACAATAAGTAATAATATATATGATAAAAAGTGGATTGTTATTAATGTGAACTGATGATTGACATCCACATATCAAAAGTAATTCAATTGAGTTTCTTGACAGTTCTTCTCAATTGGATCTATATACCGAACTGGACGGTAGGGAAAAAATTATAATGTAAAAACTTCATAAGCGGCTAAAATGTCCTACATGAATAAATGATTTTGAATTTGAAAAAGAGATTTTTCCAGAAACTTCTACATAATTCGTGGGAAACGGGATTGTTAGTAATGAGGACTGTTGACACCATTGCTAGCAATGCCATGTCGGGTTGACCTCCACGCGGTTCCCCCTGGAAACCATCCTGATATATTCCTGAATTTGTCACAAAGTGCTAACTGACCGGACCTCATGCTCATCTTATCATCCTCCACTGGTGCCCCGCCAGCGTATAATGTTAGTGCAGGCGGGTGCATCATATCATTATCATTCATTAAAAAAATATATTTGGGGGACTTAACATTATGCGATTTTTCTACCAGTCAACCATAGATAGTGCAGATATGTTTTTTATTATGTTAGCAGAATTGGATGCAACGGACTTGCACGCAAGTTTCTAACTCATTCTTCTAATAATGAGTCTGCGTACCGAATGAGTGGTAGAAAAAATGTGACTATTCAAAAGTGCTTATTATATTAAGTTTTTTTGAATGAAAATTATTTATATTTCTAGTATGTAAAGATACGTTAATGTCAGTAGTGGGTATAAGTTTTATCTTCACATAACTTTTTTATAAAATCAATTTTATATTTATTTAAGGACTTACATTTAACATAGACGATACTAGAGAGAATTAGACAACAGTCATAGATTAGTTTCTTTTAAATTTATTTATTACTCTTTATTCGACCCTAAAAAGTACAAAAGAAAACAGAATATTTTATATATAAAATTTTATCTCGTGTCAGATAAGACAGAAGATGGTGGAGGGTGTATGATGGAGCGAAAGAAATATTAACATCTTATATATAAAATTCTCGTGTCACAGTTTTCGTTCCCATACTCCTCCGAAACTTTTTCACCGATTCTCATGAAATTTTGTGAGCGTATTGAGTAGGTCTGAGAATCGGCCAACATCTATTTTTCATCCCCCTAAATGTTAGGGGTAATCCACCCCTAAATTATTTATTTTTATTTTAAGGCAAAACGTTAGCCGGGACAGCTAGTCTTAATAAAATCATAACATATACAAATACACAGTAAGGCTGAGAAATTTAAAATTTTCTAACGTACCCGTTTTTTTTCTATATTACAATATATTAACTGTATATTACAATACCATATGTTGACAACCTCGGTGGCCTAGCGGTCTAGCACACTGCTTTACGACGGTCGCGGGTTCGATTCCTCGCACGGCAGAAACATTTGTATTCATGAGTATGATTGTTTGTATCAGTCTGGGTGTTTTCTATGTATAATATGTATGTATTTACAAAAAAAATATCTTTGTGTCTCAGTTATCTAGTACCCATAACACAAGCTTTAGCTAGCTTAACTTGGGTCTAGATGGCGCTGTGTGAATTGTCCTGAGATTATTATTATTATTATTTATATTATTATTATTAATGTCAAATAATCTGATATTTACAAAACAATACAGAGTATAAGAGACAAATGTAAGGAAGAGAGAATTTAGAGAAGAGAGTATATATATAAATTTATAATTTACGTTCGAAAGGAATTTTTTTTATGTAAATTGATTAGCAAACAATATGACGGCCCGCCTGATGGTATGTGGTAACCGTCGCATACATGAACAGCACTACGGACATCACGTTATCACGTGACGCCCGTGATACCACTCACGCGTTGTCACTCCAGAGTACTAACATGTCACGCCTCTTATCCTGTAATTTCTCTTCCTAATCTGCACTACAACCGAAACAGCTTACAAAGCAAGCTGCTTGGCTGAAATAGGTGAGACTGAGGTACCAAGGCTGTGTTTTTGAGAGTCAAATATGATAGCGAAGTTACAGAGTATTGTGACATAGAACCAAATTGGCAAATGAGTAACTCGCCATCTTGGATTTTGATCCGCCGCGCCATCTTGGATTTTCTCAACTTTGACAATTTTCTAGTAGTCAGTATAGCTATGTAATATTATGTTATCTGTGATTTAGCTAAATGTTAAGACTGTCTGTTTGTTATTTCAAATTTCTGAAAAGACTGGGTCGATTTTGACGCGACTTTAGCTCGCAAATAGCTATAATTATAAGGAGTAACTTAGTAACTTTTATTTTAGAAATTCTAATTATTATAATTTTTTTTTTATATCAAATAAATTATTACGCGTTTGACTAATCTACTTATAGATGATTACGGTACCTTTTCACCGCAATATTATAATTCCACGTAGATATAGTCACCGGTAACAGCTAGTGAATACAAATATAATTATTACATTGGTTTCTATTTTACTTATAGATGATTACGGTAAGTGTTTTCATTTTGTACTTTTTAGTTTTTATGAAATTACTAGCTACTCACACCGGCTTCGCACGGGTGTACATTAGTGTTCAGAATCTACCCTGTACCATCGTAAGCACAGATTATTATATTAGAGTCCGTTAGATTCTGTTCCCGCGTCGTCCCTTCCCCTCCCTTACCTAGTACTGAACTGACCGTACAGCGGCCTTGACGCGCGCGCGCATTGTGTTGTGAATTAAAATAAACTAGAACTGTGTTAAACCTACTGTGAAACTGGAAAGCTAGCGAAGATATCTTCGAGACCCTGAAGCCCAAGAAATCCGCAGAACCATACAGGTATGTGACAGACGTTTCCACACATATTTTTCCCTATATATATATATACATAGTACTTTCCCTAACATTTTGGTAGCAGAGAGTAAATTCCCTAACAATTAGTATTATACATATAAACCTTCCTTTTGAATTACTTTATCTATTAAAAAACCGCTTCAAAATCCGTTGCGTAGTTTTAAAGATTACAGCATACATAGGGACGGACAGACAGCGACAGCGACTTTGTTTTATACTATGTAAAGATGATGGTAATAATAATTCATATCTTTTTTTTATATGAATTATTATCACCATATATTTTTCATACCCCTAAGTGGTAAGGGATATCCACCACTAACTTTTTATTTTTTCGACATAATATTTTATTTTCATTTTATTATAATTTAGGATTGAAAAATACATATAACCCTAATTCTTCACCTTTCTAGCATGAATCACAATTATTTATTTATTTATTGAAATAAATAATTAAATGCGATTTTAATTTATATGTCAAACCAACGTTTGCCGGGACATCTAGTTAATTTATAACATTTATAAAACTCTTCTCTGTTGCAGTGGAAAGTAAGTATTCCAAAATAATACATTCAATTCATTGGTCAGACAGATATATCTTTAACAGATACATTTTTAATAATTATTAACCGGGTCTTGACACGAATAATTTTATGGCAAATAAAGGTTTTTTTTATTATATTGGAATGGTGCACCCGCCTGCGCTAACGGTTTACGCTGGCGGGGCACCAGTGGAGGATGATCAAATGAACATGAGGTCAGGTCAGTTAGCACATCGTAACAAATTCACCAGTAATTTATCACGATGGTTTCCAGGGGGGACCGCGTGGAGGTCGACCTAACATGGTACATTGCTAGCAATGGGAGTTACTAGTTCCCATTACGAACAATCCCCTTTCCCTCAATAATTGTATTTACCTCTAGACGTTTCGATTAGATGTGGTCACGAGCTGACTGGAGCATAGAATTATTCGTGTTAAGACCCGGTTAATAAATTAAATAACGAAAGTTTAAAAATAACATTTGTTTTAGGACCAAATGGTAAGTTAATTCTTTATAGTTTTTAAACGAATTCTATTGTACATTAACTAATATAAAATACATCAAAATGATGAATGTAGTATAATTTTTTTCGGACTACTCTAATGCTGTTGGACGCAGCTGGCCTTTACAGCTTCACCGGACGATAGGGGGCGAGTGCAGATGGCACTCCAAACCAAAGGAAGGACTTATGGAGCGGCTGAAGGACAACTCCCGCCTGACGGATATTCTAGTCTCTGGGCAACTGTAGGCCATGATGCAATTCATATATCTTTCTATTCGATGACAAAACAAAAAAATATTGTATTTCTTTTTATGTTGAAACTAGCTACTCGCCCCGGCTTGGCTCGGTTGTACATGTATTATACATATAAACCATCCTTTTGAATCACTATTAACAAAAACCGCCTCAAAATCGGATGCGTAGTTTTAAAGATTTAAGCATAACATAGGGACGGACAGACAGCGTCAGCGACTTTGTTTTATACTATGTAATGATTAACACTACAATAATGAAATATTACATTTTATTTCACAGAATACGAAAGTAAGTTTATTTCGTTTATTATTAAAAAAATGGAAACTTTATTCTATTTTTAAATAGAAATAATCTTTATTCAAATAAACTTATTAGGTAGTAATATTTTTTTTATTCTACCACTCTTTCGGAACGCAAACTCATTACATGAAGAACGAGCGAGAAACTTGTGTTAGGGTTCGCATGGATAATTTCGAAAAATCTGATATTTAATATTAAAAGAAGGTAGTTTCATTATTACTCGGTATCGTTAAACTAAACCCCCACTCATATCTTCTCTGTATAAAAGGGAGGGTTTTTGTAGAATTTGAAAATGGAATAGAGGAATGTTATTTTATTTAAATCTTTTTTTATTATAACACATATGTATATATCTAACACTTGTGTGTTGGTCTTTTAAATAATTTGAAAATGGAATGGAGGAATGTTATTTTCTTTTTTTATGTAACTGGAAGTACAATAAATCTCATTATCTTTTTTTATACGACTAGAAGTGCAAACAACAACGGCCCACCTGATGGTATGTGGTAACCGTCGCATATATACATGAACAGCACTACGCACATCACGTTATCACGTGACACCCGTGATACCACTCACGCGTTGTCATACTGGAGGACTGGATGTCCTGCTTCCGTAACTTTTTTCATTAATGTATTGCCCTTAACAGAAATAAATTTAATTTGTCGTTAGTGCCGTGATCACAGATGCAATTTATATTTAACTAGTTAAGAGCCGAGATTTGTTCACACGACCACAAGATAGTCCAATAATCTATACATATAAATAAAATTGGAGTGTCTGTTTGTAATATTGAAATAACCGTTTTTTACTGCATGCATATGAATATAAATAAGGCACCTACACCAAAATAACATTTTTTGCAAATTTTGTCTGTTTGTCTGTTTATTCTGGATAATCTCTGAAATGGCTGGACTGATTTTGACAGGACTTTTATTGGCAGGTAGCTGATGTAATAAGGAGTAACTTAGGCTACCATTATTTTAGAAAAATAAAAGTTATTTTCCACGCGGACGAAGTCGCGTGCACAGCTAGTAAAATATAGATTTTGCAGCTTAGCTTTCATTACACATGCATCATTCCATTATCATCCATTAAACATTGGTTTTGTCTATGCTTTTCAGATGACGGTATGTTCCATTTCTTGATTTCTTAATATAATTATTTACCCACAAAAATCCCAAAAAAAATAAAGAGAAAAAAATTATTTACCCACACATTTTTGTATGCAATTGTTTGTATTGATCTGGATGTTTCCTGAATGGTAATACATACACCTATATTTATAAAACATTATATATAAGTATTTCTAACAAAATAAAAAAACAATAATATTGTTGTTTTTTGTTATGTACAAGTATATACATTTATTTTGTATAAGTACTGTTTAGCAACGGTAGTATCAGCTCTGCTTATTTTAGGACTAGATGGCGCTGTGTGAATTGTCCTATAGATAATAATAATAAATAACATGTTGCATTGTTTGAAATTACAACTGTGTAATTTTCTACACATTATCAAATTCAAATTCAATTAAAAAAAAATATTTATTCATTTAGGACATTTTAGCCGCTTATGAACGTCAAATTTTTTATTTTATAATATTATTTTTTTCCTACCGTCCAGTTCAGTATATACATCCAATTGAGAAGAACTGGCAAGAAACTCGATTGAATTACTTTTTTTTTATCGCAAATTGCACTAAATGTACAATATTTAAAACTGTTGAAGAATGATTAGCAGTGATTCATAATCATCTGTGTAGGTCATTGTGCATTATTATAAAATCTAAACATATATAACTCAAAGGTGACTGACATAGTGATCTATCAACGCACAGCCCAAACCACTGAACGGATCGGGCTGAAATTTGGCATGCAGGTAGATGTTATGACGTAGGCATCCGCTAAGAATGGATTTTGATTAATTCTACTCCCAAGGGGATAAAATAGGGGATGAAACTTTGTCAATTTTAAACCGATCGGGCTGAGACTTTGCATGCTTAAAGCTACTATGACGTAGGCATCCCCTAAGAAAGTATTTTGATAAATTCCACTCCTAAAGGGGATAAATTAACCCGAGCGAAGTCGCGGGCAAAAGCTAGTATATTATAAAGTAAATGTCTATATATTATATACATAAAACATACATAACAATCTGCTTCTTTCTAATCCCATTTATTTGTGGTCGGTGTAATGTGGTGATGTATATGTAACACCATCTTTAAAATATTATCTGCATAGGTATGATATATCTTATTAATATTCTAAACTTGAAAGTTTGTGAGTATTGATGCATGTTTGTTACTCTTTCACGCAAAAACTATTGAACGGATTTTGATGAAAATTTACAGTAATATAGCTTATACATCGGAATAACATATAGGCTATAAATTTCATGCGGAGCAAACCGCGGCACAGTATTATATAATAGTTTTACAAGTTATTTGCTAATTGTGTTGTTTTGTATTCATTTCAGAAATCGTTGCACGTAAGTTGTTTAGTACCTATATGGTTTTTTTATACTTATTTTATCTGTTCCGGGAAACGTTGCTATATAAATTAATTAAAAAAATTGTAGATGGTTGAAGGGTGAAAATCAAAAAGTGTGTGTATCTTTAAAGCCACTTAAAAATCTTTATATATAAAAATTACATTTACAATTACAATTATATATAAAAATTAAATCACATTTGTATTGTATATGTTTAATTTTTTTTGAATAGTCACAGCATTGAAGAATGAGCAAGAAACTTGTGTGTTGCTCTTTTTAATAGATGTTTTTTTTATATAAATAATTACTATAGATGTTTTTTTTATATAAATAATTACAGATAACAAGTAAGAGGCATGCGATAATCAACATAGAAGTCGCTACGCACTCATTATTAGTTTTCTCTTGTCTTTATAATATATTTATTTATTTATTCTTTTGCACACTGTACACATGGCAGACTGCAATGCCTGATGGCATTCTCTACCAGTCAACAGCGTTGATCAGAGATAGTATGGCTGTATAAGTACGTAAATATATTATATAGGCAGCGCACATGCGAAGCTGCGCGCGCAACATAAATATGTCGCTTTGTTGTCTCAAATACAATTACATTAGATAAACTTTTGCTTTGTAATTTTATTTAAATATACATAAAGCCCATAACTGGTGACCCCGCTCTTGGACAGAACCGTAAGGATATATAATTCATATTTTGTGGCGGTGCAATGTAATAAGTACTTTATATTGACATATAATTTTTCTTATATGTTTATATAGACAAATATATAAACACACTAATATACTATATTTATGTTACTAGCTACCCAACCCGGCTTCGCACTGGTGTACATGTATTATATATATAAACCTTCCTCTTGAATCACTATCTATTAAAAACAACAGCTTCAAAATCCGTTGCGTAGTTTTAAAGATTTAAGCATACATAGGGACGGATAGACAGCGACGACTTTATTTTATACTATGTAATGACTAACCGGGTCTTAACACGAATAATTTTATAGCAAATAAAAGTATTTCCCTCTATCGACGTTTCGACTAGGTTGCACTAGCAGTAGTCACCAGCGGACTGGAGTAACAGCGATGTCAAAGTAGATAGGTGACAGCAGTTTATATGCATGTGTGACAAATTCATGACTGTGTCTATTTTGTCATAAATTTAATGTATTTTTTTCATAATTAAAAAAAATATTATCATACTGCACTCCTTTTCTATAGAAACTATAAGTGTCTGAAATTTCATACGATTCCGTCCGCGTAAGTTTGGTAAAAAGGGCTATAAAGTTTTTGTTTCATGTATTAATATAGTGATAATATTGTTATCCTAGACGACTCTTTGGTGGAGTGTATGAACCCCATGAAATTGAAATACAAACATAGTCCGCGAAGATTGAGAATACCACAAGGTTACCAGTACCAGTCGATTTGGAGGAGCGAATCATCAGCGCCGTTGTCGATGAATCATAATAGTTCATATAAGGTAAGATTCTAAATGAAATATACTAAAAACTAAATATAACACACACACGTACACAATAATAATGATGCGACGTGAAGTGACTGAGAATTTCTCAGTCGCAGATATTCTCACTGAGAACATGTGCGACTAGAAGTGACAAAATTTCTTAGATAGTCGTGTATTGTATACATTTAAAATAATAATATAATAAATTAGAAATAATATCTCAGTGAGAATATGCGCGACTAGAAGTGACTGAGAATTTCTCAGTCATAGTCCTATAATGTCTACATTTAAAATGGTAATATAATAAATTAGAAATAGTATCTCAGTGAGAATATGCGCGACTAGAAGTGACTGAAAATTTCTCAGTCGCACATATTCTCACTGAGATATTTTCAGTGAGAATATGTGCGACTAGAAGTGACAGAATTTCTCAGACATAATCCTGTATTGTATACATTTAAAATAATCTGACTGAGATATTTTCAGTGAGAATATGTGCGACTAGAAGTGACAGAATTTCTCAGTAATACTCCTATAAAGTCTACATTTCAAATGGTAATATAATAAATTAGAAATAGTTACTACAGAACGAATCATGGAAGAGTGGAGTCTCCTGGCACAGACTTAAAAATTTAGAGTTATAAGCAGGCCCCTCTTCTCTCTACCGGGCCCTCTTCTCTGTACCCAGGGCCCTGGGCACACTGGGCACGTACTCAGGGCCCTGGGCACACTGGGCACGTACCCAGGACCGCGCGATGGATTGGGACCCCCTAGTCTAGTCATTACCCCATTACCAAACAATAACCGATAGCTACTCTACTCTTGCCTGAAAATCAGTCTTAACAAATGCTTACCGACTATGGTCAATTTGTTAGATTTTGTTATCACATAATGACTTTTTAAAATTGTTTTTGCCCGGTTTGTTTTGAATGTAGGGCATCCATATATACAGCTCTAAAGAGACTTTGTCATCCATATATCTTTATTACTATGGTCATATGCTTTTTGTCCGGTTTGTTTTGAAGAGTATATACATCTCAAAAAAAAATGACTTTGTCTATTCTAACAAAATAGTGCTTTATTACTATGGACATAGGGGCCTCATTATCCTTACGTGCCCAGGACCTCTCATAGGTGAAAGACGGCCCTGGTTGTATATATTTTTTAAGGCCACATTATAAAACAATAAAAACAATATAGTCAAATAAATAAAGAATAAATGTTAGGGGTGAACAATCCTTATCACTTAGGGTTATGAAAAATAGATAGTCGATTCTCAGACCTACTGAATATGCACATAAAATCGGTCAAGGCTTTTCAGAGGAATATGGTAACTAAGTTTGACATGAGAATTTAAAAAAAAATCAAAATATCTTTATTCATGTAGGTCTATTACAGACTTATGATACGTCAAATCTACCGTCAGTTCAGACTGATTTCAAGATGAGAAGAACTGACCAGAAACTCGGCTCGTATTGTTTTCAAATAAATGTTGTACATGTTTACAATAATACATTTTTAAAATCAATTTGTGTGTATAGAGTGACCACCAGCATATGATATTGCAAAAGCAAATGGTCAAGTCTTCTAGCTTCAAAAATGACGATTCTTCCATACAATCTTTCATCCCCAATTTCAACCCAAACCCAAATTAAAAAGTAGCCTATATCCTTTCTCAGAGTCTAGACTATCTGTATACGAAACTTCAATTAAATCGGTGCAGCAGTTTTGGCGTGAAAGCGAGACAGACAGACAGACAGAGTTACTTTCGCATTTATAATATTAGTAAGGAGTAAGGAGTAAGGAAGTAAGGAAAGTAAGGATTAGTAAGGAAGTAAGGATGAGGATAATACATTTTTTAATTCAAATTTGTGAGAACAGAGTGATATGATATTGCAAAAGTATATATAGTCAGGCTAACATATAATTTTGAATGCAGCTGTCTTGGACTTCAGTGGACTGTATTTACGACAATAGGATTTGAGCAAGAAATTGATAATTTGGAAGGCACTCACCTTGTACTGCGAGGATTGCCGGTTCGGTTTCAGCAAGGCTTCCCAGAACTCCGGGCTTGTCCGAACTTACCTTTTATTTATTTATTCCAGGCAACTAGGCCCATATTATAAATACCTTATAGACTAACATACATATAATATAATATTTAAAAACTAACACAATGATATTGTCTGTGTGATCACGGCACTGAAGACGGCAATCTGCCTTTTGAACGGGTTACCTGTTTACCGCCAAAACCGACAATAGGTGCTTTCCAGTATTTAAACTAATAATATTCGTAGTTAAACTAATAATATTCACGACTTTAGTTAACAAATCTATATAAAATATCGACAATTACGACAGAGAATCAACAGTTTTTGGACAACGACAAAGGCAAAACGACTCCCACTCTCGTAATCACTTTTTATTTTTTTACTTTTTTTTTTATTATTTACGGCATTGGATATCGCGATAAGGTTGCCGTGCGTATTATTGTGAATAATGATCAGTCAGTTCGGAATGGTATATCTAGATTTTTATCACATATAAATCGTTTCAGATGAATCACGATTTTAATGTGAATGTATCACCAGACGGGACTTATGTAGAGGTGGATATCAAATCGTTTACAACGGCCAGCTCGTACCAAGTGAGGTTTGAGAAGGTGGTCGACGGAAGAACACTGCACAAAGTAGTGCCATTGTTAACTATATGTGAGTAATCTGTGCCCGATCAACTTTTTTTTTCTACTACGGTGGTGGTTTTCAAGCATACGGCCCATCTGATGGTAAATGGTTACCGTAGCCTATGAAATTTCGGTTACGACGGACGGGGACTCCCCCCGTCCGTCGTTAGGGCAGTAAAATTTAAAAAAAAAATGAAGTTCCGGTGCATGTCTGTTTTTTTTATAGTATAGGGGACAAACGAGCTTGCGGCTCACCTGATGGTAAATGATTACCGCCGCCCATGAGCACCTGCAACTCCAGGGGAATTGCAAGTTGACGGTGTTTTAAGAATGACATACAAGTCCACTGAAATTGCAACGTATATGTGATATCACGGCTGTTATATGATAACGTGATATCTGTAGTTGGTACCCGCTCACCATCAGGCCGGTTAGTTTAAGAAATTCGTTTCAGCTAATTGCACGATTCTTGTGGACGAGAAATCAATAGATGGCTTGCCAGGTCAGCGCGTTGAAACTGTCACAATAAACTACCAGTGTGGCCGGTGTCAATTGCTACAGATTGTAATAAGAGCTACAGATTGGAATGTGTACAATTTAGACAGATCGAGATATAGGTTACGGAAAACCGTTGACAGGTATATATTTTTTTTATATATTTTTTTAATTGCAGAGTTCTTGCTGTTTAGCACATAGTTCTATTTTCGACTAGCTGTTACTTGTGACTTCGTCCGTGTGAAATTTGACTTTCATTTTCTAAAATAAAAGTGGCCTAAATTACCCCTTATTACATCAGCTAACTGTAAATAAAAGTCCCGTCAAAATCGGTCCAGCCATTTCAGAGATTAGCCGGAACAAACAGACAGACAGACAAAAATTGTAAAAATGTTATTTTGGTGTATGTACCGTATTTATATTCATATGCATGTAGTAAAAACGGTTATTTAAATATTACAAATAGACACTCCAATTTTATTTATATGTATAGATGATCGCTGGTGCCGTTTTTCGCATGATGCAAACATTTGTATTTATGAGTGTGATTGTAGGTATTACTCAGGGTGTTTAAATATTACAAATGTATATTATTTATATGTATATATGTCTGGTACCCATAAAACAAGTATTTATGAGTAGTTTTAGGTATTACTCAGGGTGTTTTCTATGTATATTATATTATCTGTGTTTCGGACTAAACGGTGTTGTGTGAATTGTCCATATTATATTACTAGCTGTGCCCGCGGTTTCATCTGCGTGAAATCTAAAGCCTATGTGTTATTATAATGTATAATATAAACAACATTGCTATAAAATTTTATCAAAATCTGAATGAATTTTTGCGTGTAAAAGTAACAAACATCCATCTATACATACACACTTCCGCGGTTATAATATTAATAAGATTATTATTTAACGCAAAAAAAGGATTCTCAATAAAACTATATTTTTATGTGTGTTATCTTAGAACTTATACTTATATTGGCAAGGCATCAGTGAAGGATAAAAGGATAAAAACATCTGTTAACCCAACGTTACTATTTAACCAAAATAAAACAGTAATTTCCAATTTTCTAAAAAGCCTATTAAAATTAAAAAAATATACTTACCACTGAAATATTGTGCTTGTTCAAATTTATCCATAAGTTATCATTTTTTTTTTAAATAAAATGTTGCCATATATTGAAATTATTATTTTATCTTTATTTTCAGGAAATTTTACATTGAAATAGGTTTGGAAAATCTGCGAGTGCGAGACTTTGGTAGTTATTTCGGCGTTTTTCAAAACGACGACGGTGTGGAAGAGAGGGTCAAAATTTTAGTAGTGCACTGTAAGTATTTGAAGTACGAATCGAAATTAATTACTGCGTGTCTTATGATAGCAGTATATACTTATGTCCCAGACTGTATTGATTTTTTTTAGATATAATCCAAATAAAATTCGATTTCTCACGAGACTACAGCATGGGATTTTTCAAGAAGGGTATATTAAGGTTTCTTAAGGGTCGACAACGCGCACGTGCCCTCAGGCGTCTATAGGCTACGGTAACCATTTACCATCTAATGGGCCATTTGTTTGTTTGCCACCATAGTAGAAAAAAATTGTCATGACATAATTACACTGCGCAACATCGTCTGCATTAAACTTAAAAACTTAATGTTATGTATGACTCAAGTTTGTTGTACTCGTTGTCTTGTTGTATGCGGTAGTGTGTAAACTTCTTGACATACAAGAATAGAACACAAATACTTTATAGGAATAATAGAAAATTAAAATAACAACTCTCTTATGATGAGATAGCTTACCCAATGAGCGGTAGATTTAAAAAAAAATATTTTACAACAAAGTTACAAATTGGTACATTTTTTATTATATTTCAGCTCCAGAAAGAGGTAATTAATAGTACAATAATATAATAATAATATCACAGGACAATTCACACAACGCCATCTGGTTCCAAGATAAGCAGAGCTTGTGTTGTGGGTACTAGACAATTGATAGAGTATATGATATACATAGAAAACACCTAGACTAGTACAGACAATCAGACTCATTATTTCAAATGTTTGTATCGTGCGAGGAATCGAAGCCGCGGCTATCGGAAGTAAAATGGTGTGCTAAACCACTAGACTACCAAGACCTTCAAGTTAAATTTAGTTTATATATCGTCTAATTATGTAATTCTGTGTTCTAGATACTGGTAAGCATTTCCTTTACTTTCATTAGCCATTACCGATGACAGAATTTATAAAACTGATCAATATTACCATAGGACCAAGGTTCAAAATTGGAAATCATTTTAAAAACATTAATACAAACTGTGCGGTTATGTGATCAGTTTTGTATGAAATTTTGTGTTTACACGGCTTACTCTGCAAACGTTGTTTTGCCATACAAATTAAAATCGCTATTGAAAATTAGGAGTTGGTGGTAGAAGGGTAAAAATGTATTTTTAATACCACATTATAAAAAACGGCTATGAAAAATAGATAGTAGCCGATTCTCAGACCTACTGCCGTTTTGAAGGAGTATGATAACTAACATTGTGACACGAGAATTTTTTATACATATACCTATAAGATTGCAATTCGTATCGTAGTATTTTCCACTGCATTGTAAATTCAAAAATAATCAAAATGCCTTCATATATATATGAATTATACAAAAATAATTATAACAAAAAAGAAGGTAAGAAGACTCCATAGTAGTTATGTTCGGCGCGTCGTCTGCCTGTACCACGTTACATTGCGACTGAAAGAAAGAAAGAAAGAAAACTGGGACGCGAGTCACAATGTAACTTTTTTTCGGACTACTCTAATGCTGTTGTCTGCAGCTGGCCTTTACAGCTTCACCGGACGATAGGGGGCGAGTGCAGATAGAACTTCAAACCCAAGAAAAGTCTTATGGAGCGGCTGAAGGACAACTCCCGCCTGACGGGTACGATCTGAGGGCACCGTTAGGGATTCTAACCTCGGCTCAGGCCGTCGTAATTTCAATTCCCGTTTGAATTAGACGGGGGATCGATCGTAGGGGAACCAGCAAGTAAAATTATCGGGGTGCATGAGGTGAGCGGGGCGCGGTGCTCGAATATAAGATTGTTTATCATATTGCCTTTAAAAAGTGTAATTAATGATAATGTAATGGTGCATCCGCCTATGCTAACGGTTTACGCTGGCGGGGCACTAGTGGAGGATGATAAGATGGGCATGAGGTCAGGTCAGTTTCTTTTTATTTTATTATAAATCGGTTTTCGCTAGGTCTTACCTCATCTGATGGTAAATGATTGCAAGACCTGGGCCGTAGCTCGCTTACCCAGAAGATATCTTTTTACCATAGACTTGAAGAATCTGGGTTGTATTCTCCGGGAACACGGAAGCTGGAAGTGTGTTCCACTCATTGGCAGGGCGTATTATATGTAATATTCTCTTATTTGTGACTAGCTTTTGCTCGCGGCCTCGCTCGCGTTGATTTGTCTCTTTAGGGGTGGAATTTATCGAATTCCTTTCTTAGGGGATGCCTACGTCATAGTAGCTGTATACAAGGAAAGTCTCAGCCCGATTGGTTTAAAATTGACGAAGTTTCATATAAACTTTCATCCCCTATTTTATCCCCTTGGGAGTTGAATTATTCAAAATCCTTTCTTAGCGGATGCTTACGTCATAACATCTACGTACATGCCAAATTTCAGCCCGATCCGTCCAGTGGTTTGGGCTGTACGTTGATAGATCACTATGTCAGTCACCATTGAGTTTTATATATTTAGATAGTAGAAAGGACATGAATCGCTCAGTGCGAGTCGAAAGCAAGCACTGCACTGCACATCGTGTTAATTGTAATATTCATATCAGGAACACAACACAAGCTTATCACGCTGTGTGAATTGTCCAGGTTATATTATTACTATATCAGTTGTCTAGTACACAACACAAGCTCTGCTTTACTTGGGACTACATGGAGCTGTGTGAATTGTCCGGGTTGTTTTATTATATCAGTTGTCTAGTACCCATAGGGGCTCCTTTAGGGGTGTGAATTGTCCGGGTTGTTTTATTATATCAGTCTAGTACCCCACAATCTATGTTACATCTAATGTTTCTTTATTGTTATTTTAGCTAATTGTAAGTATTTATACAATTTACAGTATTTATATCTCAAGTATAAGTTTATGGTAATCTGTGTGAATTGTCCATTATATCAGTTGTCTAGTACAGTTTTTTTTTACATTGTGTGAGTATGATATTATTTGTATTAATCTGGGTGTGTGAATTGTGTATGTCTAAAAAAAAGCTGTATTTAAATATGTGTGAATTGTACTATATCAGTTGTCTAGTACCCATAACACAAGCTCTGCTTTACTTGGGACTACATGGCGCTGTGTTAATTGTCCAGGTTATATTATTACTATATCAGTTGTCTAGTACCCATAACACAAGCTCTGCAATTCCCTTCCCTCAATTTTTAGTAGCTGTGACGTGGTCGCGTGGATTGAGTGGTCATGCTCACTAAAATGTCTAGACATGTGGCGGCGTGGTGGGCCGGGTCATTGGGCTCCCTGGCTGCCTCATACGGCATACTCGTGCTGCTTGTGGAGACCTGTCTGATCACTACAATTGATTTAATCTTATTGTATATTTATATTTGACCCAAATAAATTAGTGCTAGTTGGTAGTTTGTATTCACACGTTTCGACTTAAAAATGTAAAGTCACAACGATTATTTAAAAGAGCAACACGCAAGTTTTTTTTATTATTCTTCTTGTGAGGAGACAGCTTTCCGAATGAGTGGTAGATTAAAAAAATAATTTTGTTATGACTATTCAAAAGTACTTAAATTAAGTTTCATTCATTACGCTCTTGTCGGTGGAGCTCTTGGCACTTTCCGCGATCTTCCATCATGCTCTTTAATTTAATTAAGTTAATTTAAATAAAATTATTTTCTATTCTATTTCACTAGTGCTACAAGTTCCTCAAATGAAGAGCTCTGTCGGTTACGGCGAGCACTTCGACAAGAGCATCAACTACCAATGCGAAGATTGTGAACTCACTGACATCATGTGTGGGGGAGAGAGCGTGCTGCCAGCTGGCAGGGTCTCACACGCAGCCAGCATGAAGATGATCAGCCTGAACTTCCCCAAGTATCTATACTGATTGTATTAAAACACATAGCAAAATTATTTATTTATTACAGGAAAACCAAGGCTATTTAAGTATCTTAAATAAAATCGATATATGGCAAAATTAGGGGTTGCAAATTCTGCCAAACAAAAGCAAACGCCACTACACATCCTGTGGTTGTACCACTCATGCATGAAGGAAAACTATTTGGAAGGTATACACTATATCCTGAGGAGATAAAAACCATCGCTCCTAAGAATATCCTTCAGTTCTTGTCCCTGACGGGTCTAGGTAGCGAACTCTGAAAAAGGGCGAGCACAATAGATCTATGTAGGTCGCAGTGCTACAGGTCCAAGAACCTGACAATGGCCCAAAACCCTCAATAAAAAAATACTGATTGTAGTGATCACTTATTTGATATTTAATTAAATTTTTTTCTCCTCTCCTATCTCCCTAGTATATTAGTTAAATGCATAAGTTTGTGAGTATGGATGGATGAATGTTTGTTACTCTTTCACGCAAAAACTACTGAAGGGATTTTGACATGATCATCATTAAGAAATTTTATTTTCTAACTTAATTTTTTCAGTCAATAAAGTACTTTGTAGTATATTTATAAAACAAAGTCGCTCTCCCTATCTGTCCCTATGTATGCTTAAATCTTAAACTACGCAACGGATTTTGAAGCCGCTTTTTTAATAGATAGTGATTCAAGAGGAAGGTTTATATATATAATACATGTACACCCTTGCGGGGCGAGTAGCTAGTTAAAGTATATCATCGTCAGCCCGCCCACTGCAGTCCACTGCTGGACATAAGCCTCTCCCAAGGCACGCCACTGGGCACGGTCTCCAGCCCTCTCATCCAGTAACTCGCAACCCTACGGATGTCGTCGCTCCACCTAGCTGCTAGAGCATAAATAAATATTTTTTATTCAGCTTCGAAGACGCTTACAGTTGTGTGTATATTGGAATATTCAATACAGCAAACAAGGTTTACAGAAAAGTCATCGCCGTTATTGATAGTAAGTGAAAAACAAACAAAATACTTGAATCGTTACTCATATCATCTGCTTCTTTCTTATCCCATTTATTTAGGGTCGGCGTAATATGTTTTTCTCTTCCATTCATCCCTGTTCGCAGTCATCTCGTTATTTACTTCCTTTCTTACCATATCATCTTTCACACAGTCCATCCATCTCTTTTTCGGCCTTCCTCTGCCCTTATAACCATCCACAAACAAAATACTTGAATCGTTACTCATATCATCTGCTTCTTTCTTATCCCATTTATTTGGGGTCGGCGTAATATGTTTTTCTCTTCCATTCATCCCTGTTCGCAGTCATCTCGTTATTTACTTCCTTTCTTACCATATCATCTTTCACACAGTCCATCCATCTCTTTTTCGGCCTTCCTCTGCCCTTATAACCATCCACATTCATATGTACCTAAGACCTTTCTTAAAATATTATTCTCGTTCCTACGCATTACATGTCTATACCATGATAGACGATTACTCTTCAACCTCTCTGACACCGGTGCCACTTTCAAAATACTTGAATCGTTACTATAAAGGTCTAAAAACAAAGTATATGAATCATTAATATAGTAATAATAAAGTCTTTTTTCGGACTACTCTAATGCTGTTGGCCGCTGGACTTTACAGCTTCACCGGACGATAGGGGCGAGTGCAGATGACACTCCAAACCAAAGGACTTATGGAGCGGCTGAAGGACAACTCCCGCCTGACGGATACGACGCCAGTCTGAGGGCACCGCTGGGGTTTATGGGCCGTTTGAAGGGACCAGGGTCACCGGTGTGTAAATAGGATCTTATAGCATTGTATATCTTTCCGCAATTATATAAGTTTTATTTATTTCTTTAGACTTATAATGGACCACAATTATATTACAGATTAATTTACATATGTAATCATTACATAAAGACGCTGTCACTGTCTGTCCCTATGTATGCTTAAATCTTTAAAACTACGCAACGAATTTTGAAGCGGCATTTTTTTAATAGATAGTGATACAAGAGGAAGGTTTATATATATAATACATGTACACCCAGCCGAAGCCGGGTCGAATAGCTAGTTCATATATATGTATGAGCTTGTAACAAAGGTATAAAAAACGCCCCGGTTTCGCACGAGCTAGTATCTAATAATTTAAATAAATATAAATGGTCTCTATGGTCATGGTACTGACGACGGCAATCTGCCACGGTAGCGCTACTTCATGAAGGAGACTACTGTCTTCGGGCAGTGGATGGTCATGAAGGTGACAGCAGCATTTTGGTGGGGACCCAGATTACAAACGGCCTGAAACTTGCTTTGTGACTCGACTATAGTTGTTACCTTCAAGGTCAGGTTACTCCTGGTTCATATGTAGTCGACTTATGAGCGGCTGAAGGCCAACTCCGGCCTGAGGAATAGAATAGAATAGAAAATCATTTATTCAAATAAACTTACATTGAAGCACTTTTGAATAGTCATTACATTTTTTTAATCTACCGTTCATTCGAAAAGCTCTCTCATCACAAGAAGAACGAGCAAGAAACTTGCGTGTTACTCTTTTAAATAATTTTATTATTACATTTACATTTTTAAGTTTAAGTGTGTGAATACAAACCAGCAATTAGTACTAATTCAATTAAATACTCAAATTGAAAACAATATTGAATATATAACCAATTGGTTAAACAATTAATAAGAGGAAATCAGTCATAGTGATTAGAGCAGACCAGTCCCTACAAGCAGCACCCGTTCACGAGTATAGGGGACACAACTCTAGTCTGAAGGCACCACATGGAGCTCGAACCTTTGCTCAGGCCGTCGTAATTCCGATCACCGTTGGAATTGGACTGAGGGTCGATCGGAGGGGTTGCGTACTGTAAGGCGGGGAGGCGTATGGAAACGCAACTGCCTCCCCCTCTGAAAAATTCTGGCTATATGTAAATATACGTATAATGCATTAGTTTTTGAAAATGTTGCCAGTTTTTCTCAAGTGAAGTAGCTGTCCGAACTGGACGGTAGGGATAGTGATAATTAAAAAAACGTGTTTATATTATTTACGTTTTTTACAGATGCTTGTAAGTACAAACTTATATATGGTTTTGATTATTTTTTTAAAATAAACTTGGCAAATTCGCTAGTTCTAAACCTAGATAAGGTTTAGATAGAACAGGAAAATCTTGACGAGACGTAATTTTGTCTGTATGTTAAGATTTTATGCAAACACAGTTGGAGGTTTAAGAATGAAACTATCACATATACCAGGACAATTCACACAGCGCCATCTAGTCCTAAGCTAAGCAGAGCTTGTTTTGAGGGTGCTAGACAATTGATATATATATTAGATAATAATATATAGAAATCACCGTGATTAATACAGACTATCATACTCATGAATATAATGTTTGTACCGTGCGAGGAATCGAACCCGTTACCACTTTAATAAAGCGGTGTGCTAATCCGTTACACCACCGAGCCCTTCAATATAAATATTTAGTCAACATATAGACTGAATAAAGCTAAACAAAATACTATTCAAAATTTAATTGGAATAATGAATTTTGCGAAACGATAAAGATTGTGGTCACGGCTAGTGTAGGTTTAGGTTAAATTATTTACCATAAAACTATTCGTGTTAAGACCCGGTGAACTATTAACTATGTTTGCTGTGCCCGCGGTTTCGATATAAAATAACGTTAAATTTCAATATAATATATAGCTTATATCTTATTCTGATGCATAAGCTATATTACTGTAAAGTTTCATCAAAATCCGTTTAGTAGTTTTTGCGTGAAAGAGTAACAAACATCCATATTTACAAACTTTCGCGTTATAATATTAATAAGAGTAAAATATATAGTAATAATATAATTTGTAAGTTTATAAGCACATCGTAAACACAGAATATTATATTAATAAGTAAAAGTAAAATAAATTTATAAGTAAAAAGACGTTTATAATATTAATAAAAACTATATTATTAATTTTTTTTCATAATGTATGTTTTCTCGAATTATTATTATATATATAATTTATATATTTCCGTTTTACAGGGGTTATACATTCATACACGCGGGCCTTAGCCATTATTATTTATTAATATTGTGTACTAGATCCGAAAGTTTAAAAGTATAGTATATAAATAATGTTTTTTTTTCAAATTTCAGCTCCAGGTAAATATATAATTTTATAACTAACTATATATACTACTTATATTATAAGTAACTAACCTCCCAAACGTTGTTTTGCCATATAAATTAAAATCGCTGTTAAGAAATAGGGGTTGGTGATAGTAGGGTGACAATTTAGGGTTGTATGTATTTTAATGTCACATTATTAAAAAATAAAATTGTCCAAACAATAAAAAAAATGTTAAGGGTAAACTTTCATTTAGGGGTATAAAAAATAGATAATAGCCGATTCTCGGACTGATATTCTGAATATGCATTTTATAAAAAAAATCGATCATGCCGTTTCGGAGGAGTATGGTAACTAACATTGTGACACGAGAATTTTATATAGTTATATATAAGCTTATGTAAGCATATTAAAGTATATATAAATTGAATATGAAATATATCACTGGACAATTCACACAGCGCCATCTAGTCCCAACCTAGGCAGAGCTTGAATTATCAAGACTAGACACATTTTTTAATACATAATATACTTAGAAAACACACGTGTCAGTACCAACAATCATACTCTAATAAATACAATCTGAAGAATTCATTTTTTTTATAAATACATCATTACATAGTATAAAACAAAGTCGCTGTCGCTGTCTGTCCGTCCCTATAAATCTTTAAAACTACGCAACGGATTTTATGCGGTTTTTTAATATATAGAGTGTTTCTAGAGAAAGGTTTATATGGTATACATGTACACACGGGTGAAGCCGGGGTGAGTAGCTACTACCTAATATGCGTAGAAAACTTTCAGACCGATACAATCATACTCATGAATACAAATGTTTGTACCGCGCAAGGAATCGAACACGCTATCATTAGAAGTAAAGAAGTATACTAAACTGCTAGGTCTAATATATGCTTTTCTAAATTAAAACTTAATTAGCTTTTCATATGTGCTATTTTTCTTTAAACTCAGATGTGACGGTGAATGATGTGGGCGTCATAAATGCTCCCCAACTAGGAGAACCGTTTGAGAAAGAGTTTCAAGTTAGCTGCACTACAGACTGTTCAGTCGAGAAGGTGAGATCTTCATCTTAATATAGAGAACAAGTTCATACAAAGAATCTCAATTTAAACACTTAAATACATCGTTTTCATAAAAAGAAACACCCAAAGGTTGTCTGAAAGAAATCTCTTTAGCGATTAGACCGCAATTTGTACATAGCCTACCTTTGTGTATACTATGAATATAGTTTTTTTTTGTATTTTTTTAAGGTGCAATAAAGAGTTATAAATAAAAAAAAATATTTGTGTATTCCAATGGTTATTTTTGTAAAATAGCCCCCTCCGATCAATCCCCCGTCTAATTTAAACGGTTATCGAAATTACGACAGCCCGAGCCGAGGTCCGAACCCCTAGCGGTGCCCTCACTAAAATCGCCCAATCAAACGGGTATCAAAATTACGCCGCCTGAGTCGAGGTTCGAGCTCCTAGCGGTGCTCTCAGACTAAAGTCGTATCCGTCAGGCGGGAGTTGTCCTTCAGCCGCTCCATAAGTCCTTCCTTTGGTTTGGAGTGCCATCTGCACTCGCCCCCTATCGTCCGGTGAAGCTGCAAAGGTCAGCTGCGGACCAACAGCATTGGAGTAGTCCGAATTTAAGAGCTTGTCCGTGGAGCTCTTGCTCACGATCTTCTATCATACTCTTTAAACTTTGATACGACACAACTCCAATTTTGTCTTTAATTTGCTTGATGTAGCTGTGCCTTGGTCTTCCTCTCGCCCTTTTTCCTTCTATCTTGCCCTCAATAATATCTTTCATAAACTCATAGTGCCAAGTGTCCTAACATTTTTCCTCGTCTATTTTACATTATTAGGTACATATTTTTTTCATATTTATATAAAAAAACATCTATTCAAAAGAGCAACACAAAAGTTTCTTGCTCTTTCTTCTCGTGATGAGTCTGCATTCCGAATGAACCATAAATATGACTATTCAAAAGTGCTTGTATTGAGTTTATTTGAATAAATATTATTTCTATTTCTATTTCATAAGACAATAAAAATTCCCATTATCAATAATTTTTATCTCAGAGCAAAGATTTCATAACACCAAAAATTATATTTTTCAGGTCACCGTGAACGGTATACCATTGGATCTCTCTATGTCCAGAAGATCAGGATCAGGCCCAATTGCATTCTACGTGGTAAGTTAAAAACGCACCCAAGATACCACAAGAAACAGAAGAAGAACAGAAGAGATTTAGAGGGTGTAGACAGAAGCTTATATGGCTATCGCACCCCTCTCCATCGACAAGTTTTCAACCCTACACGCTAAAATCACATAAGATATTATTAATGCTAAAACCTTAGTAGCTCCGACAGTGTTAGTTTGTATTCACACATTTCAATTTGAAAAAGTTACGATTATTTAAAAAGAGCAATACACAATGCTCTTTAATTGTTGATACGACACGACTCCAATTCTGTCCTTAAGTTGCTTGATGTAGCTGTGCCCTGGTCTCCCTCTCCCCCTCACGTTCCCCCTCTCGTTACAACGATTATTTAAAAAGGTCAACACACAAGTTTCTTGCTCATTCTTCTTGTGATGAGACGTGGTAATGAATGGTAGAATAAAGTTACTATATAAAAATGCTTAAATGAGCTATATCTTGCCAACAAACTGTTCTGCAGTATGGCCATTGGCAAGTAATTTAAAAATAATCCTTTAATAAATGTATAAAAAAATATTTCAATAAACAACCTACCTTCACACAACCTACCTGTGATAAATAAATAAATAAAAAATGTTTATTTAAATTAACAATTTTCTATTCCATTCTATTCTATTGATTAACTGATTAATGAAATAGAAATAGAAATTTAAATAATATTTATTCAAATAAACTTATTACAAGCACTTTTGAAGAGTCATATTTGTTTATTTTACCACTCATTCGGAACGCAGATTCTATTTACAAGCTCTTCAATTTTCTAAAAACCATTTTTACAGAGAGAGTTCAAAAGTTCAGAAAGTTCAAAAATTTCAAGTTTTCACTTGAAATTTTTGAACTTTTCTTCTCCAAGTTGAAAGATAGGTTAGCTTACTTACAATGTACAAATCAAATTTGCAATCGGTTCAGTAGTCTATCGCGGACAAACAACGTGACACGTAATTTTTATATACAATGATTTGAATCTGTTTTCAGGCAGATTTAGAACAGACTGGTAGTTTGTTGTAAAACTGTGTAGTTTTGTATTAATTAATTTAATTTAAACTCCTCAGTTATCTCTAGACAAACCGTTTATTTCGTAACTTGTCTTAAATCTATTTTTAGTACACACTCAATGCTCTATGGGTCCGGAGTCGCCATAGATTATATCCATATATTCTTTTAAGTCGTTTATCACTAATACATTACATTACACAAAAACCTTGCGCAACTACTAGAAAACGAATTACTAACTTGATTAGATTATTTAACTTACTTGATATGATTATATTTGACTAGATGGGGAAAAGCGGCAGATATTAAAAATATATTCATGTTACAAAAAAGTGCCATTCGAGCGATCTACTGTATGAAGAGTCGTGACTCATTAAGAGAGAAATTCAAAGAGGCAAATATTCTCACCGTTGCTTCTCAATTTATATATTCAAATATCCTATATGTTCATAAAAATCTTGACTTATTTCCAAAAAACAGCAATATTCATAATATTAAAACTAGATTTAAAGACAAACTTGCTGTCCCCAAGTATCGTTTAGAAAAAGTTAATAGGTCTTTTATGGGAATAGGTATAAAAATTTACAATAAGATACCAAATGATATGTTGGAATTACCCTTAAATAAATTCAAAACATCTGTTAAATCATATTTACTGAGCAAAGGCCTATTACTCACTAAACGATTACTTGAATGACGAGCGTGCATGGCAATAGTTTTCATGTTCGTGATTTTCATTTAATGTTAGACATAGACACCTATATAAATGCATTGTAAATAAACTGGATTTAAAAAAAAAAAGTAATTCAATTGAGTTTCTTGCCAGTTCTTCTCAATTGGATCTATATACCGAACTGGACGGTAGGGAAAAAAATTATAATGTAAAACTTGACGTTCATAAGCGGCTAAAATGTCCTACATGAATAAATGATTTTTGAATTTTAATTTGATGATTTAGTAAAACCTAATTACATTTGCAGGCGACACCATCCGCAATTACGATTCGTATAACAGAGTATGTCGACACATTCGAGGGGGTCTACCAAGCTGTGTTCAACTTGAGAGGGGATACAGTAACCAAAACTCTTATGGAAATAAAGTAAGTCTGATACACATAGTCATGACTGTTATAATAATCTCAGGACAAATCACACAGCGCCATCTAGACCCAAGTTAAGCCAGCTAAAGCTTTTGTTATCGGTACTAGACAACTGATACAAATACGTAGATAATTTTACCGATACAAATGTTCATGAATACCAAAGTTTGCACCGTGCGAACAATCAAACCCGCAACCATCGGAAATAAACGCTGGAGCTAAACTGCTCGACCAGCAAGGGCGCTAATCGATTTCTTGACTTTGAGTATTAAAAACTGTGACTACAAATATTCATAATTCAATTTTCATTACACGCATTTACATGTAGTTAATAACCATTTAATTTTGTTAGGGACGCGTCAATACAGAGCGGCCAGGTAGAGGATGGGGGACAGGATTCGAACACCGATACCACACCGGCAGCAATTGAATATACCGTCACAGGCGCTGAGACAACTTCACAGGCTGCATCTGGTATGTATAGCAAGAAAACTTTAGTCTTTAGACTCTCCTATATTGTCTAACATTAGACTCTGTTATATAGTCTACCATTAGACTCCCCTAAATTGTCTAATATTAGACTCTCTTATAGAGTCTAACATTAGACTCTCTTATATATGTAGTCTACCATTAGACTCCCCTATATTGTCTAACATTAGACTCTGTTATATAGTCTACCATTAGACTCCCCTAAATTGTCTAATATTAGACTCTCTTATAGAGTCTAACATTAGACTCTCTTATATATGTAGTCTACCATTAGACTCCCCTATATTGTCTAACATTAGACTCTCTTATATAGTCTACCATTAGACTCCTCTATATTGTCTACCTTAAGCTTCCCCTATATTGTCTAACATACTTACTAAACGATTATTTGAATAAAATAACCAAAACTGATCCGCAATATTTTTGATTTCGCACGGGATTTTCATTTATTGTTACACATTCTAAATAAATAATGTTAACTACTTTTAAAAAAAATAGGAATACAACTGTATTAAAAAGAATTGGCAAGAAACAACTGAGTGCCTGAACTTCTTGCTTTCTTCTTTTCAACTGAATCTATGGACTGAACTGGGCGTAGACTCAAATATATTTTCTACTTTTAGACTCTCTTACAATTTCTATCTTTAGACTCCTCTACATAGTCTACCTTTAGCCTCCTCTATATTGTCTACCTTTAGACTTCCCTATATTGTCTATCTTTAAACTCCTCTATGTTGTCTAACATTAAACTCTTATTTTGTCTAACATTAGACTCTTATATAGTTTACTTTTAGACTCCTCTATATTATCCACCTCTAGATCACTATATTTATCTTTTCTTAAATTTCTTACCCAGAGTCAAATCCAGATGCAGTTCCTGGAGACGCGGGGGGTGGCGAAGGCCCATCTGAAGCTCCACCAGTTAAACAAAGGTTTGGGGGTATTACGTCAAGTCCCGTCCAGACTTCACCGAAACATGACACCATAGCTGCTGACATCACTTCAGATACGACAACTCGCGGCAGCACTAATAGTTCCAAGTCATAAACTGGATAAGGTAAGAATTTTGCCCAAGTGGACTGTAAAACTATGTAATATTATATTATCTGTGGTAAAACTAAACTACTAGACCAGTGGTGCGCAACCTAAGACAGGTTGCGCACCACTGGTCTAGCAGTTTAGTGGTTCATTTGTGACCCCAATCTTTTTTGAAAAACAATTTCGCGACCCCTGAGTAGACGGTTTTTTTTTAATAATCAACGTAGTTAAATTGAAACTATTTTAATTTCTTTTTATTAAAGGTTTTTAACACAAAATTTTGTGAAACAATGGTTTTATTTATGCATATACTAGCTACTCGGCCCGGCTTTGCATATGTATGCATGTATTACACATATAAAGCTTCCTCTTGAATCACTGTATATATTTAAAAAAAACCGCTTCAAAATCCGTTGCGTAGTTGTAAAGATTTAAGAATACATAGAGACGGACAGACAGCGACAGCGACTTTATTTTTATTTTATACTATGTAGTGATTTTCGTATTAATTTTACAGATCTCAAGATCACTGAAAGACGACATTATGGCGCGAATATGGGATTAGAGAAAATGTATTTATTTTTAATTAAATATTTTGCAGCACTTATAATTGTTTTTATCATATACTAGTAACCCACCCCGGCTTCGCACGGGTGTACATATATTATATATATTAACCATCCTCTTGAATCACTCCATCTATTTAAAAAAAACCGTTTCAAAATGTATTATACTGTACATGTATTATATATATATATACCTTCCTCTTCTATTGTAATAACCGCTTCAAAATCCGTTGCGTAGTTTTAAAGATTTTAGCATACATAGGGACGGACAGACAGCGACAGCGACTTTATTTTATACTAGCTAGTAATGACTAGCTGACCTGCGAACTCCGTTGAGCCTTATAAAAGGCTTTTTGAAGTTTAGTTACGCGATACATTTCTGAACGCACCCTGTTTGACAGGTGTCAGCAGTTTGTATGGGAAAATAAAATTGTTGTTTTTACTATTTTACATGCAATTTATTTATATTTTATCACCGTTTAAACCTTTCCTGGACTTCCACGAATATTTCGAGACTGAAATTAGCCGAATCGGTTCAGTCGTTCGAGATTTAGCGAGACTAACAAACAGCAACTCAATTTTATATATATAGAAGATAATATAAATATAAATAGTTTCAGCCAAGGAAAATGTCGCACCTACGCGCCTTTAGTGAATCCTTTATCGTTATTATCAATTATTTTTTTGAACTTGTAGCAAATGTTCTTTAAAATGCTTTCGGAAAGTATATTTTGTTTTCTAGTATAAATTAAAGTATATTTATTATATTAAAGTATTATTACCTACATGTAAAATATTAAATATTTTCATAACACAAGATACAATATACAATGTATATTTGTATAATAATAGCAATCCTGTACAATTAACACAGCGCCAAACAACTGATATAAATATGAAATTAAATTAAATGAAACTTCTTTATTGTTCTCTCTTAAAATACAAACATTTATATATATTTGCTATACTTTTCAATACATTTTTTTGTTACATTCATATTATACTATAAATTTATTATTGTTAATTTTTTTTACTATTATTTATTTTATTTATTTATTAAAGGAAAACCAAGGCTATTGAAGTATATCTTAAATAAAATCAATATAGACGTCATACTAAGCCTCTGACAGTGTTTCATTACTAACAACAGACTGATGTTTTCTTTGTTTAATTATTAATTTCATTATTTATATTATATCCCGCAGTACAGAGTGCCTTTGAGACTATATACATAGAAAACAACATCATACTCCTCATTGTATCATATAAATGTTTGCGGTAATCGAACCTGCGACCATGGGTAGTGAGGCGGTGTGCTAAACCGCTAAACCATCGAGGCCATCGCTTCATTACCGCTACATTGTCCGATTATTCGGAGTCTGTGTAATTCATAATTGAACAACGTCATGTTAAAAAGTATTATTAGGAAAACGAATAATTTCGTTAGTTCGAGTTGTACAGTTGGTAAATTTATATAAGTTTTAATGATGTTGAATATTTCATTATTATGTAAGTATTTTAAAGATTATTAAATAATTTTTAGATACTTGATACTTAGTAGAAATAGATTAATGTTTATTCAAATAAGCTTAATATAAGCACTTCGGATTAGTCTCATTTTTTATGCTACCACTCATTCGGAACGCAGACTTATAACAAGAAGAATGAGCAAGAAACTTGCGTGTAGATGTTGTTTTCAGTAGATTTATGTTAACAAGAATTAAGCATGCGAAAATCAGATTTGTTCAATCAGATAACATTGTCAGCGCTATGAATTTTAAGTTAGATATTTTATGTAAAAACATGCTTATCATTTATAAAATCTTCAATTTTAGATCAACTATTTTACAATATTTTATCAGACACTAGCAGATCCGGCCACGCGTTGCTGTGTCTAAGGTTCTTGAATAAAATAATATTGCGACTATAAATTGAGATGTAAGCTATATACCTTTCAAGTTGGATCAAATTGCACACAATGTTCAAATCAAATTTGCAATCGGTTCAGTAGTTGGAGTCCATCGGGGACAAACAATGTAACACATAATTATTAAGTCTGTTTTTGGCAAACAGTTCAGCAACAACAACTATTTAATCGAATTAGGTGTTATTTAGCGGAAGTCCATTTCACTACTCGATATTATTTTGTTTAATTCTGATACAAACTGGATTTATATTATTTTGTTTAATTCTGATACAATTAGCATGAGTATGGTCACAAATATTCAGTGGTGCCGGCGGTTTGGTCACCGAACTGTCAGCACTAGGCTTCCAAGCTATATTCGAACTCTATTCAACACTCTGATGCCTCGTTCAGAGGTGAAACACGACGCAATATGGATGTAGAATCAATAACGGTCGGAATGTCATCACCATTAGAGAAGGTCGTAACGGTAGTCAAGTTTCCACACCGAATATTAGTGATCTCACACATGATAATTGTAATGGAATTAAAATAATGTCAATCAATTGAGTTGTAACATCAACAACAAGTCCCTTTGCGAATGTTTCTGTTTGTAGAATATTTTTGTATGGCCGTAAAATGATTCATTATTCCTTAGTGCTTAGGAATGATAATGGATAAAGGAACGTCACGTAGCAGTTTTTGAAATTAGTGGTTCTCTTTTATTTTAAACTATGTAGCTGTTCCCGGACTTCGTCCGCGTGGAATTTAACTTTATTTTACTAAAATAAAAGATATTTTCTAAAATAAAAGTAGCCTAAGTTACTTCCTATTACACCAGCAACCTGCCAAAAAATGTCTTGTTATAATCGGTCCAGCGATTTCAGAGGTTAGCCGGAACAAACAGACCGACAGACAGATAGACAAAAATTTTAAAGAGTGGCTTGTTAGTAATATAGACTGATTACCCCATTATTAGCAATGTACCATGCCAGGTAGACCTCCACGCGGTATCCCCTGGAAACCATCATGATAAATTCATGCTCATCTGATTATCCTCCACTGGTGCCCCGCCAGAGTAAACCGTTAGCACAGTCGAAAGCACCATTCCATTATCATCCATAAAAAACTACAATTCAAACACAATGGTAAGTTAGTTACACAACTACATTAGTTAATCAAGTTAACTCTTTCACAGGCATGACTCTAATTATCACCATACCAGACATCAGTTCATATTCAACTGAACAAGACAAAAGGCATGTACCATCATCTCTTGATGATCATGACGATCTACGAAAAGATACAGTCATACGAGGTGATGACAAAATGGCTAATTACAATGATGAAATCAATACAGGAAACGACAATGATTTAACTGGTAATAAATACGACGCTGCTATGGAAAAAGGTGATGAAATTCCAAATAGTCAACAAATACGAAAATATATTCATTCCAAACCAAAAACTTTAGCAAGACTTGATGATAAAGCAAATAAATATATAGATGGATCTCATAATGTTGATA